CGCTTGAACCAGGCTGAACCGTGCCCAGGTTGTCCGGAAACCTGAGGCATCCATGCCTGGAGTTGGGGCATGTCAACTGGAAACCCGAAAGGACGTGTGACCCAGCTAGAATCGCGTACGCTGTCAATCTGACGTCTATAAATGCTGGCTCAGAAGCCCTAAGCCCCCCCATGTCCCTCTATACGCGAGCATCCCCGAACCTTTAGCTCTTCAAACATCTGACCCGCAGAATGCGGGTGCAATGTCTGGTTCCTAATTATCTACAGTCAAGCCACTGTAGCCACTGTAGGCTCGCAACCTGCACAGCTAAAGGCGAACAAGGCGCGGCAGAAGTTCGCAGCTGCGGCAGAGGCCAAAGCCAAGGCGGCGGCAGCGGAACGCGAGGCCAGGGCTGGGCTGCGGGTTGGCGAGGGAAAAAAGGGGCGGTCCGAGGCGTGCTAGGGCCTCGAGGGTTTAGGGTTTCATGGAGGTCACGCTGTCGTGTTTTCGTCTTCATTTTCAGATCTGGTGTTGGTTCTCTATATGGGTTCGCTTGCCAGACTCTGAGATATTTCTTCTGACTTCCTTCAACAATGCGCCAAGCTCCTGTTGTCCTTGATATGACTTTTGCCCAACGTACGCTCAATGGGTCCCAGCAGGCCGTGCAACAGCCAATTGATTCGACATCGTCTGCACACAAACGACACCTGATGTCAGCCTTGCTTCAGGAACAGCTCCAGCAGGAGGTCAGCGAGCGCGGTCTTCAGTGGTGACCGTCTGTTCGCAGGGCTCGTGGCATTCCGTATGTAGCTGTCCCCGCGTTTCAATAGTGTTTCAATACATGACGTGTAGCATGCTTCTAAATCGGCAGGGATGCCAACGACGGAGGTGCCAAGTAATCCACCAGTCACCCATTCTCGCAGAGGCTCCAGCAAGAACGAGATGGGCTGCTTCAGCGTGGGCCTTGCAACTTGCAACAGCTTCGTGGCAAAGTCTGCATCTTTGTGCGACAGCGTGCGGGAGATAGTGCGGATAGGGTTGAAGCATCATTAAACGGTAGAAGAAATGATCGTCTTTGCATTTGTCCGTGGCGATGGTGGTTCTAGTCACGCTCGGCGGCCTTGTGAAGTGGCTGCAGTGCTGGCTCTCGAAATCTTTCGAGGTCCTTCAGGGCAGTGGAACAGTTCATGAGATGTCAGTTGCCATGATGATGCTGATGATGACCAGTCTGTCTGAACAGTGATCACTTTTCTGTGCGGTGAAAGTATCATAAGTTCCGGGCTTTCCTGCCACAGCCTTACCTGTTTCTGCTTGCGGCTTGACCGGTTTCTGCAACAGGCTTCTCAGTTTCCACTAGCATTGCAAGCCCACCCCGCAATTCCAAACAGGCAGCTTCAACAGTGTGAGGGCGAGAGGGACGAGGCAGGGCAAAGACACATCGTTTCGTTCATCCGAGTTCGGAGAGACATGACTAGATCAAGGGATGCATATGTAAGGGAGCATCCGCTCCATGTGGCAAGGATTTTAAGCCTTACTTCCTGCTTCCATGGCACGGTCTAGACATACATATGGTTGGGGCAGAACTGGAGGTCACGATGTCAAGTCAGATTGCTGCATACAGAGAAAACTACGCACTTGTGTTGTCTTGTTTGGTGGAAGTCACCATTTGGGAATCACTTGTAAGTGTCTCGGAAGTACCATGCAAGTTGTATGGCATCGGAATATTATGTAAGCACCATGTAAGCACCATGTAACCACCATGTAAGCACGATATAAGCAGCACATAAGCACAACGTAAGCACCATGTGATAAGAATGCGCTATGTGAGCACCGTGTGTGCACTTTGTAAGCACCATGCAAGCACAATGTAAACCAAGTGAGCAGTATGCAAGCACTTGTCAGCACCGTGTAAGTGCAAGGTAGAATTGCCCGCGCATCCCCTCATGTTGGGAGATGTTGGGCAGACCTGGTTCCGGACACACCGACTGATGAAGACCTCCAAAGTACTGCATACATGTGCAGGCAGCTTGTCTTGCATGTGAACCTTGAATGGCGGAAACAAAAAGCGGGCTTGCTTACGCAGTAGCGACACCAGACTACCGGTCACCAGCGGCTGGCTTGGATTAGAGGAGGAAAATTGCAACCCAAAGGGTACTTCTTCACGCCAGAGTGTTCATGGACCCTTCGAGCCCTCAATCCTGGTCCTAAACGACAACCTGCCCCTCAGAAAAGCCTTTGAACCCGGAGGCGCGCGTGCAGCTCGCCAACCTTGCCAACCTTCCCGAGATAAGGCAAAGTCAGGCTGGGCCCTTGATCTAAGAAAAAACAGAAATTCCTCTCAAATCACAGTTGTTCTACCGCTCGGAAGGCCATGCAGTACGGAGCCTTCAACGAGCTCCCAAAGCTGCCGCAGGGCATCTTCCAGGCGAAGCAGTTTTGAAACATTTTTCGGGTTTTTCTGAAGTGTTGAAGCTGAGAGCTTGTGCTATCTTGCGCTAGCTTGATTCCGTCGGGGAAGGCAGGATTTCTCAGGAGAGACGTCACGGTGGGCCTCACATCTATGGATGCACGCGACAGCCACACACCTGCACACGTGCAGCATTTCAACCTAATATGGCCTTCCACAAGGCAAACGCTTTGTACATCAGTATACACACATCACCAGGCAATGTGTGCACTGTTTTCTCAAAGAAGACCAAGAGAGAAAAGGTCTGCAAGGGGCACTGGATGGCACCGGATATGGCACTGAAGATGGAAGAATCCGCTGGTCATTCTGCCAGGCGCCATCGACTGGAGAATCGGCAGGCTGCAGCCTTGGGGCGCGCTTCCAGCATTTTGGGGGTGTCCCATCTCCATCCGGTCTGCCCATGGACTGAGTGTGCTGCAAAACTGAAAGTGTGTCAGCAAAGGCCTGGGATCAGCTTGGATCCTGCTTTTCACTGGGGCCTTCAAGTCCTACCCATACAAAGTCCCCTAAAGTTCCCCCAAAAGCCCCAAAGATGAGGCTCCCGCCAAGCCCTGGCCATGGAAATAGAGATGCGCCCTGGGCTGCAAAGAAGCGAGAAGATCCTGTAAGATCTGCCTTGAGCATGTCCCTGCCAAATGGTAGCAGGTGCTTACTAGGTCCTCAGTAGGTGTAAGGCGGTGTCAGGCTCCATTTTTGCCAGGCGCCAAGAGGCTGAGAAAAAGGCTGCCGACGCCCAGCAGGAGCAGTACCAAACTCAGAAGATGTTGTCCAAATAGTCTGCCATGAAGTATCCCACGATCAGGGCTCGGGTCTTGTATGGGCGACCGGGGATTTGGATTTTCGTTGTGTTGTTTTGCTGGTGTTCTTACGGTAGGACTTGCATGGCAGACCACTGTAGCATCACGATGCATGGGGCCTTGGAATCAGGGAGGAGGGTTGTCAGTGTTTAACTGTTGAACGATATTGTTGAATTCTGAGTGCTGGTGTTGAAGACGGAAGTTGTACCATGAGCATGCTTCTCCAGCTGCCCAAGCCTCGTCGCATGAGGCGGGAGATGCGAGCTCTGCTCGACTGGCAGGCACACGCACCAACGAAGAGACATGTAGCTGACTCTTAGGACCTAGAGTACTTTGAGCATCCTGACTATCAATGCTATTGAAGCTGCTCGCTCTCCGCAGCTGCTGTTGATTATGTTGATTGAGTATCAACCCCGCTGCCTTGCTTTTGCATCACTGAATACTTGGGCAGAATCGAATGCTATATCCACTTGCGCATCAACTCTTTTTTCCAGCTTTTCGCCATCCTGCTTTCCGAATGTACGATTGGCGAAGCGCGGGTTACAAAGCAAGGGTTCCGAACCCGCGCTTTCGAAGCCATGTTCGAAAATAAGCTCCCCCAGGTGTACATCCTTTCTTCCGCACATGTACAAAAAAGTATCATGTTTCATCAGCATAATTCCAGAAGGAAGCGATCTTCACGTTGAAAGATAGTTTCACGCGGATAAAGGAGAGAAACGTTGTGGAAAATTCAACCCCAGAGGCTTCTTGGTTCCTGCATGCATCCTGAGAAACGCATCCACGTTGAAGTTAACCGGGGCTCTGAGATGGTTTTCAAAGGGGCGTTAGTTTGGAACATGAAAATTCATTCGCTTCGTGCTGACTTGCGTTTGTCTTCGAGCATCCTTCTTGACAGCGACCCTCAACTGTCAACCTTTGCACAACAGCCCGACGACCTTGCCCCCCCTGAGTCCCTGAGTCCCTGCAATTCACATGCAGCAACCCTTTGTCCATTCTCACCCTCTGTGCCATGCAGGGTGCCGAGATCGAGTCCCTGCGGCGTCAACTCGCCCAGTGTGCGGAGCAGGCGGTCCCTTAACATGTTGGTGATTGCTGGCCATGGTCTGTTGGGAATGTGTAGAATCGTTTGTTGCCAGATGTCGTAGTGAAAAGCTTTGTGCCGCCGATCGTTGTGCAACCCGCGCAGTGCTGCTAGCAGCAAAGCGGTTCTTCTGGGGGAATGTGCAACGGTGGGATGGAGTTCAAGCAGCTCTGCTTGCATGTGCACACCCTGTTACCCCGCTGCACTGGGCACTGCCACCTGGACTTTTACGGCCATTGGTGTAGTTTGGGTGGTCACGATATGTCATGAGCGGCCTTGTAATTACGGCTGATGGTGGTGATCTTTAATAAAAGAGGCGGCTAACAGGGTTTGGGGTCATAGAGGCATTGTTTGCTCAGAAGGCACTTCCGTTGGCTAGGCCTCGATATTCTTGCAATTCCAGAGCCGAGGGTTGTTGTTTTCAGTCGTGTTGAATGTACATTTCTGTTTGCCGGGCCGTAGTTTCCACACGTTTGCTCCTTTGACCCCTTTGGTTCCGTACGTCGAAGATTCACATTCGCTTTGTGTGACCTTGGAGTTTTGGCCGTGCCAAGACAAATGCCTTGAGGGGAGGCAACCCCTCTCCGGCTTCCACTCCACATCAGTGATTTCCGGCTCAAGACATAGAGCTTCTTTGCACTGGGTTGGGCTGGCCACTGGCCACTGCGTTCCGCGGATGGGGAGACCTGCGCTCGAGGATGTGAAGAGTGCTCTGCTGAACTGGAACAATCTCTTCGTGGTCTCTCTTTGGATATCGCAGGCCTGCCTGAGCGTGTCGCACAAGAGGGTGTCCATCGTAATGAGGGAGTCTCCTTTCGTGCTGACAAGTTTGCAGCCGGTCTGGATCGCAGTGGCATTTGGCATTGTTTGGGCAGCGATTTCCTGTCGGGGCCATTCTCAAAAGCGCGCAGAGGAAGAATCTGCAGCCGCAAGTGACTCTGGGGACGAGGAGCAAGACAGTGACGACAGCGTGAGCGGTGGCCCAGCGCCTAAATTCAGAGTCTGGCATTCTGCAGTGATGGGGTTGCTCTTCACGACCTACAACTTCTTGGGGTATAGTGGCGCTCGTGGGCATCTTGTGTCAGGTCCTCTTATTCTCTTGCTGCAGCAGACGGTGATACCTCTGACCATGTTGTTTTCAATTTGTTTTCTTGGCCGGCGGTACTTTGCCACCCACATCCTCAGCTGCGCTTGCATTCTTGCCGGTATCCTAGTGTCGTTCATTGGCAAGGAATAGGGTTCCTGAAAGCAGCTCGGGCATTCAATGATTTGTGTCGGACAGAGGGTTTAAGACTCAGTTCTCTTTGTATAGTTTCGACACTATTTGCCCCTTGAAAGGAGTGGACAGCAAAATCAACAGGTGCAGTGTGCTTGCTCTTGGCGCAAGCTTTCCCTGGAGCTTCGTCGACGGTGTTCATGGAGTACTCTTTGCAACGTGCGCACGTCTCATTCTGGAAGCTTTGGACCTTGATCAACGTCTTCGAAGTGGTTGCTTTACCACCTGTTTTTGTAGCCTCCGTTCCCCTTCAGGGCCTGACATTCGCGCAGTCACCGGGGAATCTTCTGGATGGCTTCCAGTGTCTCTTCCTTGGTCAAGGTGGTGCAGCTGGAGCGGATGATGAAGAGTGCGCGACGTTGGCATACTTATACCCCGTCTTCGTGGTTGCACTCATCGCCGTGAAAACTTTGCAGGCAGCTGTGATCGCCAAGTTTTCATCAGGCCTTGTTTGGGTTGTTGCAGCTGCAGCCGTGCCATTGGCCTCACAGGCGTCTGCCCCAGCTTTGTGGAGTGGGGATGGGAAAGGGCACCACACCACTCACCAAGCCATTGTTTCTTCCTCAATAGCTGCAATAGCTGCAGGCCTTCACCGTCCCTTTGGTCATGGGCTCCTCAAACGTGCAGCCACCGCTGTCTGCCTGGAAGCTAGGCATCGCTCGGCATCGCTCGTCTTGGTTTTGCATCGTTGTCAATCGTTGTGTCTTGGAAGCTTGTAGTATCTAAATTATCTGACAATGTAACAATGGCAGCATTGCGTCTTTGCTACGAAATGAGGATTTGGCTTGGCACTGTGTTGGTCGTGGCTGGCATGGTCCTCTTTCGTGTGAAGGAGGCGGTGAGGGAGGTGCGTCATCCGAGCCCGAGCCCACAAGGACGAGCACCCTTCGACCGCCAACTCTGAAGTGTCCAGTTCATGAAGGTGGAAGTGTGGAACAGGACACGGAGACTGTAGGAAGGTACCCACGAAATCGCCCCACCTCGTGAGGTCTCCGTCCAATCCTTCGATTTGAGAGTCGAAAGCATATATTTTCTTGCCAAGCACGTGCTCATGTTACACTCGTGACATCTCCGGGTTCCGGTTTGTGCCGCCCTCATAAGTAGCGGCTGGCTCAGAGGTTCTCGGTTTCATTCCGTAGTCTTGCGCCGCCCTCAGAAGTAGTGGTTGGCCTCTTGTTGCCGTATTATTATTGCGCACGAGTGTGCAAGGAGATCTTCCCAAAACTCTTGGTGGCTTTCCAGACATACGGCGAATGCTCGCTTCGAACATGAAGGGCAAACAAGGACTTGCGACTTTGGAAGAGCTGGGTCTCACGTGGTGCGTCGGCCATGCTCAGCTCGGGTCCCGTAGCACACCAAGGGATCCGAGGCTCTTTGTTCGTCGGCTAGCTTTGAAAGAAGCAAGGCAGAACCCAGTGAGTGATTGCGTCCTGTCGAGTCCTTGAGTGGAAACAGCCTCAAACCGTGAATGCCCAGAAAGATCGCAAGCCCGAAGCCTCGAAACCCCAAAAGCCTCTACAGACCCCGCACACTATACGGACCCCTACGCAGGGCGCTGAGATCGAGTCTCTGCGGCGGCAGCTAGCCCTGTCCGCGGAGCAGGTGCAGTCGTCAGTTCAACGTCTTCAAGGGCCTTTGCACGCAGGGGTGAATAGAATACAAAAACCTAAACCTCCCAAATCCTCCAAAGCCCCAGAACCCTGACAATCTTTTGGGCCCCGAGCCTCTACATGCTACCCAGGTGGACTTCAACCAGGAGTGCTGCCAAGACCTCCAGCTTCGCTTGAGGCGCATTGCAGGGGAGTTTGGGGAGCGTCGCATATTTTTTTAAAGGTTCGTGCCACTTGAAAGACCAATCCCCGTCACCAGAATACGCATCAACCCTGATGCCCCTGAAAAGGAACTCCGAGGCCGCGAACAACTCATTGAAGCCCATTCAACTCTATAGCCGCCCAGACCCTCTCACCCGAAAAAACGTCCCCAAGCCCCAAACCCTACATGCCCTAGATCGATTGAATCAACATCCCGACTCGCTCTCGCTCCAGGCAACAGCACAACAAGGCAGAGGAGCGCCTGCGCAAGGAAAGGGGGAGGTTCGCCACGGTGAACCGCCTCGAGGCGACCTCCCTTCAATTTAGGTTTGTCCGGGTTTGTCTTTGAGTTTCTTGATTTTTTTGGTGCTTGGGGCGTGTGCGACAGGACGGTTTGACTTTCTGTTGACAGATGTTCTCTTGCCGTTGACCCAAGTGGGCACAAGGTCTTTGTAAATGGGCTCATGTTTTACACATAGTCAGCATGTCCATAGCAGTGCCAGGAGGTGGTCAGAGTCTAGATTCGAGGCAAAGCTGGAGGTATGGGCTCCACGGGCCTCCACGGGCCTCCACGGGTGCAGATCCAGTTCATCCAAGCCCGAAAGCCCTCTCGATAGACTCGAGTGCCACCAGGGCGTCTTGCCGAAGCAGATGCTGCTGAAAGCCCTGGCGTGATGTGCTGGTCGCCATGGGATACGGCGTAGTTGAACTCGGTCATAGGTCCGAAATTTTCAGACTAGGGTTTTGAGCCCTCGAAGAGACTCCACCGCTGCGCCTTTATTGCGTACGTGTGTCGTCATGGCTTCGTGTGGGGTCTGGGCTTATCAGCCTTGGGGTTTGGGTTTGCAGCTCAAGTCCAGTACCACAACCGGACTCCTACCAAAAACCCGATGTGACAAGTGTTAGACATGCGGGGCACCTCGCGAACGTGGTGCCTGTTTTTAATGCTCCTGTGAGGTTCGAGACTTACAGGGAGGGGCATTGACAAGTTTTCGTTTAATGACGTGGTTTCTGTTTACGGCCTCCTCTCTCAAGCGGTTGCCCGATCGGCCAAAGGCCATGTAGGTCGGTCCGCCTTCCTGTCGACGGCTCTTCGGACAAGTCGGGGTGTCGCCCTCAATCCTGAACTCTAAAATCCAAACCCAAAACCCCACGTCAGTTAATTGCATTCGACTTGCACTGTTGACAGCGCCTGAAGCCTGAAGCCTGCAGCCTGAATCTTGCCTGCAGTAAGCCCGCAACTCCCAGACGGCCCAGACACCTCTATCAATCTGTGATATGCTCTGGCAGTTTTTTTTGACTATGATTTTTGCATGACTTTTGCATGCAGGGCCTTTGGCCATGGATCCTGCTTTAGGACATCATGGAGGTATTGCAATCCTGGAATATGAGGAATCCTGAGTTGCAGTTTTCTAGGACCTCTTGAGACTGCCATGCGCTCTTCCCAGCCCTGGACCTCAGCCCCAAGATCGCAAATCGACATGTCGTTGGAAAAGCTTTGGAAAATGCCATTCAAACACCCTGAAATCTGAAAGACTCTGAAAGAATCGTGGAATCTTAGAGGCCTTGGGGAAGGACTCCGAACTGTGCCATCGGCGCTCGAGGGCGTTGCCAGGCGGCCCCAGGCCTGCGCCGAAAAGTGGCGTGGCCGGGCCGTGCAAGCGGGCTGACAGCCCTGAAGCACACGTTGAAATACGTTGGAGTACAAGGAGAGCAGCAGTATAGCAGTGGTACAGCTTTCGTTCGGTTTTGGCAGCATACAAGAGTACAAGTCGAGAGAGCACAATGACAAGGAGTGCGTGGGAATTGAACATGATCAGACATGGTGCAGGGTTTTGGGGACCAGCACACCTCTATTGACCGTCTTGCGCAAGTTCCCTAAAGGGGACGACGGCACTTGGTGGTGAAAAAGGGGATGCCGGATGCTCGAGCTCGAAGGCCTTGTGGCAAAGGTCCGGCAGAATGCCAAACTTCCCCGTATGCTGAAGCCTTGGCAATTCTTGGCAATCCCTGGCAGCATTCAGCTACAGCGGCGACGGCCTCGTGCATACTAGCGACATAACGTGGAGATCTGGTCCGTCGGAAGCATGCGCTCAGAGCCAGAAGCCTACATGCCCCAACCCAGCTCTGGCCTCGGGGCCATGTCGTATGCCGCATCGCAGCTTGGTTGCCGGCCCAGGATGTGCAGGGCATCAGCCCGCAACAGCAAAAACCAACCCTTCATGGCTTAAAGTCAAAAAGTTCAAAGGTTTGGGTTCCGTGAATGGTTCTGAACATTCGACTTCTTAGATGCAGAGCCCGGCCCTGCACTTCGTAGCCCAACCCGGAGGGCCACGCCCATGGCCCCCAGTCCTGTGAGCATAGCATGTCACAGGATGGCACAGCATGGCACAGCGTATCGAGAGCGCGACCAGGGAACGCGTTTTAAAGGATCGCGCAGTTCACGACACTTCACGAGGTTCGGGAGAGCCCAGGGTGCAGGCTTGATTTCCTGCTTGCGCCATGGGGGCGCGCCAGAGCTGTACCAAGGCCCCCGCTTGGGTGACATGAGGTGTTTTTTCTTCACTTGCTGAATGTCATTGAAGGTTGACACGTTGACTGCAGATCTTCTTACTAGAATCCCGCTTGTCAAGCGGCCAAGTGCAGCCCCAGATCCCTGGATTTTGCAAGCTGCAAGCATTTAAACCCTGAAACCTGAGGCCTGCAGCAATTGCGCCGCCGACTGTACGCGACCAGGTCAAGGCCCGACCTGCAGGAGGTGCTCACTAGATATAGAATGGTTCAGAAATGGTTCAGAATGGTTTATAGTTTTTATTTAGATAAAATTTAGATTGTTCTGGGCGTTGGATAGCATGGGGGTTTCGGAGTTTGGCGTCCAGGGCTGGGGAATCGGCTACTTCAAGCTTAGGATTTAAGGCGTTGCCGTGTCTCCTTGGATGCAGCAACCCTGCAGGCCCTTGTAGAGAATGGAGGGAATCGGGGTCTAAAGTGTGGATTGGCCGCAGGAACTGGAGAATGGGGCTAACAAGAACGCATGCGTATGCGTTCAACACAATAGTCCAACCAGCCTTACCTGCTTTCACTTCTGCTTGTCGCAGGTTATGGTGACGACTTCGACGACGATCGGCCCGGCGGGGATCCGGCAGGCGGGGCTATGGAGGGGGCTATGGAGGGGGCTATGGAGGGGGCTATGGAGGGGGCTATGGAGTGTTGGGATTCGGCTTTGTCAGTTGTGTGTTTCCCTGTCCTAAGCCCAAAGCCTGAATGAGGCTGAAAAGGCTAAGCCAGGGCAAAGCCTTACAGATGTGAGATTCCAAAGTCAATCTTCCTCTGGTCTCGGCTCTCGACTCCCAGTGCAGGAGCAACCTTCGAGGAGACCTTGGAGGAGCTGCTCTCCAAAAGCCAAAGCGCCCTGAAGACGTGACTCTGAGCATGGAGACTGTGTAAGGCCTAACAACCTTTTAAGCTTCCATAATCAGCTTGAAACTCGAGGAACAAGGAGATCTTTCTCTGAAGAAGCATAGAAAGCCCGTGTCCTCGCTGCCAAGTTCAAACACGGACAGCAGAACATAGGTCAAGCTCACGTAGGATCTGAACAGCTTGGACCGCCACCTGATGTTGTTCTGCGCCTCGTCGAATCTGGCGGCGGTGCGGTGGCTGATGCAGCTAGGCCCCTTGCCTCAGAATCAGGGAGTTTGCTGGAGTGTGAGGTTTTGGGTTGTTCAATCAGCTCAGAAATTGCAGCGGCTGTTTGCCTCATCCATCACCTGATCACGCGGCTGTCTCCTCCCCTCACCTCAGCCAAATTCAGCCTCGGAGCCAAATTCAGCCTCGGGGAAGTCAGGAGGGGATGCAAGGTTGAATTCGGAGGACACTTCGGCGAGGACCTTCCCCAAGCTCCACATGATGGCAGCCGACAACCCTCGACAGCCTTCGACAACCCCGGAAGATGAACCCTCCCCGTTCAGTGCTTGTAGCCTCTTGTCAGCCTCTTTCTCATTCTTTCTGTCATGCCCCCGAACCCCTCTGCGGTCCTTTTTGGTCCACCGCAATCACTGCAGTCGCTGCAACCGCTCTAGTTGCTGCAGGGGCCAGGTGGGATGCATGCGATGCTAACAGCACCTTGGCTCAGCTTCAACTTCTTCCGCGGTTTTTTGGTCAGGTTCCGATGAAAGGCCAAGAAGCTGTTTTGAATCTGTTTAGGCGGTTTAGTGAGTTTGGTGTGGGACCACGGTGGGATGTTGGAGTGGTTGTCGCCGACCGTGATGTCGAGCCCTCTGATGAAAACAAAAGGGCCCGAAATGACTTCCCACTAAACCCCCTATTCGCAAACAGCAGCTTCGGGGTTTAGGATGGTTCAGGGTCGAGTCGGGGTTCGGGGTTAATCCCCAGTGCAGGTCAATTTGCGTCTAGACGCTAGACCCTGGACTCCGTTGGCATGATGTCGACCCTCATCGACTCTCCTCGACCCTCCTCGACCCTCCTTGACCCTCCATCTCAGCACCAGAGACCCCAAAAGGCCTTCCAAGCCACAAGGCACAACTTGCCTCCATGTCGCCTGCCGCTCGGGAACTCTGTCCATAGTCAAGGCAGGCTCCAGGGCAGGGATGTATCAAGTGCTTTGGGGAGGGCGCGTTGCGCATCTACTGTTCACCTGTGGAGTAGAACAAATGGGGCTAGAGACGCCCCTGGAGTGACAGACCTTCAACTGCACTCGTTCATCGTCGCTGCTTTCTCAGTTCGCAGAGTTGAGGTTGAGTTGCTCAAAGTTCAGGCCTGTTTGGCTCTGTGAATTTTGGGGTTTGGTGTTTCGCATCATGGTGATTTGGGACTCAGGCGTTTTGGGTTGGGTACTGGCGTCCACACGTGCAAGCTGCAACCAAGATCAACGGTGCAAAAGCAGAATGACACATAGGGCAGTTGTGGAATCCATAGCTATTGCACCCGTCCACTCCTTCGATTCAATGTGCCCGGAGTATTGTATGCTTGTTCTCAAGCGAGTCCGTCATGGACCCTGCATTCGCTGACCACAGGAAATGATGGAGCACAGACAGTTGCTTGAGGCGCCTGGATGTGCATCGTGCTTTCCGCACAAAGCGTTTTGCAAGAGCGTTTTTCTTGTTTCGCTTTTTTGTTTAGCGGAAGCCATGTGGCCCCAACGGATGTAGGAGTTGAAGCTGTGGGATGGGGGAGTCCAGGCACATTCAGCAAACTCAGCAAAGTCAGCAATAGCAGCACAGGTAGCAGCACAGGTAGCAGCGCAGGTAGCAGCACAGGTAGCAGCACAGGTAGCAGGAGCAAGAGAGGCATCTGCACAGCAAGGAAGCCAAGATGGAACTATCTCCAGAAACCCTCCCTCTCCCTTCAGCCTACTAATCCAATGTAACTGAACGAACTCACCCTGAAAGCCCCCCAAAAGAGACTCATCGCTTCCTTCAGGCCGCCGAAACCCCTAGCACCCCCCATATTAGTGGAGGGATGAAGAGGGATGAAGGATGATGAAAAGGTGATGAAGGGGTGATGTCAAGCTGCACTGTGGAGGCCGTTGACATGGCGGGCTGGACGCCCTTGCACATTGCGGCCAGGGCCCCCGGGAGTCGAGAACCAATGCGAGAGTGACACAGGGAGGAGGAGAGGCGCTTGCTGCATTACCTGAATCTACACAGAAAAAAAACTCATCTGTCTGTTTTCTCACCAGTTTCGCAACTTTCTGTTGGGGGGCTGGCTGCCAAAATCCCGCAACACTTGCAAATAAGGTCCACGTCGGACGCCGCGAAGTGGTCATCCGGCTGCTTCAGGCTGGTGGGATGGTTGGCTTGGCTTGCAGGGTTTTTGTTCGGTGGTTTATGGCATTGGAGGTGCCGGTGTCTTTCGGAGTCTGCAGCGGCATGGTACCCGAGGTCTTCTACTAGATGACCAGAAGAGCTGTGGCAATCACCGAGGTGTTTGTGAGGGATGTCCCTAGAGCATGCGTACCTTTCCTTATGCTTTCGAAGCCTACAGTTTCACAACTCTCCGGGAAGTTCTTGCCAACCATTTGAGTGAGTTCTGAGTGGGTCGAATAGTCTTTATCCCCAAGCCAACATACGCTCTACAACGCGATCTTGAAGCTCCCACTCTCCAACCCCAAGCCACAAGGATTGGAGGAGTACATGGCCACCTGCAAATGTCCAGAAAGTTTGTTCACTTTCCTCAGGCCGGTGCCAAGCTCAACCAGAGGAACAGCAAGGGGCAGGCGCACCAACCTGGGTTGAGCAGAGTAGGATGCTGGACCTTCGAGGGTTGATGCCTAACTGTGATCAGCCTTGGCTTCTCATCCTCATTTTCTCAGATGCCAGTGTCAAAGTTGCTGTGGAAAGCAAGCAAAGTGGTAGTGGCCGAAAGACCGGCTGGTTGTCCAAGTTGTCCAAGTGCTTTCCAAGCTGTGAGAGGTCATATGATGCTCGCCTGTTGGAAGGAGGGTTGACAAGCCTGGGACGGACAGATTACAAGATGGCCTTCCTTTTCTTTGATAAGCCTTGTTTAAAAGGACCCTATAGCACACACACACACACACACACACACACACACACACACACACACACACACACACACACACACACACACACACACACACACACACACACACACACACAGACACACAGACACACAGACACACAGACACACAGACACACAGACACACAGACACACAGACCCACAGACACACAGACACACAGACACACAGACACACAGACACACAGACACACAGACACACAGACACACCGACACACAGACACACCGACACACAGACACACAGACACTTCAGACACTCAGACACGCATACAAGCCATACACGCAGACACCAGACACTCAGACACTCAGACACGCATACACGCCGACACGCAGACACGCAGACACGCAGACACGCAGACACGCAGACACCAGACACGCTACACGCAGCAGACACGCAGACACGCAGACACGCAGACACGCAGACACGTAGACACGCAGACACGCAGACACGCAGAGACGCAGACACCCAGACACACAGACACACAGACACACAGACACATAGACACACAGACGCATCCAACCTTCAACTTAGCGACCCTTCAAGCTTCAAGCCGGCTGTGAGGTGCCCTCGGAGCTCTGCGCGGACAACGGGACTTACGAGGCGCCTATGTTACCCTATGCTGAGCATGTGGGATTGGGAGGTGGGGGTTCAGGTTGCATGCTTTTGGGTTCCGGACATTTTTCCGCACGTTGTGGTGCAGAAAGCACCATGCTCTTGAGCAATATTGGAAAACCGGGGCCCTCCAAATGAAAACGCACACATGACTTTGAGCTTGGCATCAGAACCAATTTGTAGGAGTTCATCGTTATGATTCGCATAGCTTACTTCAAAACACACATTGAAGCATTCCTCACAGGCCATCCGATCCTACGAGCTTCACCAGCCGAGCCGGCATGTGTTGAGGGCAGAACAATCGCAATGCTGTCCAGTTGCAGTGTGGTTCTGGCCTCCAGTTGGCAATCGGGGCAGGGGGGAGGGGGTAGTAATTTGAGATACTTGAACGCAGAACATTCAACATCCTTTCAGGATGCCTGACCAAGAACTGCCTCAGATTCTATCAAGATTCAGCATGTAGTGGGTTATTTAGGTCGAAGTGGCGGACAAACCCCCAAACTAAAAGTGGCCAACGTCCGAAGCCCACACTCCCTTCAAATCCTCAAGACAAGGCAGCAGAGTGTCGGACAGCCGTGGGATTTCCCTTTGGATGCGCACCAGAACGAGGCCAGGTTGAAAATCCGAAACTGCAAAGCCCTGAATCATTCAGGCAGTTGTTAGCGAAACCTTGAAACACGGATCTGCAGTTGACAAAGTCGGTCCTGAGCCAAGCAAACATGTCGGAGGGATCAAGAGCGGCCGGAGAAACATGCATCCGGCGCAGTACAGAGGTCAGAGGTTTCGGGTTAAGGGTTTGGGGCAAAAGGGTTTGGAGGTTGAGAGTGTGCGATAGTAGAGACGTGTTGCGCATTGCCATCTCTGCGGGGTCCTGGCGCATGCACATCGTTTGGTCTCCCCCCTTATCCGGCCCCCCACTTACACCGCAGAAGCTGCGCAACAACACACCGCCACTGGCACGCCAGTACCACTTGCATCAATGCCACCCTGCCACCCATATCCCTGCAGGGCTCACCACCCACACCACTTCACACTGCGCCACTTCGCCCCTTACTGCGACATGAGCAACACAATTGCAAGAAGACCTTATAAACAAGGAGTGAAGACTGAAGAAAAAGAAAACATAGCCTTTCAGAAGTAGAATAAGCTCCCCAGGCCAAACCCAACAGGAAGAAGCACCGCACCCCAAAGCATGCTACAGGCTACAACACATCAAATGCATGTCGCGTCATGAGGCAGGCAACCCCTGCACAGCTTCAGGATATCGTCGGCAGCCGGCTTCAATATGAGCCCTTTTTTGTGCCACGGCAGCCTGTCATCAGATCTCAGCAGTTCAAGAAGGAGCCGTTGCTTTCCAAAGTGGTAGCTCTTGATCAGGCGATGAACAGGGCTAGCTCAGCGGAGTTGGGTCGCCACGCAAAAGATGGCAACGCATTCGGTCTCCAGACTCACAATGCATGGGGACTTCTTTCCAGCATATAGAAGATTCCATTCCGACAGCCTTCTTGATCGTTTTCGTGGGCTGTTGCATGCTCCAAGTCTAAGGCAACATGAGAACCTAAATGCATGGGAAACGCGATGCTGCGCGGAGAGCAACGGGTTCAGCTAGGTATACGGGGCAGGCGTCGACCTTTTTCGGGTACCTCCCACGTGATCTGCAAACACATTCATCTCAGTTTCTAAATTTCAGAGACGCTTCGGGAAGTTGGAGAAGCCTCCTAGTAAAGGACTCTCGCAACTAAAACCACACTCCCAAACATCTCTATGAGCCCCTTGAATCCCGCATTTCCTGCCGAAATGCTATCAAAGCCATCCACAGTACTGGTGGAGGAGTTCCAGCGCATCGGGACGCTGATCTTCAACAGACAGTTCCTGGGCCACCAAGCCTGGCAGCTTTTACTAGGTCGTGGAGTCATCAGGGACGTGGGATTTTCGACCTCTTTTTTGCTGCTCCCTGTCCCACCGACTCCGAAACCCAAGCCCAGAGCTGAAGTGGTTGGGAGATGTTGGGAGTCTTGAGTTTTAGGCTGACATTTTGCTCGTTCTACTCCACATGGTCACTTCTCTAAATCATGGTCCCCTTTAGGGTCCTCATTATGAGGCGACCCCTCTTCTTTAGGGCACCCCAAAAAAAAGACAATGATGTTGAGAATTGACCACATATTCCTCAAGCTAGATGTGTGCAGCTGTGTCGAATGCGGTTCCATGCCATTCCATAATCAGTGAGACGAAGACAACCATGTGCCTGTGAGTGTTATGTCGGTTGCCATTCTTACTCCTCTTTTTCTTACCATCCTCCTGAACCCTAAGCTGCGAAATCTTGAATCTTAGTTGTTGGCTTCCAATCTTTGCGCTAGCCAAGAATACTAAGTACTTCCCCAATTCCCTAAGCTCTCGAACCTCCTAAATCCGACCCCAAAAGTCTGAGGCCCGGATTCGGCCTCGCGTTCCTTGTGGCCAGTGGCGTAGCCCGTGACTACCCGGCCACCGGCCCAGGATGCGAGAGGTTGAAAGCGTTTTTTTTCTTACTCTTTGTCCTGGAGTGCCAAAGAGTCCTCGGTCCCGGGATGCCGAGAATCTTCATTTGTTTTCTTCCTTTGGCTTCCCTCGGCTTCCCTTGGCTTCCTTTGGCTTCCTTTGGCTTCAGGGGTTTACAGTTTAGAGTGTGGGCTTAGAGTGAGAGCTGTGCATGAAATGTTAGGGCTCTGTCCCGATATGGAAATTTTGAATCCACTTTCAGCGTTGTCCGCAGGGCATGAAGTGTTGAACTGGAATGCTGACTTGTAGTGGCAGCTTGGCCTCGTGCTGGAGGACGGTCTTGGCGCTCTCAACTTGCGATGGGTGTCAGTGCGATGGCATCTCAGGCCTTCTCAGGCTGATGTTTTGTAACGTCCGAGGTCTCGTAGGCGTGTGTACTGGGGTTGCTTCGACACAAAGACAGTCTGGCAACGTTGGCAACGTTTACCGGGCGAGGAGTCCTCGGCAAGAATATGGAGCCTGTGGCTGACACATAGCATCCTGACCTCGCCACAACCCTTGCCACCAAAATGCCCACAGGCAAAGGCCGCTAGACTCGACAAGTCGACGCGTGCCGGTTCCGGTCATGTCACCTGGGCTTCGTGGCACGCTAGGGACTCTCGGAGCAGCAGGAGCAGCATGGCAAAGCTCTGTATTGAGTCTTAGAAATAGAATGACAGAGACGTACTCGAGAATTGGAGTCCGAGTCGCTGCTGCTTTAGGTTTCGCACAACAAAATGCAGTTTGAAATGGCATGAGGATGGGACGGGGTAGCATGTTCCATCCGAAGCCTTTGGACCTGTGTTCTGACTGAGAAGTGTCGGAGCATCTGTAGTGGCAACGGGCCATGAGAAAGCCCGAGGGCAAGCTTTTTGGGGCGCTGGCTTTCGGCAATGGCCAGGGTCACCAGTCCAGTGCATGGACGGTGTACTAGAAAAAACACTAAGTTAGCAACATGGCCTGCTTCTTTAGAAACATGTGAAAGCAACTAAATGGTAGCGTTAGTTGAGTTAGATTCTCAATGATATCCGATTGTCACCAGTTGAATCGTTGACACGATGTAGCTTATTTCACGAATGTGCCTTACTGCGAATAGCATGAAGCCATATCCATTGACTCCCAGCTCACGGTTTGGCGTAAATGTCGCGCGCAAAGGGCCTCATGACCAAGCAACGTTTGCCGAAGCCAAGGTCGACATGTCCACTTTCTTGAGGAGGAGCAAGGCCCGATTCCCAGCACATGAGCACATGGGGCGTGTGCCAGACTAGACATGAGTCTCTCTCTGTCCCTCCCTAGGTCCCTCTCGCTCTTTGTAGAGTTGTGTGCCATCAGCTGCAGCATTGCATGGACTAGCACATGGCAAATGAATCTTGGCAATGCCATCAGCAGAGACATCGCGCGCTTGGCCCAAGCCGTGGCAGCTGGCTGACTTGTCCTCTCCCCGCAGCCCGCGCCACAAGGAATGCGTTAGGGTGCTCTGACTCATGACTCTCGGTCAGGTGCCTGTAAAAGTGATGTGCAATGTTATGGATGGCTTCAGCCTTCACATGGAGGATGTTGATGGCGTTGGTGTCCCGAAGATATCCATGGCGATCTCTGTGAAGATGAGCTTCCCCATTAACGATCTTCTCAAGATGTTGGCCTTATGGCAGGAACGTGAGGTGGACGAGGAGGGCCGCACACGGCGTGCGCAGGAGGCGTGTAAGGCAGCCGAGGTCCCGGGTCCTCTCCGCAACTCTCCAAATTATGCCAATTACAAGGCGGAGAACAGCTGGGAACAAATCTCATCCTCTCCCTTTCCGAAGGTCGTCTTGCGCGATGAGATCAAGCTGAGGGCGAAGAACTTTGCCGCACTACCCGTTCCGGAGCAGGGGCATATGAGCTACGCGCAGTTCAGGGCTCGGAGATCTCAGGCCGGCACAGCCGGCACTGCGACCAGCTCTTTAAATACGGCCAGTGAGGCCCCCGATTCTGGGCAGAGGCCCGAAGTTCCGAACCCGAAAGCACCACAAGGCTGGACAAGTCCAAGCTGGCTAGCAGCTGTCCAACACAAAGCATCCTCGGCCTGGGAGTCTTTTACTACACAGTAGGCTGCAACAGAGCAGGGTGTCAGATGGGGAGTGACCTAGAGAGCATCTAGAGAGCCGTAGAGTGCCCTAGCACGTTTTCCGTTGCTTGACTCGAGGATGCTGCTGGGCCTTTGGCCTATCCTTTCTGATGTCTGGTAATGCGAAAAACGGAGACGAGCCAGGACACAATGAGCCGGCTGTGAATGTACAAAGCTCCCAAACTCTCAAACTTTCTGGAAAAGCGTCCGCATGCATCTGCCCCTTCGCTGTTTATAGGGCACCCTTTGCAAGCCCTCCCCCCTTTCTCCCCCCGCAAGCCTTCAGGTCGACATCAAGCAGGTCGGAAACTTCTTGGGGGAGGCCTCCCAGAACTGCGCTGTTTAGGGCGCCTCCTTGGAAGATTTGGAAGCCTAAAGTTCCTCAAGCCATCTCAAGCCCTAAACCGTGGCAGGTGCTCAAAATGCACCCAAGGACAGTTGGGCGGTTGGACGGTTTGGACAGTTTGAACTCCCGACTCCCAAACTTAAGCTCCGATGATCCAGGATCCTTGGCCAGGGGCTCTTTGTGTCCGATTCTCTTGGGGGTGCTGTGGTTGGTTTAGGACCTGTTTACGTTTTGGAGGCTTTTCTGTGTTCAAGTTTGGGATGAATGCCGTGATGTCCGCCCTAACCTGAAAAAATCAACAGGGCAAGTTGTGACTCGAGGCGGGTCTCGGATTGGAGCTTCTGAAGGGCTTCAGGGCGTCTTCTTGTAGTGGTCTTGGCAGGCCTTCTCGCTGTCCCATACCATTCGCCTGGAATTTTTGAACTCGGTGGCCAAGCGCTGAGATCATGTTGCGGTGTTGTGGTGTTGTGGTGTTGCAGCTTTCTGATGGTTGCGCCGGAAAAGACTGTGGCTCCTAAACCGTGAGACCTGTACTGCCCCCTGGATGCTCATGAAGCTAGGAAGGCCATAATCCAGCCGAAATGGGCAAGATCCGTCCCAGCTGCTTGCTGCAGAGGTGCTGCAGAACACTGGTGTGGTCTCTGCGCTGATCCAGGCCATCCCTACCTGCCGGATGGGAAATTCAAGAAATGATAAGCTGCCAAAGTTCAGTGTGCGTTGGACGTCCAAAAGAGATCTTCAGAAAAGTGTTCTTCGAGACATCTATACAGACCCCACATCCCATATGGGCCCATCTGAAACGTGCAGGTCTTCCACATGCTCCAGCTGCCAGACGACCTGCTCCTTCCAGCCTGATTGAACGCTTCTGCAGCTGCTACAGCTAGAGATTCAGTTTCAGCGTTTTTGGCTGTGGACTATATAGGCGCCTTCGAATTGCATGAGGCTCAGGCCGCCTTAGGTCCGATTCAAGGCCACGTGGATTGCAGGGTTCTTTTTTCTTTTCAGACTGAAGAAAGTTGTGTTTGCAGCCAGGCAGAAGATCAATCGGCTTGTGCATGGCGTCGCAAGGATATGGTGGAGGCCCATGAAAGTTACAGGTAGCAATTAAACAAGGGCATGGTGGTGGTTGTGGTGGTGGTGGTGGCGGCGCCGGCGCCGATGAAGCTGATGGTGACGATGAACAGCTGCTACTGCGGCTGCGGCTGCGGCTGCGGCTGCGGCTGCTGCTGCTGCTGCTGCTGCCGTTTTCTGCTGCCGCTATCTGCTGCCGCTGTCTGCTGCCGTTATCTGCTGCCGTTATCTGCCGTTATCTGCTGCCGCTTTTTGCTGGCTGCGGCTGCGGCTGCTGCTGCTGCTGCTGCTGCTGCTGCTGCTGCTGCTGCTGCTGCTGCTGCTGCTGCTGCTGCGGCTTTGGATGATGATGATGATGATGATGATGATGATGATGATGATGATGATGATGATGATGATGATGATGATGATGATGATTGTGAAATGACGAGCGCAAGTGCGACCCAGACGACCACGACGATCATCATAACGGTGATTGTGACTGTGGTGACGTTGATGACTGTGACGATGATGTTAGTTTTCGGAGTGGAAGTTCATCTCGTTCTAGTGGAAGTAGGAACATGCAATGGGACCAGGTGCAACATCAGTTCTACCGCAATAAGTCCAAAAGTTGGGTTCCGTGAAGCGATGGAATCTGAGAAGCGTCCTTCTGATGTGACACAGCGTCATCCTTCTGAACAACTTCGATAGAGAACGTTCCTCATGCACTTGGGTTCATGCACTAGGGGATGGAGGTGTTCTGAAAGTTGATGCTGTACTCTGTTGCCGTCCATGTTTTGATTCCGTGCCTCCGTAGAATTTCATTTCTTTAACCGCATGTTTTCATAATTTTGTGCTTGCGAGTGCGAGGTGAAGACAGTTGCCACAAGTAGGCATACACAGTGGGCTCCGCAATTGACCCATACGAGCCCCGACATCTTTTGAAGAAGTCCTCTGGGAAGGAAATCCCAGCTTCTGTCCACGCGGTTCTTGCCGTTTCACTTCGACGAACGGCAAGCTCGAAGCCTACCTCCCCATGCAGCACACTGACTGAAACCCTGACCGTGACCACCATGGCTCGCATGCCATGATGCGAGGGTCGGCAGAAATCTTCAACGTGAAAGCCTTGCTGAAGAGCTTCTTCTCATTACGTGTTTGGCACTCGTTGGCTGCCTCGCGCATCGCGTCGAATCGATGGTGACGCCGCTGGAGATGTTGTTGCGTACATCTGCATGAGCACGCATTCATGTCTTAAAGGTCTTAAAGGTTGTAGAGGTGGGAATCCTCCTCACGAGAAGCAGTTGCCACGTTGGGAGTCCTCCGCAACATTCGTTCGAGTCCCAGGCTTCACTGGCGTCAATTTCTTTGCGCAAGACAGACAGGGGTGTGTTTGGCCATGCAGAGTGGAAGCTGTGAGCCTCTAAGCGCCCGATTGTGCAGAAATGGGCTTCTTTAGTGGCAAGGAGTGTGGAGTGGGTTTGAGTTCTGCGTAGGCAGCATGAGCGGATGCAGCGCGAGAGCTCCGGAGTGGCGCCCTCAGGCCCTAGGCCCTCAAGATCCCTCAAGCCTAGCAAGGCTTTGCTTTTGAGATTTTTAAGCGCAAGAACAGAAAGATGTTTCAGAAAGCTTAGCTTACCACTCCGAAATGCAGTGATGTTGTGATGTTCGTTTACGGCCCTTAAACGGCGATGTCGGTTTGGATGTCTCCGAAAGGAGTAGACTCGAGTCTAAAGAGCGGAGACAGGAAAGATTAGGAAAAACTGTACAGATTCCGTTTGGAAGCCAGAAGTGAGACTTGGCATGGCTTTTGCTGTGAAAGCTTGCTACAGGAAATCGGATAGACAATAACATCCACCACCCAACACTTACGTCTGAATGCACGTGATTTTTTTGGGTACGTGCTTAGAGGAGTAGCTCGTTTTGGCTTCCGAAACGCGTTGTGTCAGCTGTTAGGCGAGGTTCTCGAAGCCCCTGCAGGCTTGCCAAGCTTGGAACGTGTGTAAGGTTCTGTAATCATATTCGAATACACAAGGCAAAAGCGCACCACTGAGCTGCCGAGTACCCCATAATTCACGAATATACCTTCAACCAAGGACCCCTAGACAGTGTAAGGGATCTTTCTTCACTAAGGGGTAAAGAGGGTTCTCCGGGTATGAAACCCTAAACCCACAATGCAAGGGGTGCAGAGAGGGCTCCCTGGGTATGTTTCGCTTCCTCACTGCAGCACAGCCTCAGGCATAGACCGAGGTCAACTCAAGAGCCCTTCATACCCTTTCAGGAATATTCCTAAGGGTAGGTTCAGGGAGGGTTCTGATGTATAGGGGTCATGGTTCGGGTTTCAGGGTTCCTCTTCTCCATATCTCAGCTCATCTCAGCTCTTGGGACATCAAAGAACTGCACCTTCAACGCTTTTAGCCTCAGGACTCTAAGGCTTTCTGACTTTTCAGGAGCTCTGGCTGCAGATGCTCTCTTCCCAGACAAGCTAAGATATATACCCTAGAAAAATGATTGCAAAGCTTCTGGACTCTATTGTAAATGAACCTTCCTCAAAAAGAGGCCCCGCAACTCCTTTGCGCCCCACCAAGGCGGTGGCACCTCGCAAGCCCATGGAGAACGGCTCCATGCAACTGAACCTCTCCCAGGCCCAGAGTTCGGAGAGTTCGGAGACCAGCTGAAAACCGTTTAAAAAGCCAGGCCTTAGCCGGGCCGTATCCCTGAAGCCTAAACGTCTCTGGACCTGAATGTCTGAATGTACTTTGCCTTCGGACGTAGACCTTCAGGGGTTAAAGCTGAAGGGTTTGGGACCCGCATGCTGCCCCATGTTGCCCCAGAAGCTCGTCCTAGACCAATCGCCTTGGCTCAGATTGTGCATAAGGCAGATTGTGTGATTACATGCGAAGGAGCTGAGCGGTCTGGAGCTGAAGCAGTACCTGTCGGGCTCCGACGTCCTGCACCAGGTGCCAAGAACGGGTCCCGAACTTCAGAGTTTGTCATAGTGGAAGCCATTAGCCTGCAAGCCCGAAACCTTCAAACCCTCTGATGTGAGGATTCTTTTTGCATCAAACTTACCCTGAAGCCCCGCTGATGTTGCGACCCCACTCTAAACTTAGCCCGAAGCCCAACAAGTTGTTCATGCGCAGCTCATGTTCTCCACCGTCATGCTTCACTGGTACCTCTACCGCGATGGCCCTACCGGGACCAAAAAGGCCGGGAAATTTTCAGGGGTTCGCTTGGGAACGTGAGCGAAGCCTCTGCTTATGTGCTTTGCTTTTGAAGCTCACCCTAAGCGAAACCCGCCCCTTCCGTGCCCGCAGGCCGATGCCTAGCCAAGACCCAAAATTCAAGTTTTTTATTACCCCCCCCTGCCCCTGTGGTGTAATCCCTCCCCTCATCCCTCCCCTCGGTGCGGTGCGGTGTGGGTTGGGTTTTAGGGTTTAAGGGTTTAAGGTTTTGCAAGCTGTCGCACAGTGCGTAGGTTTAGTTTAAGGTTTTGGGTTTACCCCCCCCCCCTCTTGGTGTGGTTTGGGGGTTGGGGTTTCAGGTTTAAGGTTCAGGGTTGAAGGTTTGGGGTTTAGGGTTTAGGCTTTAAGGTTAAGGGTTCAGGGTTTGGGGAGGGGTTTACGGTTTAGGCAGTCTTTTTGCAGTTTTAGGGTTTAAGGTTTGGGGTTTAGGGTTTAGGCTTTAAGGTTGAGGCGTCAGGGTTTTGGGAAGAGGTTTAGGGTTTAGGGTTTAGGGGAGGGAGGGGGGTGCGGGGGGCGGGGGGGGGGGGGGGGGGGGGGGGGGGGGGGGCTGGGAACCGGCGAACCGCCAACGCAATCAAATATGTATACACACATAGATACATAACTACATACTGTGCAAACATATACATGTACATATACATACATACATATACATATATACATATACATTATACATATACATATACATATACATATACATATACATATACATATACCTATACATGCATTCATACATATATACATATATATATACATATATACATATATACATATATACATATATACATAGTACTATATACATACATTATATCACATAGATATACATATACATATACATATATACATATACATATACATCTATACACATATACATATATACATATATACATACATACATATATACATCTATACATATACATATACATATATACATATACATATTCATATACATATACATCTACATATACATATACATATACATATACATATACACATACATATATACATCTACATATACATATACATATACATACACATACACATACACACACATATATATATATATACAAATATATCCTGTCGTGTCTGAGACTGTTCCGAACGACCGAACGACCCTGAACCAGAAAAAATCTCATCCACCTGGCCTGTGTGCGCATGGGGTTAAGCCCCAAAGGATTAGCAGGTTTAGGAAAGAACTCCAGCAGGAGATGGAGTTCGACACGTGGCAGCGGCAGAACCACGGCATTGAGACAAATGGCACGAATGTGCCGGACCACGTGCAGCAGCAGGTGTACGCACTAGTGAACAAGGCCGGGTACGCTTCGAGCATCGGAAGCTTTGGGTTTTTGATTCAGCAAGTCCTGATCGTGCCCCTATTTGATGCTTTGCAAGACCAGCAGCAGCAGCAGCAGCAGCAAGACTAGGGAAGAGGCCGAGCATTTTTTGACGACGCAACCAGTTGTCATGGTAGTTTCTACTCGCCAGTTCTGCTAGTTTGTTAGATGGTTTCGGCTCGAAGCTAATGGTGCTTTGAATCTTAGTTGCAAGATAGCGCTGAATCTACAAGTAACCCTATAGCCCACAGCTCAAGGCCCAAAATCTTGCACCTGATTGTGCTATGAACTCGAGAACTCGAGACTGTTCTGTCACAACACCTCGCAAAACCTTATGGGAAGGTATTGAACCATCAACTTCCCCCCCTGCCCTCAAGGCCTTCATCCCCGAGCTGGCCGTCGCCTCGGCGCAGAAGAAGCCCGAGGGGCCCCGTCCTGAGCTTCCGTTGGATTGCCAAGGTTGCAGGGTTTGGGTGTTGCCCCCAGCAATGTACCAGTAATGTACCCTTCTTCCGGTGCAGAGATCCCAAGCCTCAGGGGGCCGGACGAGGGAGGTGGCCCTGGAGAAGTGGCACCCGAGAGGCCTCAGCCTTTGAATTTGCCCCAGAATTTTGGGGTTGAACGGTTAGTGTGGTTTGGGTCCGGGCCTTTTGTGTAAAGGCTGCAGCAATTTGGGGGCCCGCATCAGGGGCTGCAGCCCTAAACCTTAAACCCTGCACCCGGGCATCTTGCGGAGCGCGATGGTTCTCCCACATCCGCTTGCGAAAGTCGAGATGTTTGAGCAAGACAAGCCGCGAGAGGCCCATGGCGCCACTGCTTGCTCCTTTCGCGGCTGCTGAAGGTGGGACTGGCGGCTGGTGAGGAAGAGCTTAGAAGAGCTTAGAAGAGCTTAGAGTGCATGGCCCAACCATCCTGCCAGAGAGTCCCTTCTGGTGAGCAAGGATCCAAAATCTCGTGTACCGCTGCATCAGCAGAGTATTGGAGAACAGCTTTGCCATAAACTCTGAGCCTGAAAGCATCGCAGCGCTGACATTCCAGTGAGAACTTAAAGCCCCATAGCCAGGGTGGGCGCAGATCGTTGGCGGCGGGTTTCCGAAGCCCAGTGGTGCGCTGACGGATCGATCTTGTTCTCATGCCCGATGCTTGCAAGCCGTAGTTAAAGAAATAGAAGGGAGGGTGGCTTTCGCAACACTCATGCAAGCCCGATCCCTGATCGGGGTTTGGGGGGGTGGTTCAGGCTTCAGAGCAATGTTTATAGGGAGTTGTGCAAACCCTCAAGATCCTTCAGCAAAACCCTCAAATGCGGATGGAAAGGCGAAACCCATTGGTCCTGCTGCACTTGCAACTCAGCGCGAAGCATTCAGCACAACAAACCCATTCGACTCTCTTCGACCGTGTAGGCCAGCGTAGAGCTGTGTAGGCCATCTGTGACTTGGTTCCAGTTCCGTGAGCTGCTGCGCTTTGCGGTGCAGGTGCAGCTGGAGTGCAAACAGTCACGTACTCGCCGCTTGGCTTGGAAGAGCGTAGCCTTCTTGCACTCCTTAAGTATTCTGACCCTTTTGCCAGTGGAAGGTATGCCAAGCTCCAGGCCTTGAGAAGCCCCGAGCACTTGGTTTAAGAGAGCTCAAGACCCTTATGCCCTTTGTTTGATCCCATCCGGTAACCGGCGGCCTCCCTGACTTCTAAATGAAAAAGGCACGTCTCCAGCATCTTCAGCGAGGTGACCCAGGGCACCTCAGGCACAGAGCAGGGTGGTTTGCAGGATTGTTTGGTGTCTCGGACGCCTGCTTTCCGAATGTCCGGAGCATTTCCTGGACATCTCCTGAGCATGTCTTGAGCATTTCCTGAGCATTTCCTGAGCATTCTTGGACTTCCGTCCTGCTCCGAGATTGCTCAGGATCGTAGCGTAAAGGCTCAACTGGACCCAAACCATTTATGGTTGGTGGCGGGCGCATGCATAGGCCGCCCTGTTACATGGTGAGTTCTTTCGGGGGTTTCAAACCTTTTGATGGTCTTTTCAGGTGTCGTTTGGCTGGGCAGTCGGGGGGGGTGGGTGGGGGGGGTGATAAGAACGTCATTCATACTACATCCATGCCCAGACTGATACTTACAGCGTTGTCGCCTCTTTGTACAACATACTGTGCAAGGATGTGGAACAAGACTCAAGACAGGTTGTCACAAGCGTCCATGCCTTTCGCGACCATGCCCAAAACACCGGTACTTACAGCGTTTTGGTTTCTCTACGGGTTGCGGGTTGCGGACTTGACCTTTAAGAGTTTAGACTCCGGGTTAGCACACTCAGCCTCAGAAACCGAAACACAATGTAACAAAGAGTGACATCTACTCCTGAATGCAACAGTTTCCTGGATGTCCAACTACCGTGCTTTTCCTCCTAAACTTGCAAAAAACCTAGGTGTCGTGCCATGTTTGCGTATAGAAAGCAACAGGGCGCCCTATGCTACCCCACTCTTGCAGTTCTCCGAAGCGGGCTTTGGCGGTTTGGGCGTACAGTGCATTCTGCGCATTGCGGAGAACAACACTTTGAGCGTGGCAAGGCTTGGTGCGCAGCCCCTTGGCAGCCAGCACGACCGACCTGGGCAAGCGCTCGCCCACGGGTGTGGAGGCAGACCCGAAGCTCCTGCAGTCGACACAGGAAAGTTGTTCTGTCGGATCAACCTCCCCGCCCTCTTTCTTTCTCTGTCTCTTTCTCTTTATCTTTGTTTCCTTTCTCTTTCTCTTTATCTTTCTCTTTCTCTTTCTCTGTCTCTTCCTCTTCCTCTTCCTCTTCCTCTTTCTCTTTCTGTTTCTCTTTCTCTTTCTCTTTCTTTTTCTCTTTCCTTATTCCTTACCAAACCAGGAAGGCAGGAAGGAGTAAATTATGCTCAGCGCTCTGTGCTTGTTTTTGCAGGCTGTGCCGGGCACGAGGATGGTCAAGCGGGACGACTTCGCGTGGCTGTCTGTGGTCTACACGCCCGCGGCCCAGGGCTGGGGCCCTCCAAATGCCTAGTCTCCTATTCAAGCTGTTCCTTACCAGATCCATTCCTTGTGGAAGTCCAAACTTTTGAAGGAACGATCCTACCTGCGGCAACTTTTCCTTCAGAAGCCCTGCCCAAACGAAGCATGAGGCATGATGAAACCAATGGACCAAAACCCAGTGCCAAACACGAAATTAGAACCCAAGGTCATGAGCCCTACGTCGCGAGTTCTCGTGCCTTGCGCCCCCAAGCCCCGCAGGCCCATTTAAGATGGAGGTCCGAGGTTGAGGGTTATCCTAGAACCCGAGACGCAAAGCCCGCATCCCTTATCCCGAAATCCCTAAACCTTTTTCGAGGCTCCTGTTCTTCGCCGCCCATCCTCAGACCGGGGCCCCGTGCGCACTTCGGGGCTTTGAGCGTTTCGGATTTTGGGTCGGCCGAGGCCTCCGAAAACTCCTCTACGCTGCCACTAAGCCCCCAAACACAGAGAGCTGAGAGGCGCTGAGAGGCCTTTGACAGGCGCTGAGAGGCTTCTTGTGGCTTCAGGAGTTGGATTTGCAACTTTAAACTTTAAGCTGGAACTTCTGAGATGTTGGAAAGCATGGCTTGGCACGGCGTGGTCGGAGAGCAGGTATGCCTTCATCGAGCTCAGAAAGGTCAACATCTCACAGATGGACGAAGGCCTGGGATTTAAGCAGCCTCTGTGGACACACGCCTCTTTCCCTGTTGAAAGTGGCTCGTTTTTTTGTTTTTTATTGTGTTTTCGTTGGAGCTCAATCTTGCCATCTTGTCCTTCTTTGCCCTAAAGCATCCAAGTGCAATTCGGAGCCTAGCCAGGTAACCAGGAGCTTACCCTGGTGGGAGTCGCGGACCCAGAGGACCATGAACCAGGCCCCGCGCAATGCGAGACATAGCTTGTCAACTGCTGTGCGGGGTGTGGACTGGGTTCAGGACCTCCTTGCAGGACCTCCTTACGTGACCAAGCATACCCCGCCACTCGTCCCTTGCAGCCCCGACAGTCGCTGGAAAAAAGCCACACCAACAGTCTTAATGCCCCTAACTGACGAAAACATGGGCAGACCCACAAAAAAAGCTCCGACAACTCCGGAAATGCAGACTATGTCACCGGCGGGGCGGCGCCCTCCCGGCGCAGCCGCGACCGCTCCAGCGAGGCTGGGGGAGGGCGCTCGGCCCAGTTTCCCGCAGTTTGTGCTGCAGGGTTCGACAAGGCGGGTTAAACGATGTTAAACGGGTTTATGCGGTCCAAGGTCTGCGCCGGTCGGCATCGTCCTCCTCCTTCCGGATGGGCGCTGGCAGGCTGGAGAGCTCGAGAAGCTGGAAAACCGCCAAGCCCCTGATACATCCCGAAACATTCCAAAAACCTTCCGCTGCCCTGGTGAGGAGCTGAGCATGCCCAAGCTCGACCTCCGCTTTCCTTCGGCAGAGAGCCTGAAGATGCCCGGACCCCCCGGAGGGACCTCTGGCGGGGGAGGGTGTTACGTCCAGTTTATTGCTGGGACTTCAGGGTACCTGCTTTGCTCTAAACGCGAGCGTAGGATCAAACATGCTTGCCTGAGACATCAGGTGGTCGAATCAGATCATGGCCGGGAGCCAAGGCCACTGTTTGGGGCCTTCGGACTCAGTTCCGTGTTGTTTTCTGTTGTGGTTTGGGATGGTTTGGGGCTTTTCGTTTTCAGTGCAAATCTTGAAACTCCTCGAGACTCGGCGCCTTGAAGCACGTGGCCGTGGCCTTCCAATGATTGTTTGTTCTGTTCCCCTGGACATTGCGCCCTCCTTTGACTTTTCGGATCTTTTCGGTCTGCCGCACAGGAGCCAATTAAGAGAACTGTGCTATGTAGTCGGGGCTTGGGCAATTTTTGGTGAAGTACAGAGCAGTCTCATGAGGTGGGCGAAGCATGAACCCCAAAACTCTCTTCTATGGTATTTCGGATGGTTTCCTGTTTACGGAACGTGGTTGGTTGTCAAGGTTTGGGGTCTTGGGGGGATGTCAGGTCTTGGGGAACCCTCGCCGCAGGGCGCACCAGTCGACCTTCCGCCGGTTCGGTTTCCGCTTTGCAGCGGATACAGGCCGGGAGCCGAGCTTTCTTCTTGTGTTTCTCTCTAGTTGAGACATCTGAAGACAAATCTGTGGACCACTACATCCTTTTGAGTATCAGCAAGAATCCGTCAGGCGCTCTCTGAGCCCGAAGGCACCTTAACTCTGCGTGCGCAGAAGAGCCTCCCGAAGCAATCCCCTAAACCCCAAGTCTCTCCCTAAATCTTCCTAAAAAAGGGAATGCCTTCACAGTCCAGTCTGAGGCGACCTGAGTGAAACCGCGCAGGGCTCAGGTCCCTAAAAGAGGGGTTTGAGGGGGTTTTGGGGTTTGAGGGGGTTTTGGGGTTGAGGGCTTCGGGAAGTTTAGGATTTCTTAGCGGGATTTGTGTGGGGTTTCGTGGGGTTTTGATGGTGCGGGGTTTTCGGTCTCGGCGACTCGGGGCTTGGAACACAAGCGGCCTGAGCCTCTAAGCCCCGAAGGCACGAGAAAAAGACAACCTACGACATCTCAATAACAAAGTCAAGCCCTCGCCTGAGCCGCCAAATTCAACCATATTGCACCCAAATTCTCCAAGCCCCGCCCTCCGCGCTGAGGCCATTTGACAATGCTTCATTTCGGCGATTTCGGCGAACGTAGCTAGCCCGCAGGAGACGAGTCCGACTCCAGTAGTGGTGGTAGAGTTCAGGCATTTAGCTTCTGAAATGGCAACTCGTTGAAGCAGCTCAGATGTCCAGACCTTGAAGGTCATGAGTTCAGAATTTGGCTCTGCCCTGGTACCCTCTACGTTTGCATGGTGACATGATAAGCCTAGCTGCCAGGAACTTCGGCAAAGTCCACATGCAAGACATCAGCTGAGTGGTCGGCGTTGGTAGGAGTGTTCGGTGCATGTTGCTGTTCAGGACTGCTTGATACGGTTCCTTGCCAGCTGTTCCTAGAGGTATGAGACTAGCTGTTGGCCCTGATCACTGTAAACAGGTGGTGGTGCAGAACCATTGGAGTGAAAAAATGCGTTCCGGCCGACGTGTGCACCGAAGATGGATTTGCGTTTGTAGCTCGGGGAAGTCGCCTCCGCGTTCTGGGCGACCCAAAAGCCTCCAAGCCCGGCCCAAAACCCCAAGCACCCTTCGAGCCGGAACCTCCAAATGGAGAGTTCTCAAAATTATGGTCCCTTCTTGGGTACCAAGAATATTACCCATACGCCCAAAAGGGACCATATTTCCCAGAAGTGACCAAATGCTTCCTTTGTAAGGATGGAGCTGCAAGCTCAAACCCGAAGTTGGATCTCTGCACCTGTGGCTTTCAGCCGGAGAACGTGGACCGTTTCCACTCGGGCACCTGCTCAAAGTTGAGGTCCATGTGCTAAAGCACACCCCTCAATGCAGGCAAATGCAGGCAAATGCAGGCAAAGGCAGGCACCTTGACTTTGAGAGGGGCCCGCATCCCACGCCAAAGCTGCGACACTCGTTCGAGGCGTGCGTCCGCTGTGCAAAGCCAAGAGAGTCAATGTAGCACCCCATGAAAAAGCCCCCCTGACCCCATCTGCAACCGTCCCAACCTAAAACGTGAGACCGCGCTCAGCATGACACGGATGTCCACACTCGTTGTGGCCTTCAAACATTCAAAGGGTTTCACAAGGGTTCGCCAAGCAGGTTCAGCTTTCGGAGATGCTCAGGTGGTGAAACGTTGAAACCCCTGAGCCCGCCCTAAAGACCTAGCTTACGCACTCTCAAGCCTTTCACCCGCGGATTCGCGTCGCGACAATTCGTTTGCAAACGCTGTGAAGCATTGTGAAGCATGGCCGCGGAGTTAAGGCTAATGGGCAAATGCAATAAGACCCTTTGTGGGAGAGGCCAAGAGGCCATTCAGGGTTTCAGGATGTTTCAGGCTTGGGCTTCGATGTCTTTCCCGAGATTGCAAGCTGCGCTTGCCCGTTCCCCTCAGAACTAGTCAGAACTAGTGGAGGTAAGGGCGACAGTTGGCGGTTGGAAGTTTTGTGGACAGTGCAGTCTGCAGCAGTTTAGGGAGTGCCTAGCAGCCACTTGCTTCACTGGCAGTAGCCAGCCAATGTGAGAGTCGTCAGCTGGAAGTCACAACAGCACTCAAGATGCACTGGCCGACAGCCTCGGCAGCCGCTTTGGCAAACCATCCTTTTTCCCCAGCCCGCACGAGCCCGAGTCCCCAAGGCATAGACTCAGACCAGTGCTAGGAGCCGAAGCTTCGGGATGCTGGCCATTTCGGAAAAAAGGGCTTATGGATGTTGAAGGCCTTGAGGTTTAGGCTTAGGGGTGTTTAGGGTTTAGGGGCCTGAAGGTCATGACGGCCACGACGATCCTAGGCCTTAGTCTAGTCTGCTGACGCTCACCAGATGCAATCCTCCCAGTCTCACCAATGGGATCACAAAGCAAGGCCCGTCATTGCAAAGCGTGCAGGGCTGCATTGCACGTACCCTTGATGGGTTCTGTTAGCCGTCACCATGGTCGCTGCGGTGCGTTGCGTTGTTAGTCAGAGCAAGGTTTGTTGCCCACCCTAGCTTCTTGTGGGCACATCTGAAATGTCGGAAACAAGGTGCTGTACAGTTTCAATCTACGCTCGTGTTTCGTGTTACTGCATGTTGTTCGCTCTTCCTGCGCTGCGCCCCTGATGAATTCCTAGGCCTCGTAGAGCAGAGCAGTGCAGGTTGGGGTTTCTGGGGGTTTGGGATTCGAGGTTTCATTGAACCATGGCCTGCCGCGGCCGTGGGATTCAGTGATAGCTCAGAGGGCCAAAGCCGCCAAGTACACGCTGGCATGCCCTTTGGCTGCAAGGATATGCCATGCAGGTAGAGAGCCCTGTTGTGGGTAACTTTGGTGTGGTCCAAGTCTCTGCCTCAAACCTTGATCCTAAGTCCTTCCCAAGATCCCAGAGCAGGCCCTCCCAGTGGCCTTCGTCTGAGTGCGGACCTCGGCGCCAGAGGCTTCGGGGTTCGTACTCCGCTGAAGCTCAAGGGAGACCGAACCAACACCCTAAGCTTCCCGAACTATTCCGTAAGGCCTCAAGGCCCCTCAGATTAAAGAACCAATCTTGTCAGGGCTTTGAGCTTTGGGGGTCTGCATGCTCTCCAGCCAAGAACTGGACATGTTGAATGTGAACGTCCAATGCAAATTTGGTGGCTTCCGAAATTCGGGGTACCTTATTGGGGACCTAAGGAATCCTACTACTTGGGGTCTATATTAGGGTCGCTCTTTTTCGTCAAACCCCGTGTCAGGCGTTAAATCCGACAAACTGTTGACACTCGAACCCCAACAGCGCTGCGGCCCCAAACCTGACACCTCGACGCCCTGCCGCAAGCCCTCGTGAAATTTTCACCTTGTGGGACCATGCGGCGTTGAAATCTCACGGCCGTAACACATATACTCTCTGGAGCTGGCCCATGTGTGCTGAGCATCTCGTGACGCTTAATCCACAGGCCCTTTCCTCCTCTCCTCCTCGTCCTCCCGGTCCTCCCCAAAGAAAAGGCTTCCTACAATCTCAAGACCTACTTGCGAAGATGGCAGGCGCTGCATGTTGGAGGTCAAAGTGAAGTCTTCCCTACCGGCAGCATCGTAGCTTCCAAGCCCAAAGTGTCAGAGAACCTCCTGTAGGTTTCGGGTTGTTCTTTTGATCTGAAACCTTTACTGGAACTACCGACCTGTGCCAAGGTGAGCTGTAAGCTGACGATGGCACCGCTAGAGGCTGGCAGGGCTTCCATCGGCGCAAGTCACGGTCACAATATGCGGACTTGCTGACTCACCCTCCTGACTGGTGCAGCTGCCTGCATGTGAGACCGGTGAACCATCTGAACCCTAACCGAAGTGTGTCGCGCAGGATCTGCATTCGAGGGACCTGGCCTGGATCAGTGACTTCGTAATGCAGCAGGTGGCCGTGACCTCAGACTTATCACAATCCAAGAGCCCTGAATAACAGAATACCAAGAGGATAAGCAACTTTTGGCTAAAGGACGAACGGCCAGCGCCACAGCCAAGCACCCCCCGTCCGCGCCTTCGGACAAAGCCAGGTCCTCATGATGCGCCCCATGATGGATCACCTGCAGCAGACCGACAGCTCTCTCGACTACGCGCAGCGGCAGGTGGCCTGTGGGGCGGACTCTTTCGGCTTGGCCCGGTTCAGCTCGGTTCAGCTCGGTTCAGCTGTACAGTCCCTTCGAAGTCGAGCTCCGACGCCTGTTCCGAGGATGTTCATTTTGGGCTCTTGAGAGAACTGCCCAGAACTTGCGCGTAGGTCCACCGTGTGAACATGGACCTGGTGGAGCTGAAAGCGGACGTCGACAGGACCAACAAGTGAGCCACAGCCCAACATCTTCCCAAGGAGTTCTGGGTGAAGACAAGAGAACAACCTTCTCCAAGTCGCACAAGACGATAGCCAACGTTTCGCAGGATGTCGATCATGTACATCCTGTTGCATGCTTGGAACATGTAATCCTGATTGTTCTGCGAAGCTCTTGGCAAGCCTCTTTCAAAAGTTCAGCTTTGGATGGCATGGGCTTCGGGCTTCTTTGCATTGCATTCCAGGTACCTTGCGATACTTCGGCAGGCTGGATACTCAGGTATCCATTCTTGTCTCTATAGCAGTAGTAGGTATGCTTTGGCTGCAGCTTGCCCTGAGCCTGATCTTCTATGACAGCCCCGCGCCAGAACTTTCCAAACCTACTACTGAGCTACTGCCTGCATAGCTCCACAATTCCTGTTGCCAGGGCCTTGGTGTGCAAAACGAGGGCAAATGCCCGCGGCTCAGCCGTGAGCACATGGTTCCGCGGGCTGACAAGTTTGGTATCTTATGGAGCCTGATTCGCGTGGTTTTGCCCCTTGGGCTCGGGAAGTCTGGGCACATTGTGGATTTAGAGTAGCTTTCGAGTTTTGTTGGGGCTTCTGAGCTTGTGAAGAAAAACAAGGTCAAGCCAGGAACCCAAAAACAATCCGCATGACAACAGTGCCGGAGTGAAACCCCCACTTTAACATCCATTCCGTATGCACATTTTATAGACAGTATAAGAAGGTAGTAAGGCGACGCAGGGTAGTTGACTAGTTGAGGCGAAAACCTCATGTTACGGCGTGTCTGTCGGAGGCGTATCGACTGAGACTGCGTGTTGGCTTTGGTTGTACATCATCTTGGATCCCCGTACGCGCCGCAGTCCGCTCTCGCGCCCCTCCGGCTCTGTCCTCACAGCACTACATTGTACTACAACTCAACGAAAATCCCTCAGCTTCCCGCGCCGCCGTCGTACGCGCCGCCGTACGTGCCGCAGTCCGCTCTCGCGCCCCTCCGGCTCTGTCCTCCCACACATTTGTACTATTCAACGAAAATCCCTCAGCTTCCCGCGCCGTCGTACAAGCCGCAGTCCGCTCTCGCGCCCCTCCGGCTCTGTCTACATTTGTACTATACAATTCAACGAAAATCCCTCAGCTTCCCGCGCCGCCGTACGCGCCGTCGTACGCGCCTCAGTCCGCGCTTGCGCCCCCCCGGCTCTGTCCTCCCATACTACATGTGTACTACAATTCAACGACAATCCCTCAGCTTCCCGCGCCGCCGTACGTACGCGCCGCAGTACGCGCCGCAGTCCGTAATACATTCAACGAAAATCCCTCCCGGTTGCGTTTTCATATCGTTTTCATCCCCGCTTCGCTTTCATCCCCGTTTCGTTTTCATTCCCGCAGGCGCCACCCCGTTTCGTTTTCGCTCTGTCTCTTTGTGATCCCCGCGCCATGCCCGTTTCATCTTCATCCCCGTTTCGTTTCAACCCCGTTAGGTTTCGTCCCGCCGTCGTGATCCGGCCCTTCTGATCCCCTTTCGTTTTCATTCCGTTTCGTTTTCACCCCGCAGCTCTGATCACCCGTTTCGTTCTCATCCCCGCGTCGTTTTCATTCTCGTTTCGCTTTCACCCCGCGCCGCCATTCCCCGGTATCGCTCTCTCGCGTTTTGAACCTAAACGAGAACCCAACATCCAAGATGTTTTTGAGGAAAACAGCTCCAACGCTTTGGCCAGGCGTCATCCAACGCAGCCTCGAATCCAATACCCGGCCGGGCTCCCGGGCGGCCTTGAAAGGCGGGAAAGGTGGGAACTGCAGCTTGCGCTGGGCCAGCCAACTGCAAGCGCAAGTTTTGCCTTCTCCACGATTCTGAGTTAATACATTGATCATACTCTATTTTGTGCTTTCTTCCTTGGGGACTGCACCGCCTTGAGGACTGTAAAGCGTCTGGACGAGCAGATGGAAAGCATGCTGACAGCTCCCTGGGTGCAGGAGTTTATCCCACATGTTCCCCACATTCTTGTTTTATTCATCATCTTGTTTCTGCTCGTGCATGCAATTTCGGTTTAGTTTTTTCAAGCTTTGTGTGCCCGCGAGGTGCTCCGGGGTGTGGAGGAGAGCTTCGAGCAGCTCTGCACCGACTTCCGCGGGGCCCGTGCCCAACACGAGGAGCGCTGAAGTAAGATTTCCACCTCCGTTCGCTTCGGAAGTCTGAGCAAGAGCTGAGCTGTGCAATGCCGAGTCAGGATCTGTCGCAGAAAGTCACGGAGCACACAGTCGCCCTGGATGACATGCAGGCTCGCCCACTCTATTGCTGCTTTTCTTCGCGAGCTGGCATTATGTGGTCGTGCAAAATCCGGGCACGTGATTCGCCGCATCGCCATCGCACATAGACATGTGTGCCGTGTCTTCGCGCAACGTACATCATGTGGGTCACATGTTGTCAAGTTTTCAAGGACCCGCCACAAGCCATTAAAGAGGGCCCATCAGGCCTTAATTCCTGAACGAACCTATAAACCTGCAGACCCCATCATGAAGCGATGGACTGGGCTTTGTCAGCAACTTGCACTAGGCGGTCATCTGATTCAATAGGCATCCCGCCAATCCAGGCAGACATCCCCAAAATCTAAACGCTCAATACCGCAGACTCGTGTCGACAAGATCTGCGACGCATCGCCAAGCAAAGAAGAGGTGTCCTGCAGGGGTTCCAGGGGTTTAAGGTGTAGTGAGTCGAATGCTGCTGGTTAAGGTGTCCTAATTGAACCCAAAATCCCAAAAGCCCTAAACACTGTGGGCCAGGAATGCCGGCGAGCCGTCCGTCGGAGCTTCTTTTGAAACCTGCTAGTTCTGCACTAGGACTTAGCGACATGGCAAGCTCGGGTTCACACTTGCGAGAGGGTTTGAGACTTCAACAGATTCAAGACGTAACTTGTTCATGCCAGTGCGATGTTCCAATCCTTCAGCTCTAATTCCCGTAGCTTCTATGGTGTCGGGCCGCTTCTCATTCTTACTGGCACGCGGCATCCGAAGCCAGGTGCCAAATGGTGAGGCGAGGATAGAGGCTCGCGGCTTCAGAGCTGCACCTGTGATCGCTCTGTTTAGGGAGATGCTAGCCCAGCGCAACAAAATGATTCAAGAGAGACGTCCCATGGTAGAATGGAGCATATGCTCTGCTGCCGAGTCAACTCTTACAGAAGTCCACAATCCTTGGATGCCCTCCGGTTGATGAAGAATGTGCCCCCCAAGATCGCGATCGGAATTCCACATGTTAAACACCTGACAAGCCGGATTCTCGGGAGGTCTGGCACCGCGAGCTGCGCGAGCTCCGGCGGAATCAGATTGGCTTCGTCCCCAAGTTGGAGGACAGGAGTATCGTGACTAAAGTGACTAAAGTGACTAAAGTGACTAGTGCCCAAAGGCGCGGCACTGGCATGTGTCACAGCTTCGAATGGACGTCGGATGTCGGCTTAGAGCCGAATGTGTAACGTTCAATATACGTAGGGCGTAGCGCTTAGGGTTCCTTCTTGGTCGGATTTTACAGTAATGTTTGACCAGATCGTTCGTGGTTCAGAAACCAGTCCTTTGAGACTTGAGCCAGTCAACTCCATCCTGTCCTCATGTTCTGAAGAACCTGCAGTCTCGAGTCAATCCTGGAGGTCTGCTGAGTAGAGAAGCTGAACTCCGACACACCGTTGGATTTGGGGCTTGGAATGTTTTTGATGGAGAGCGAGTCCCACACCATCTCAGCAATCCTGAAACCACGATACCTTGAAGAGTTCTCCCAAAGCCTCTAAGCAGCTGAACCTCGACCCTCATGTGTCCGCAATCCCCGCAACCCGCAAAAGCTCCAAACCCCCCCAACCCCCAGCCCCCCACATCCCCAAGTTCTCAAGTTCTCAACTCCTAAACCAAGCCCAAGAACCTCAGACCATTAAAACAGGAGAAGGGCAAGGCCTCGGCTCAAGATCCCTGGCCGGGGCGCCCCAAAACTGCCATTGCCGTCGCAGGGTTTGGGTTCGGGCCTTTAGGTTTGGGGCAGAGGATTCCCCATAGAGGAGGTGTTTAGTAGTGTCGTTGACAACGTGCAGCAGCCCAATGCGAACTTGCCAAACGAGATGACAAACGCCCCGCCCGCGCGCGCGCGCACGTCTTTCGGAGGTGTTGTTTTTCTTGATGATCGTGTTCAATCTTGGCTACAGGGTACTCGTAGCTGGCTGGCTGCCTGCAGAGTTCTTTGGGCTTTTGCAGAGGTCTTGCATCGATACATGTATCTCACCATTGCTGCTCGTCATTGTGGCTTTGGGTATGCCTAGAACGCCTGCGCTTGCTGCACTTGCTGGGAGTTTGCAAATGATGCGCAATGACTACAAGATATGACAGCCGTGCGAAATCCTGAACCATCCTCTGTGCCGAACTTGCAATGAGGCCCCGAAAAACCTTCACAGCAGTGGAAGTGGCGCCGCCGCCGCACGGCCCAGGCTGGCGCAAAGAGCTGTGGCGGATGGATCACAACTAAACTAACTAAACGCCCTGCGCCCTGAACCCACTGCAAGATCCACAGCGTCGAGGCCCATTCCCCGCAGGATCGCTCGTGGAAGCGCACAGCGGCCCGCCCACTTTGCTTGGGGCTGGACTCCGGGATGGAAGCTTGCACATTTTCGGAGGGCTCTTGGGTGTAGGAAGCTCAGCCCAAAGCCCCGGAGCGGCTATCTTGTGCCATGCCCCATGTCCCGAAACGCAAGGGGCCTGGGACGCAACTTCTGCCGACATGATAGATGTACGTGCTTTAGATCTCTCGTTGGGTTGTTACTTGGGCCCTGTGGGCATCGTCACTGCCTCAGGCATCTAGAAAGTGACAGATTGATGAAAGGTATCCGAAGACGGAGGCTTTAAGGTCAGAAGGTCAGACTTCATAGTCCCGGGGTGCTACAGGAGAATTTGCTTGATCGTGACCCATGATACTGCCGGGAGTGTACTGCATTTCAGGGTCAGGGTTGTCAGCGGCTTTTTGCTGTCGTGGGTGCCTCAGGGTTCGAACCAACCAAAGATCCAACAAGAATCGCCGACCAACAAGAAAATACTCAGGACATTCTAAGCACACACTGAAGCATCAGAACAGTCCCTGCGATACCGCGAGCTAGTACAAACCTGAGTCCTCAAGTCCCAGCTTCTACTGAGCATCTCGCGATCAAAGCTGCCGCTTACCTCCCGCAGGCAGTAGCCAAGGTCCAAAGCGCTCCAGCCGAGTGCCCAGGATACCACCAGAACTGCACACACGGGCTCGGCTCGTAAGTTCGTCAAGATTAAAGCGTTGAGGCTTTGTTTCTGGCAGGTTCGGCAAAGTCCAGGGTGTAAGGGTAAAGGTTGAGATGGGATCTGTATCCTCCGAGAGTGCGGTGCAACAGTCTGGACTGCCTGAAATGACCCTTCTAGGAAGTTCTCTCAATCCTCCCCAGCCTCACGAGCCCCGGTTCATCAATGTTACGCTTCAGACCCCCCTTGTACCCCCCCGTTATACCCCCAGACTCCCACTTCAGGCCGGGTGAGCAGCACCGGCCGACAGCAGCTGCTCTCTCAGGATTGGCAACGGATTGGAGCGATTGTGAAGGGCCTCAGAGGGGCTTTAAGGACTTGGTGTTGAACGGTTGAACGGTGTTATTTTAGGGTGTTTATAGGGCTCAGGGCCCAGTGCTTAAAGCATTTGCGTTAGGAGGAATTGAGGCTTTTGTCTCGTATTGAGCTCAAGACGGCGCCAGATGCCGGGTGTGTTCTGGTTTGGAGATGAGGTTGGGGCACGCGGATTAGGCGTGATGTTTATTAGTCTGGCGGTCGATGGTATCAGTGGCAGGCGCTTCTGGTTCCTACCATTCACCCCTGCCGCGAAGATTGCCGTGACGTGAAGTGTTGAAAGGACCCCTTCGTGCTGGGAGTTCCTGGCCGACACCCGCGGGCCGCAACCACAAAGGGCTGGCATTGTCAGGTTTCGGGGTGTGAGCTTCACTTGAGGACTTTCTGGGCACTTGTCTCTTGGGTTCAGGAGCTTAGGGAAGCATCTGCTCTCTAATCCTCCGACCCCAACTTTGTGAAGGAGCCTAGTACAGCATGTTTAGGGTTTGGAGTTCGGATTGTGTGCAGATTGAGGGGCGAACAGCAAAAGTAACAAGATGCAATGTCTAACGAATGTATGGTATAAATTCTACCATCGCTGACCCTTCCTTCTGAAGCGACTCAACCGGACTTGCCGCCCCTAAGAGTTGAGCAGAGGTCTGGCAAGACGATGCGCCGGATCCGGGATGCACAGAACCGGAAGAGGAGGCTGCAGCCGCAATCGCCCTAAACACCAGCCGGCAAAGAACCCGATTCTAGCAGGACAGCGAGCGTCTGCCCCGCCTCTCCAGCCGGCCAACTGCCCGGCCTGGCACCCGAGAAGAAACAGCCCCCTAAACCAAAACTGACCCTAAATCCTAAATGCGGTAAACTCCCGACTAGCTGCTTCGGAGCCTTGGAGCAGGTTCCCTCCCGGACCTTCTAAACCCTAAGCCGAAAAGCCGAACCGGCAACTGCAAGCACCAGCAGCCTCCGATAGCCTCCGGATGTGCCAAACTCTATATGTAAGCCGAGCATCAGACAAGAATTTTGGCCCGCTTGCATCGCGAAACTTTCATCCCTTTTCCGATACCAGAGCCCCAGTCTGGCAAGACCATATAGATTCGGGGAGTGCTGCATGGTTTTTGTCGGCTGGCGTGAATCTACGTACACCTACGACAGACAAAATCCTCACGTTGGCTGAACCCCCAACACCTCTGCTTTTGCACAAGAATTTCTTGGCTCCAGGTGAGGCTTCGTTCTTGGTGTTTAGATACAGTGGGTGCGGACGGCTGCAGAAATGGATGCCCGTCAGAGTGGCAGATGCATGTTATTTGCTTATTTTATTTGTATTTGCGATTATTTTATTATCATTTTTTTTGTTTCTGTTTTCCTGTGAGTCTGTGTGGGGTGTGCTCTGCTATTCCCAACACTCTCAAACTTTGTGAGTGCACCCACATTCCACTCCGCTAAGGGTGGTCGAGAGATCTTCCGGGAATGCAGAGGCGTCTGACTCCCAAGTGTGCAGTAGGGGTGAGCTTGTGGGGCAGGAAACTACTTTGAGCTTTGAGCCGTGGACTTCCCAACCTCCGCTTCAAGTAGTGGACACTGGGTTCGAAAGCCCTCCCAAGTCCTCCGAAGGATCGCTAAGCCACTGCCCAAAACTCTTGCAGTGCCACTGTCACCTCCCCGAGATTCATGTGGAGGTCTTCTGGAGACATTGTAGCACTGTAGCACCGATCCATACAGCAGGTTTCATGCACCTTGGTTGCATTCGGCCAGCTAGGCCCCTAGACCGGATCGTACCCCACCAAATATTCCATCAATGTGAGTGTGTACATGACGTATGGCATGGACATTCCTCCGATTATCCCTGAAGCCTGTCACACAAGGCCGCGGCTGCGCTTCGCGGCGACCATGGCCCAGCCGCCGTCCCGCGGCAAGTAAAAGAGGCGCTGGGGAGCTCATGAGAAGAATCCACCTGTTTCGGGGTGGGTTTAGCGCTAGTACATTGTAAAGTGGGTTTAGGGCACTGTCAGGTGCAAGTCATTGACATGTGCGTAGTCCTTAGGGCTGTCGTTCTTGTCGCTGCTTGGCAGGTGCATGGACACAGCCAAGCAGCCAAGCATGGTCTGCCCTTCAAGGTGAAACCTAGGCGAAACCCAGTGCTTCGGAAGGTCGCATGCCCAATGCGTATCCAAGAAGGGCCTCCTGAATCCCTGGCCCCGGCTGCGAAGCAGACATAGGCATCATAGGCAACTTCCAGTACGTTCCTGGAAGACGTACATGAAGTATGCGCACAGTCATGGGGGACAGTGCTCCGGGCACCTGGATTTCAGAAGGCCTTTCTGCCCTCCACTGTCCTTTCAGGCTTGACTCCATTCACCAAGAAGAGTTCCCAAGGCTTTCAGTAAGGGTGTGGACGACGGTGTGGACCCACGGTGTGGACCACGGTGTGGACCACGGTGTGGACGGTGTGGAGAGGAACCCTAGTGGAACCCTGAAGCCCTGAGTCTGCCCACAGGCCTGTGGAGGGCGGTAGGTAGTAGGTCGGACTTGGGAAGCTCCTGCCTTTTGGAAGCGATACCAAAGTTCATGAACCGACGTACTGGTAGCTTAGAAGGTCAAAGCTGATAAAGCACGAGATTTCTGAACAAGCTGAAGCGAGCCCGAGGCTTCCCAAAAGGAAATGCCTCGTCTTCCAGCAATATTCTTGCACGCCAAAGAAGAAGCATGCCGCGGGAGCCTGGACAGCGCAAGCCCCAAACCCCAAACCCCGCAGACCCCTACACCCTGAATGTGCGGGTACCAGATTCGCTGCCAGGATTTGTGGAAACCCCCCTAAACTCAATACCCCATACCCCTAACCCCTCGACCCCAAACCCTCAAAAGCCAGAGCTCAGGGCCCTTGCGGGCCGTCAAGTGGGCGTGCCAGTGTCCTCTCCATGACATGTCGCAGGCCCCCGAGCCCTCCAGCAAACGCTATTGCACGAAGCCGAATGGAGGAAAGCCCGTACAGCATCGTACAGACGTTGTAGCCAGGATGGGAAGTCGGGGCTTGAGGGCCATCTCACCAGCAAGATGTGCGCAAACACTGCGCGTTGCTGTAGCCCCACCCCAAGGTTAGTCAAACCTCGCAACGAACAAATTCTCCGAACCTCTAAAACCGCGGCCCCTTGGATCCTTAGCCTCCACATCCTCCACTCCCATCACCATCGACCCTCAATAACCGTCTCTCCAGGGCGGGGTTGCTGCAGCAGCCCTGCTGGGCTGTAGGCATGTTCTAGGGCAGCCAGGAGGTGAAGAGCCAATCTCCGGCCACGGCTTTGAGAAAGCGCTTGTTCTGTGAATGTATGTCGTTTTGCCGTCTAGGCTTGTCTCCATGGCTTGTGTCACGCTGGTGGTGATCGCTGGTAGCCTAGCACTTTGACAGTAGGATTCGGATCAAACAGAGGTATTTTGGAACAGAACTACCAAAGGCCATTTTCAAAGCCAAGTCCAATCTAGAGTTGGGCGCTGCCAGTTCGGTCTTGGCCTTCTTGCATCTCAGCACTGCATGCCTCTGCTGCAAAAGCGGCCCGGCCCGCCCCCCCCGCCCCTCTCACCTGCCTTCATGTGTCTGGCATGGCCTGGCATCTGTGTCCCAGATGAACACGCTCAGCTGAAGGTTCGTAGCGCCGGCATCTTTGCTGTGCCGTTGGCGAGACTGTCTCCTTTTGCTCATTGGGGGCCCGCAGCTCCGAGAGTCCAAGTCGCACATTGCAAGTTTGGCGCCTCTACCAAGCAAGAAAACCCCCTTTACTTCCTGTTGGAACGGGTTCCGACCTTAGCTGTGCTGTGTAAGTACGTGTAAGTATGTGTAAGTATGTGTAAGTATGTGTAAGTATGTGTAAGTGTTGGTAGTTGTGACAAAGAGGCCCAGCATCCTCAGCATCCTCATGGGGATTGACCGCACTTTCGGTCGAGATCTTCAGTTTTAGTTTTTTGTGCCGCATATTTGGGCGGCGCAATGGCACCGGAGGTCCGCCCAGCCTAGTAAGGGCAAAGCTATGCAAAGCTCCGGTGGCTGCAGCTGACGGTGTCGCTGTTCTCCCTGTTGCCGGCTTTCTGTTGCCAGTTGTGCTAGGTGGTGCTGTGGGTGCTCTGATGGCTTGATGTTGCATGTGCTTTGATGACTCTGAGGCAGGTTTCGGTGGGTTTGTTTCGCCCAGCTGATGCCGTTGTCCCCTGCCTTTCAACGTCGCTTTTGGTTCCTTTTTAGGGTTCTAAAGGCTTCAGGGTTTTGGAGGTTGGGGTTTCAGGAGAGTTTCAGATGGAAGCTGCCACTTCCAGCTTTCCGACTCAGGGCTCAGGCTGGACATGTATCCCCGCCGACGCGCATCGAGGTGAAGCCCCATCCGTTCCGGATTTTCGTGTCGGGACTTTCCAAGACGCATGCCCCGAGCCTACAGTGCTGTACATGTTGCTTTGAGGATGTTAGTTTCACTGGTTTTCTGAAGGTCTCAAAAGGTCCAAATTTGCAGGCCATGGAACTGTAGGAATGAGGAGTGGAGTACTGTACTGATTTTGCAACTTTCCACTTCTGAAAATGTTCTCTGCGCTCTGAAGGTTCAGCGCTACGATGGCAGCGGAATTGTGGAGGAGGCCTCTAGAGACTCTAGTGTTAGGGTTTAGGGTTTAGGCAGCTGTCAGATGTGCAGATTTTGCTCGGCTGGGACCTGGGCTCGTCTCACTGTCGGGTGTAGAAGGTGCTCTTAAAGTCTTATGCCCTCAGCTTGTGTTTTCGAGGCTTGCATCGAAGAAGACACCCTGGACACTACTGCTCAATAAGCCCCAAACTAATCTGAGAACTGCATCCGGACACAGCAAGGACAACCTGGGCTACTTTTTTTACGACCGTGGTTGCAAAGTTGAGGATGCAGCCCGGCAGGATGAGATGTCCCGAGAACCAAAGGGGAGACCGCCGAGGTTTTCAGAGGTTTCAAAGATGTTCAGGATGTTTGGGTGGCTTAGGACAGGAATGAAACTGGCACTCGTGCGCAGCCATGTTCCTGTCCACTTCTGCAACCAGTTGCCAAAGTTGCAAGACCAAGTGCCGCTCATGCTATCGTTCTAATGATGCAGATTGGGACTGCGAGGCAGTGTGGCCTGTAAGGCTTAAACTGTAAGGCTTAAACTCACAGTGGTGTTCAACAAACATAAACAAACATAGGCGTGACCGGTGACCGAGCAAGAGGCATTAAACTTAAGTCTGTCAAGACCATCTGCTGTTGGATCGCAAAAATCAGCCAAACATGGCCGGTTTCCTGCTAGATGCCAAAGCGAACGCCTAGCGCCTCCGCCAGCTGCCTTTGCCCACTTCTTTCTTCCCTCTCTGCTCTCTTTGCTGCGGCAGGTCTGCTGCGTTACTGGCACTAGGACCCAACGCTTCTGTTGGCGCTCTCATGGTGGTGGAGCCCGATACCCACCCTTTCGTTCGCTGCGCAAGAAGCTGCAACCAGCGGCGAACCAACTTTGGTATGTTGTGCTGTGTGACTCTGCAGGCTTTTTGCCCCTGAGCGCACTTTCACAACATCTCAGCGGCAATCCATGATGCAAAGGTATGCCTTTCGGCATTCGAGTTCCGGCCATAACAGACGCAAAGGTGCCCAGGACATCCCTGGACGATGCCCTCCATGTTTTGCGGGTTTTCGTCCATGTTGCAGTGCAGTGCCCTGCAGCATATTTTGTTGGCCTCTGGGTATCGACGAGTACCGGCTCCTGGGCCTGCGGATGGTGCCCTGATGTGCCCTGATGTGCCCTGCCATGCCCTGCCTCACCTCCTCCGAATTCGAGCCACGCCAGCCTCCACAGTGTCTCCACAGCATCGAACTGGCGCAATGGGGTCACCCCCCCGACTCAAGCACAAAGCACAAAACCCCTCTCTTGAAGCTCTCCAAGGTCAGACTGATGGTGGATCCCAGCACGAGCCGCGAACTTGGACAATACGCTTGAGCCGTAAGGAGCTTGGAAGAAGAAGAAGAAGAAGAAGAAGAAGAAGAAGAAGAAGAAGAAGAAGAAGAAGAAGAAGAAGAAGAAGAAGAAGAAGAAGAAGAAGAAGAAGAAGAATAGGGTAGCTCCGCTTCTGACAGTCGAGCCTGTGACAAGCTTCAAGTTGTGACTTGAATTCAAAGGCCTCTTAAGGAAATCTCAAGCTCTGCAGGCAAGTGCAGAGGATTCGGATTCGTGGATTTCACCGACGAGGCCGCTCGTCGGCTCGTGGGAATGACCGGTCGGCATAACGGCCTCTCAAAAGCTAGGGTTCAGTGCCATGATCAGAATCATCGAGTTTGCCAGTTTGGCAGGAGTCGTTTGGCAAGGCACTTACGCTTGCTGGCACGCAGGACCGCGCAGCTGCCAACTTCGCAAGATGATCTTGTGCAAGGTTTATAGCCTTGAAGCCTTGATGTTTCGAACGTCAGGTCATCTTTGCATGCGCTACAATGCGCATGCCTAAGCCCGCTGAACATATCGGGAATCAGGATCATGATGGATCAAGGTGTACAAGGTGTATAGGGGGTTTGGGGTCCGAAGCGCTCGAGGTATTCTCGTCGGCTCAAGCTCCAGAAGTCGATTCTTCGGTAAAGTGGATCGAGTCTTGTCCTGCTGGTTCCAGGTTGAGTCTGCAGTATGACAGTATTCACGAAACGCAGCCCCCTCAAGCTTAAGACGACGTCCCACGGATCTGGAAGTACGTGTAGAAGAAGTGTTGTACCTTGTAAATGAACTCGACAAGCCCCAGCCAAACCGCAGTGGGAACATGCCAATCCGAGATTCAGAATATGTTCCGAGCATCAAATTACGCAGCCCAAGCTACAAGAGACTCCTCGACATCCTAAAGCCCCTTCGACTCCGACATTACGAGTTGAGGTCTCCATGAATCGCACCGCCAGGATCCGGCAGGCGTAAAGCTGGACCCGGCGTCCCACGGCCAACTGAAGGTGGAGGCACCTTTGCGCAGATTTGCTCAAGGTAGACCAGAAGCCAGAACATTCCAACACTTGAACGTAGCAGTTTTGGGTGTCGGGATTGTGGTGGAAACATTGTAATTCCAAAGCCTAAACTTGAACCTTCTAAGCACTAAGCCATCCTTGCCCAAGTCTTGAGATAGGCCTGTGAACCTCAAGTGTCTCAGTGTGAGAGGCAGCGAAGCCGGCGCAGCCTGTGGCGCGTGACAAACACCAGGCAGGTCGCATTCACAGATATTTTAGCATGCAGTATGCTGTCACAGATTTGATCTCTGTCCTAGGGCCTCAGATATTTTGTGGGAAGACCTTTCATTCTCGACCTCCTAACCACCGCCCAAAACTTGTCCAGAGTAGCCGCCTAACGGTTGCGAGCCTCGGCAGAATATGAGTTCTTCAAGCCCTACGCTGCAAAACTCGCTTTCCATCCGAGCTATACCTCCAACACCCGACCAGAGAAGATAACGAAATCAACCCCAACCCCCCCCCCCCCCCCCCCCCTAAACCCTGAACCCGAAAAGCCTGGTCGCCAAAGATCTCCACTGCCGAGGTCCCCTTGCAACCCCCTAAACTCTCCAATCCGAGGAGTTGGCCAAAGCTCGGGTATGGGGCCTCAGCGCCGTTGGGCGGCTCTGTCTGCCTGCCTGCCTGCCTGCCTGCCTGTCTCTCTGTCTCTCTGTCTCTCTGTCTCTCTGTCTCTCTGTCTCTCTGTCTCTCTCTCTCTCTGTCTCTCTGTCTCTCTGTCTCTCTGTGTCTCTGTGTCTCTGTGCGCGTGTGTCTCTGTCTGTCTCTGTGTTGTGTTGTGTCGTGTCGTGTCGTGTCGTGTCGTGTCATGTTCTGTGGTGTTCTGTTGTGTTCAGTTGTGTTCTGTTGTGTTCTGTTTTGTTTTGTTGTGTGTTGCTTGATGTTTTCGTGCTTCCTTGGGACCAGGGATGGCTCTGGAATGGTCTTTTTCCCTCCACGGCACCCTCCCCCCCCCACCCCCCAAGGACCAGACCGAAGACATGGAGCGTGCTCTGCGGTGGCGCGAGGCCAGTTCCTCTTTGGCTGGGTCATGCTAGGTCTCGTGAGGTGGAGAGTGAGGGAGGCCGACAGGCTATACAAGGGCAAGGGCCAGGGGAAACGGACGCGAAACTCACCGCTCTTCCTGATACTTCCCAATTTGACTCCAGCCGCCCAAAGACCCGAGGGCGAGGGTGAGGGTCCCAGATCCAAGGTTGGGAGATCTTGGGCGGTCTCGGGGTTTGGGGTATTGACTTTGGTAAGGGACCAGTACTGGTCCCGAGGAGAACGGGTTGAAAAAGCTGTAGAACCGCAATGTATGCTATCTCCAGTTTTGCTTGGGCTTCTGTGACTGCGACTCGCACTACAGTCACCGCTAGCCCTCGTTTGGAAAAAACAGAACATGCCTCTGAATGTCCTTGATCCCTGGGCAGGTGCTTCGGATCTGCCTGAAGCCCTAAAGCCCTGGTTGGTTGTTGCAAGAATGTGACAGCTTGGACCCACCCAACGTAAGGATTGGCCTTGGAGTTGCGGCCCCCCTTTGACATAATCGAGGGAGTCCCAGGGACTTTGCACACTCGCAGTTCCGGAGGCGAACGTGCGGGAGTTGGAGGCAGAGTTGCAGCTTGGCTTGTTGTTAACCAAGACACTCTTCATGGGTGTCGGGTCCAAGCTCTCTTGGAGGTGCTCGGGGGTTTTGGAGTTCGGCCTTGGGATGTCGCGTGGGGCAAGCTGCGGGGCAGTCAAGGCACAAGCACCGCGAGCGGCAGAAGCTCATGGCCGGGCGCCCAAACATTTTACCATATGGTACCCGGGTTCCTGAATCTTCTGCGAACTCTTGCAGCCAACAGCCATCCCCCAAATAGCGGCCTTCGCAAGCTCTGCTTCAGCTACCGCGGTAAACCCGACGGCCTTAAAAGCCCTGAGTTGTCGTGACTGGGATTTTTCCAGACTTGCTGTAGCTCATACAGTAAACCCGGCAATCCTTGAGCAGGTTTCGCAACAGCAGGACACAGAGCTTCCTGCTGCCACCCAACCCGGTCTAGCGCATGATGCGGCGAATTCCCTAAAGGCAGCATGGAACGACATCAGTGCTGCTTGTATTGTGTCGACTTAGCTGCCGAATCTATCTCTCAACAGCTTGTGAGTTGGCGACGAAGTTGGTCTTGGCATAAACCTATCTTATGTCAAGACAGCCCATACAGTCCGAAAACCATGAGCACGCTACTGCTACTACTGCTACTACTGCTACTACTGCTACTACTGCTACTACTGCTACTACTGCTGCTACTGCTACTACTGCTACGACTGCTACGACTGCTACTACTGCTACTACTGCTACTACTGCTACTACTGCTACGACTGCTACGACTGCTACTACTGCTACTACTGCTACGACTGCTACTACTGCTACTACTGCTACTACTGCTACTACTGCTACTACTGCTACGACTGCTACTACTGCTACTACTGCTACTACTGCTACGACTGCTACGACTGCTACTACTGCTACTACTGCTACGACTGCTACTACTGCTACTACTGCTACTACTGCTACTACTGCTACTACTGCTACGACTGCTACTGCTACTACTGCTACTACTGCTACGACTGCTACTACTGCTACTACTGCTACTACTGCTACTACTGCTACTACTGCTACGACTGCTACTACTGCTACTACTGCTACTACTGCTACTACTGCTACTACTGCTACTACTGCTACTACTGCTACTACTGCTACTACTGCTACTACTGCTACTACTGCTACTACTGCTACTACTGCTACTACTGCTACTGCTACTGCTACTACTGCTACTACTGCTACTACTGCTACTACTGCTACTGCTACTGCTACTACTGCTACTACTGCTACTGCTACTACTGCTACGACTGCTACGACTGCTACTACTGCTACGACTGCTACTACTGCTACTACTGCTACGACTGCTACGACTGCTACTACTGCTACTACTGCTACTACTGCTACTACTGCTACTACTGCTACGACTGCTACTACTGCTACTACTGCTACTACTGCTACTACTGCTACGACTGCTACTACTGCTACTACTGCTACTACTGCTACTACTGCTACTACTGCTACTCCTGCTACTACTGCTACTACTGCTACTACTGCTACTACTGCTACTACTGCTACTACTGCTACTACTGCTACTACTGCTACGACTGCTACTACTGCTACTACTGCTACTACTGCTACTACTGCTACTACTGCTACGACTGCTACTACTGCTACTACTGCTACAGTAAAAACGCTCTATCGGTTTTCCGGCGATAGGGTACCCCTAAGTTTAGTTTCCATCGCCCATGTACCCGGGGGGGTTTGAGCCTAGGGTAGGCTTGGTTTCTAAACTAATTTCTTAAGGGAGTACGCTATACCACTAGACCAAACCCATGTTCCAGGAATGGCGGTGGGAAGGGTTCCCGAATGTGACTCCCGCGCGTTTTTCGGGTAGGGTCAGGCCGCAGGCGCGGGGGAGTCACGTTTTAGAGCTTTTCAGGGCTGAAAACCTCTAGAATGTGACTCCCGCGCGTTTTTCGGGTAGGGTCAGGCCGCAGGCGCGGGGGAGTCACGTTTTAGAGCTTTTCAGGGCTGAAAACCTCTAGAATATGACTCCCGCGCGTTTTTCGGGCAGGGTCAGGCCGCAGGCGCGGGAGAGTCACGTTTTGGAGCTTTTCAGGGCTTAAAACCTCTAGAATGTGACTCCCGCGCGTTTTTCGGGTAGGGTCAGGCCGCAGGTGCGGGGGAGTCACGTTTTAGAGCTTGTCAGGGCTGAAAACCTCTAGAATGTGACTCCCACGCGTTTTTCGGGTAGGGTCAGGCCGTAGGCGCGGGGGAGTCACGTTTTCGAGCTTTTCAGGGCTGAAAACCTCTAGAATGTGACTCCCGCGCGTTTTTCGGGTAGGGTCAGGCCGCAGGTGCGGGGGAGTCACATTTTAGAGCTTGTCAGGGCTGAAAACCTCTAGAATGTGACTCCCACGCGTTTTTCGGGTAGGGTCAGGCCGTAGGCGCGGGGGAGTCACGTTTTCGAGCTTTTCAGGGCTGAAAACCTCTAGAATGTGACTCCCGCGCGTTTTTCGGGTAGGGTCAGGCCGCAGGTGCGGGGGAGTCACATTTTAGAGCTTGTCAGGGCTGAAAACCTCTAGAATGTGACTCCCACGCGTTTTTCGGGTAGGGTCAGGCCGTAGGCGCGGGGGAGTCACGTTTTCGAGCTTTTCAGGGCTGAAAACCTCTAGAATGTGACTCCCGCGCGTTTTTCGGGTAGGGTCAGGCCGCAGGTGCGGGGGAGTCACATTTTAGAGCTTGTCAGGGCTGAAAACCTCTAGAATGTGACTCCCACGCGTTTTTCGGGTAGGGTCAGGCCGTAGGCGCGGGGGAGTCACGTTTTCGAGCTTTTCAGGGCTGAAAACCTCTAGAATGTGACTCCCGCGCGTTTTTCGGGTAGGGTCAGGCCGCAGGCGCGGGGGAGTCACGTTTTAGAGCTTTCAGGGCTGAAAACCTCTAGCGACGTCATCATGGCCAAAGTTTTCCAAAGCAGGTGTAAAGTTTAAATAAGCCCTTCTATCGCAGCGTTCCCTTACTTTCAATCAGTCCAAGCGCTTGCGACAGCCCGCAAGTCCCCAGGCCCTAGCACCTTTAAGCCCTTCACAAGGATGCTCAGCGCACTGTCGAAGTACGGCTGGCGGAGGAGCGGCAGAGGCGGGGTTTACTTCTCCTTCTGGGTTCTTGGGTCTAAAGTAAGTGCCTTGGGCAAAACACACGAAACACCCCAGGTCGAGGGGTTGAGACTGATGGTCTGAGCAGCCCCGAATTGCTGTCGCAGCTTTAGCAGGGTTGGGCAGCCTTGCCCTGCTAAAGAAAGGTTTAAAGAAAGGTTCTGAAGGGAAGCAAGAGTGACACAGGTGTGACACGGGTGCCCGAAACTGAAACAAAAAGAGCCCTCCACGACGCCCAAGACCTTAACTCGACCCACCCTCCGCAGGCAAGACGATCTGCGCATAGCCGAGGATGCAGGGGGCGGGGGGGGGGGGGGGGGGGGGGGGGCGGGGGTTGGGACGACATGTGCACAAAGTTTATGGGCATCCGAGAGGTTTCTGCTTAGAACCGTGCGGCGTTTCACGTCGGGCGGGCTCCACGACCGCTTCTTTGAGGGGTGAAAAGGTGGGGAGGGGGGTTCATTGTTTTTGGTCCTTTTATTGTATCACCAAAGAGAAGATGTGGTTCCTTTCACAAAGCGGAATGGTGCCTTTCCAGCTGATAAACAGACACACAATATATATATATATATATATATATTCATATTTACATGTATATTGGTACTTGTATAGTATATTTATATTTGTTTTTTTACTTATAGTTATACTGATATTTGTATTTATATTTTTATTAACATTTATATTTTTGTTTATATTTTTTTACGTTTATACTTATATTCATATTTAAATTTGTATTTATATTCATATGTATACTTATATATTTATATATGTATATATTTATATATTTATATATTTATATATTTATATATTTATATATTTATATATTTATATATTTATATATTTATATATTTATATATTCATATATTTATATATTTATATATTTATATATTTATATATTTATATATTTATATTTATATTTATATTTATATTTTCGTATATGTTTATACTTGTAAAAGCGCGTGTCTAGTCCAATCGCGAGCATTCATCTGCACATCCCAGTCTTGCCCTCAACCTCAACCATGGTTCTCGCCCCAGCCCTGAAATTGAAGTCAAGTCCAATCAACTGGGCGAGGTAAACGCGAAGTCTGACATGATTGATAGATTGAGGGGTCGAACCATCCAGAGAGTGAGAGTTGAACCAGGGCCTTCACCTATTTCACGCGACATGTCCTCAACCGGATCCGCTAGATGCCAACCCTTCCTAAACTTCCTAAACTACCAGAAGCCTTGAACTCCCTTTTGAACCCCGAGCAACGTGAGGAGAAGCTGGCTGCCGTCGAGGAGGCGCTCCGTGCAGCTCTGAGCTCGGAGCAGGCCCTTCGGGAGTCTTGGAGGCTTCTTAGACTTTTTCAGTGAGGGAGAGATAGCGCGAAAGAGAGAGAGAGAGAGAGAGAGAGAGAGAGGAAGGAAAAGAAAACTTGTTTCGGGGAGCCAAAAGAGGTCTTCGAGAAAGCAATAACGTGACGGAAGTTTAGAAGTATTATAAGGGTAGAAGGCTTTCTGCACTCAGTATCTGGGCGAGTTGGTGTCTGAAGCGTCGAGAGACTTTGGGTCCCCAGCCGACCCTTAGCCGTCCTGAACATCGCAGGGCACACTCGGCATGTGCGCCCCAATCACTGCAATTGATGCAGCAAGAATGTGGAGTAGACATCTACGTCGTGCTGAGGGCCTTAGGGCCTTTAGAGCGCTGGGAAGGAATCTTAAAGAGCAGCAAATGGCCGACTTTTGCATGCCAGACGAAGGAGCGGCCCAAAGAATTAGGACGTGATTCAGAGGCACATGCCGGCCAAAGCTCAAACGACTTATTTGAGGCATTTTGAGAGCGCCCTCTCACCCAGCCCCTCAGTGGTCCACGGCCTTGGCAGGATCGGACACGGGCCCTGGAAGCCATCGCCCACACTGTGGACGAAGAGCATCGCAGGCCTAAGTGGACGTTTAGATCCAGGGCTGAATGACTTGAGAGTTCCCTAATGAACATGCCCTTCGCTGAATTTGGTTGACATACCTTCCCACTGAGACTGCACTCGGCTTGTGGGAACGACCAGCAGCTTCTCCCACTTGATCAACTTGAAAGAGGTCCATAAACAGAACAAAGTGCCTGGAGTTGTCGGGAAGTTGTTATTGGAAACTGCTGGTTCTTGTCTGGATATTCTGCTTCAACTTTGCCCACGGAGTCCCCAGCAGACAGGTCAGTGACAGGTCCAAGCTGTCAATGTGAATTCCAGACCACACCTGAAGATAGAACCTAACCCAGCAAGAGGTCCGAGCAACCGCAAGTGGAGCATGTTTAAACAAGCAAAAGCAGCCGAACACCCCAGCATGGCCGGCCACAGGCCTGACCCTCATGGTGAAGAAGTAGGCCCGTGGTCGTGGTGATGATCGGATTGGCCTCACCAGAACCCAAGCTCTTAGTGGAAGGTTCGGAGTTCGTGTTTCGGGCTCGATTCAAAGGTTAAGGCTGTTTTGGTATGTGTGGCTATGGGTTTTCGACGGGCCAGCTACGTCTTCATCTGCATAAGCCTATATTGCGAGGGCTCAGCACCGGCCTGAAGGCTCCAGCTGACCCTTTCAGCACCGGAAGCTTGGGAAAAAACATGAAGAAGCCGAAGATTAAGGAGAGTAAAGAGTCCTTTTCGGGGCCTTTGGCTCTGCCGCCAGGTGACGCGGCGGCAGTTGAGGAAGCCCCGGAGGAGCAAGGCAAGGACACGTCCACCAAAGCAACCTTGGAAAAGCAACTCTAAAGCCTGCTTTAGGGCTGAGGGGGTAGCTGGGTAGTATGAGTTCAGGCCTTGAAGGTTTCATAGATCTGTGGGAGAGGTTGGCTGCCGGTTGAAGTGTCTTTGCGTTTTTTTGCGGGGGGGAGGGGGGGGCGAGGGCTTGAGATGGAGGACTGCTTTGAGTCCTAGCGGAAGAATCCTCAACCCTGGACCGTAAACCCCAAATTCAAAAACTGAAGCCCTTGAGGGTTCGTTCTTCGTCCTACGGCCCGGGCGGCAAATATTCTTCGTTCAGAGTTAGCACTCTTCGGCACTTCGTGGACTTTCATTCGAGGCATTTTTTGGTTTCTGATCTTTGTAGGTGTTGCTGTTTTAGGCGCTGCTTGTCACAGTGTCTCCACCACAAGTCGCCACCCCACCATCACCGCAGAGCCTAGACCGCTCTGAGTCATGAAGCCCTAGGCCTAAACCCTGAAGGCCCTAAACCCTAACCCCCAGCACTTACATCCTAAGCCGAAGCCGCGAGGCGTCGAGCTGCGTATCAAGAACACCTTCATCGAGGTCTTCGTCCCCAAAGAGGGCGAACACTTAGCTGCGGGCCTAGTTAGGGCTGTTTTTGCCGGGTGACAGGTTTGTTGTAGGCTGTCAAATTCCTGGTGCAGCCCCGAGGTCCCATGCCCAGTGAAGGTTTCACGCGGGCTTTCGAAAGCGTGCAGAGCATGGTGTGCTAAGCAGTTTGGCGCTCTGAATGCCGAAGCCAGGCCTCTCTCAGCTTTGGACGCCAAAGGGTAGAAGCACGAGGTGCGATCAATCCCTGGTACGTGCACCAAGGTGAGGACAAGGACTGCTCCCAGCGTCGTCTCTCAAATGGGCGCGAAGCCTGGAGTGGAGGGTCCTGGGGAGATCATTTGGAAGACAAGCAGAGCTGTAGGCTTGATATGGTTAAGCTTCGGTAAGCTTAGGTAAGCTTAGGTAAGCTTCTGGTTGCTTTTTAGAGTTCCAGTTTAGAATTGCTGCAGTTGGTAAAGGCTTTCGCTTGGGCCTAAAGGCTTCGCGGGCGACTTTCAGGGCTGCTTCCATCTGTCTGCTGGCTTCAGCATGAAGCCTCCCAGAGAGTTCACACAGATGCCCTAAGCTTCTAGGAAACTGAGTTTCTGCTCGGGTCCCCATCCTCATCTCCTAAGTCTCGTCAAGATTGTCCATGGAGCAGGCGACGCGTCAGCGGCCTCGCCAACTGGTGGTTACCTCGAGGACTTCGGGGTTTCCAGAGATTCTGAAGGTTAAAGATGGTTTCAATTGTGCGTTCGCAAGGCTTCATATGCGCTGCTGGGCTTGGGAGGGGACGTGTAGCTAAGCCTGCAGTCTTTGTTTGAGATGTTCAGGCGTGGAAGAAAGGCTGCTGCGTGCCACTTCCCTAGCCTGTGCCCCCGAGGTTCAAGAGCCAAACCTCTGTCACTCTGCCCATGCTGCTTCAGTGCTGTGATTGCTGGAAATGTAGCTCTTGCCTGAGCTTTCTGTGTAGACTGCGGCCAGGAGGGTGGAGCCACGTCTTCCTCACAGAGGCGGGGTCGAGGTGCAAGATAGGCTGTGCCGGCACCTCCCTTTCTGCATGTTCATCGGTTCTTCGACTCTTCAACTCTTCGACTCTTCGACTCTTCCGCTGTCTCCGCGCAGCCCTCTCCCCCTCCGCGCTCAGTCTACAAGCAACACACGAATTGTTGAGTGGACGTTCGTTCCGCCCAGACGTGCAAACCATGGGGGCGAGCTCCTCCTTCTTTCACTCTTGGCCCGCAGTGCCGAACTCAAGTACTAGCAAGCACCCCAAGTTCACAACCCCAACAAAGAACCCTCAATCCTCAACCCGGAACAAAAACACTAGCCAAGACAGCAAAGCCTACCTACATCTTAAGCTTCCACGCAGGACTTCACCACTCCTCACCATGGTCCCTGCCCCGTCGCCTCCTGCACCTTGGGCACTGAAGCGGGACACGTCCGGCCGCCCGGTGCAACTCTTCGGGATATGTGGGTCTTGCCCAAAGCATGGTCAGGTGGTGGGGGGTCTAGGGGTGGTGGGGTCTAGGTCTAGTACGGGGTCTGGGGTTGGTTATGCGAGCAGCGGCGGAGCTTGGCCCGTTCACGCGGCAGGCTGATCACTTGTGCAAGGGTGAGGCTCCCCATCCTTTTTAGAAAGGCCTGAAGCAAGTCTCTATTGGCCTCTGGTGAGGTCGAGCATCCTGCGCTCCATCCTTGAGGATAAGTCAGGGCCCTTGGCATCTTGGGGTTGGTCGGCTCAGGAGGGTGGGGGGCTCCTTTGCTGGTTCTCCAAATGGGGGGGGCGGGTTCCCGTGGGTTCAGGGTTTTAGGGTATAGGGTTTTGTTCGGCTGTTGGTATCCAAATTCTGAATGGCGCGGTACAACACCCTTGCACCACATGCACTTCATGGTAACATATGTAAAAATGGTGTGTATGTAGCTTGATGTTATCCGCCACGTCTTGGCGATGCCCACAGCAAATCTCACCTTAACCAGAGCTTCCAGAGCTCAAAAGACTCGCTCTCGCAGCAACGCCAAAGCCTGTCGTGGAGAACGCCCCTGAGTCCCTAAAGGCCCTACACACCTCACTGCCTACGACGGTGCCTACGACTCTCAAAACTCCAAAGCCAATAAAGCCAGAAGCGTGCAGAAACTCTGAGGATGGAAGCAGAGTCCGAGCGGGACGCCGGCGAAAGCCGAGGAGCCATTGGCTTCTTGGGGTTTTATTGGCGGGCTTTCTTTGCTTTTGTCCTGATAAAGGTCTATGGAGGGAATGCTAATCAGCTAATCTTGACAATTTGGGAGTTCAGGTCAGGCGTTTCCGGTTTGTCATTAAGCTCCTAGTTCAGCAGACGCTTTGAAGGAGCCCAGCTCGGTTGTTCGACTGTGATCGGTTGGTTTGTCGGTCTTAGACATGTCGTGTCGTTGTCCATGTGTGCCCCGAGTAGAAAACACATGTTGCAGTGACATTCTTGCTACCTAAGCCTGAAGTAGGCCTTTCAGCTCGCAGTTGGTTACCCTCAAGCACAGCTCTCCTGTGTGGCTCTCTTTTGTTGGTTGGAATGAGGGGTGGTGGAACAGCTGGCACAGGTCGCAGCGCCTCACAGCAGGCCAAGGCCCATGGCCCTTTTTGGGCTCTTTTTCTTAGGGTCGGGGAGAGGCGTAAAAGCGCAAGAGACTTGGAGCACGAGCGGAAAGAATCGTCTTCGTGAGGGTTCGTAGAAAAGTTCAGGGTTAGGTGCGCTGGGCACTCAGTCAATTTTCATGTATTCCCAAGTTCAAGGCAGCTTTGTGGTTACAACCTCCGAACGCGCACTGAATGTCCAACAGAGCCCCTGCCTCGTCCTTGGTTGAGTGTTCCAAGTGCTACACCCGGCTCGCTGCCGCTGACATCACTCACCACAGAGCCCACCCCCCAGACGCTAACACCGAAGCGCGCGCAGGGTCGACAGATCTCGATCGAAAAGACAGAGGCGGCTTGGGGTTTAGGCAATGTTTTTGGCTGTGGGGGTGAGGGGCTTCAATCTCAGCGCGTCAGCATATTTCAGTATTGGCTTGGGAAGCTTCCGTCATGAAAGCAAGGGTTTAAGTCAATTGAACAATACAAGAGTTCTCAAGGAAGATTCTTCAACTTATTTCCCACAAGCCAACTATTTTCTGCGGACGCGCTGTAGGCTGTGCACATAGTTGTTGGAATTTGGGGGATTTGTCATCTTCCCGAAGCCTCATCTGCTCCAGGCGTCGCCTGGCGAGGCAGCGGGTGAGGAGTCGAACCGAGAACAGAGAACAGGACTCATCTCTGGTAGTTGCTAGAGTAGCTCAGGATTTTTACGGGGTTGCGGAAAAAGGTCGGTGGAGGATGTGCTCAGCAAATGTTAGATACTTACAGGTACCAGTGATGCGAGTAGCTTGGAGGGCTTCCACGTCTCACTGAGATGCAAGGCCGATGTTATGCCCAGCCTGTCCCAAGCCCTAAACTCCAAACTACACCAGTAGCACAAACCAGCTCCTGTGATTTTCAAGCGTCTTGAGTTGTTTGGGGCTTTTGCAGGCATGGAGCCTGCCTCACAGGCTTTAGGGGTACAGGGGTTCCACTTCCTGGTTTTCGAGCCGCCACCCAGCTCCACCCTCCAATCCCCCTTAAAGTCCCCTACGAGTTTCATCAGGAGCTTTGTCCATGCCTTCGGATCATATCACCAGCTGGGCGGACGAGAGCGGCTCGGCCTCAAGGGAGGACAGTTGAATTGTACAGAATTCCTCTACGGCATCTTATGGTTTCGTAGCGTCTTCATGCATGGTATATATTGTTGCATGGTGCATCTGGTAGATTGTGGTACATTCTGGTATGTATGCTACACAGGGTACACAGGGTACACAGGGTATACATGTATGGGTATATATTATGGGTATGGGTATGGGTCTGGGTCTGGGTATGGGTATGGGCTGTGTATAGGTATGGATATGGGTATATGGGTTGGTATGCAATGCTTAGCATGTACATATATATATATATAAATAGATATATGGGGGCTTTGTGGATGACACGACTCATCCTTGCTGCTTGATCTCGCTCCAGACGCTCCTGCAGCTGCCTTTTCCGACTGTTCATTGTCTCCCAGCTTGGCTTGATTCCTACTTCCTCCATTTGCAGTGTCCTCCGACCCTGGAACGGAGACACATATGCTGGAAAATCCAATCGGCACCGAATTTAAGGTCCAAAACCCCCAGACTCACTGAGACTTGCAAGTGCTTTAGGTTCAAAGCCCTCCGTCCCAATGTAACTGAGACCTCACCAGGTGAGAACCTGGAACCGGGCAATGCAGATCCCTGGTCTGCCCCGGACAAAGATGGCGCGGCTCCGCTTGTGTAGCGTAGGGATTCATTGTGCTGCTCGGGTGATGCACGTAGTGGCTTCGGGCTTCAAGGCACCAGAGGTCGGAGTTGGCGCTCGGTTTGAGACGTGTTCTTGAGTTTGATTCTGTAGACTTTGGGTTTGATGCCAGACACCAATGTGGCCCCTAGAATCCGTTCCCGACCCGAAACCTGAGGGTCATGTGCCTTGCACCCCCAACGTTCCACTGACTCAGAGCCGTGCAAAAATCGTTGGAGTGGGTGCGCAGGAGTCGAAGGTCGGTCCATGTTACCGTGCTCAAAAGCGTAGGATCTGTAGCAGGGTCCGTGTTCCGATCCATTGTCTGTCGGGATGGTGCTGCGGGCGGGTTTGTCAGCAACAGAGACCTAGCGCCACCGTAAGCTTCAGCTCCCAACATCCCGGAAACCCTAAAACACCCGAACCCCACCACCAGCATCTTGGACATCCTGAAATCATCCTGTGTGTTTAGAGTTCAGGCGGTTTGGGATCCAGAGAGGTTATCTAGCAAAGCCGGCTCTGCTCAAGGCCGCCGGGAAGTGCGGCTCAGGCAGCCCTGACCGCAGTGTGAGGGTTTGGGTTTTGACACCCCTGCCCAAAAAGGCTCTAAGGTGAAACGTGCGATCTCTTCATGGTCGAGGGTTTTGGGTTGTGTTCCCAACCTTTAGGGGCTGGAATTCTCCTGAGATACTTCTGAAGCTTCGAGAGTGGAGTGTGCCGGTGTAGCAGTGTAGCAGAGAGCAGGCTAGGAAGAGCCAAACGCTAGGTTCCTCCTAGTTTCACGGTGAAGGATGTAGGAAGTCCCACGTACGTCCGTCAAAACAGCTGAAATGAACTGAAATCATATTTCGACCGAGCGCCCTGATGGGACAAGTTTTTTGAGGAGAAGCAGAGCACAGATGAGAGGTCAACATGAATTGTCTTTCATGCCCAGACAACGCCTGAACTCCTGAAAGCCGCGTTTTTATGGGAGAGTTTAAATTTGCTCGTGCGGAGCAGGAACCTCCCACTCCGACCGGCCGAGGAGCTCAAGGCCGGAAGCCTTTGGAAGCAAACAGTATCAACCCTAACAGGGGTGCGTCGCTTTTGGACGTCGGGGTTCGGCATACGAAACAAGAATCTGTCGTCGCTTTTGGTTTTGGGTCCCTTGATGTCTTTGGACGTGCTCTTGATCCATTGGAATGCTCTTGCGTTTCCACATGGTCTCTCACTTTTTGTGGTCTATGCCGGCATACGTAATTTCTCTAAGAATCCTGGAGCTGCAGACAACAGATTTACGATGTTTTCTTTGTTTTTTTTCTTTGGGGGGTGTCGCGCTCAAAGCCGACCTCTCCCTCAGAACTAGAGGGTTTGTTTCTTCAACGCTGTTTTGAACTCAGCCGACCCGAACAGGTTAACCGTGCCGTTGTGGGTTTGTGAACCACGGTTCCAAGCAGTTGCAGCAATGTGGTTGAGGTTTGGGTGTATGATGAGGGGCATCGGGCAGAGGGTGTTTGGGCCAAGGCCGCCGTTTTTCTGTGGAGCTAAGCCAAGACTCTGTGCTCCAACTTCAAAGCTCCAGACACTGAGCGGGTTTTGCCTTATCGTGCGAACTGGACTGCAAGACTGGCATGGCGTGCCCCAAAGAACTTGTCCTTTGCACTTGCCCGGTTGGCACAAGCCCTCAACAGCTGAAACCGACCCGAATGCCCTTCTCAGGAGGACATCTACAAAGAGCTGGCACGCCTGTGGCGTGTGGTTCTCAATCGTCCGGGCCTTGAAGGGTGCCGAGATTCTCGGATCCCTGCCAGTGGTTGTCAGGGTGGCGCTTCTGTTATCTGGCGCTGACAGCCTGAAGCATGCAGTTGAGCTTCTGCCTCTGAAGGGAGGAGTCCTTCTTTGGCCTTTCACTCCGACCATCAAAGGAGTTGTCCAGTAGAAAGCTCTCGATAAAGCCTACGGAAGCCCGCCACGGAAGGCTCGGAGCCTGCAGTTGAGTCATTGAGCATCGCGGATCACCAGGATGAATCTGCGCGGGGCCTCAAATGTTCTGAAATCCCCAAGCGCGGGAGGAGATTTGCAGATGGGGAGCTGGGTTCCAGAAGCTGACGGGAAATGTGGCAGGCAGTATGTTGAAGTTGAGCCTTGAAACGTATTGAAATATTGAAAGATATTGAAGATTATTGAAGCCATCATCAATCCCGTCGATTGCATCCTGGAATCCATGTAGGGTCGGGCGTGTCAAAGAAAAGAGGTCGCCAGCTCCCTTGCGCGAGCGACGGGGACGGAGGCTGGGGTTCTCTGCTCTGAAGACTCTGAAGCTGACCGAAATGCCGAAATGAAAAGCTCTACAAACAGTCTCAAGCCCACGACTCCGAAACTAAGCCGAAGCCCCTGCAGTACTGAAAGCACCACGCATCACCACACCCTGCGCCTCCAAGACCTCATAACCCAAAAGACCTCATGACCCAAGTCATAACGGGAGCTTTTCTGTTGTTTAGTAATGCTGCTGTGCTTGAAGCGAGACCTCGGTGGGTAGGGCATGACACGAGCTCTGTAGATGTAAATCCTAGGTTTGTCATGTTAGCCAGCAAGTGCGATGTACCCGACAAGGCGACGATCGTCTTCGAGCGCTCACAGGCGCAAATGGAAAGTTAGCAGCCTACAGGGATAGACTGAGTAAGGCTCGTGCAGATTGATTGCATGGCAGAAATTCGGCGCAAACAGTTGGGGTTTGAGGATGTAATGTTCTCAGTGTGTGGCTTTGAATCGCCGGGGCGCATGTGACGGTCCGAGCCTGGATAACGATAGGACTGTCCACCCTTAAGCAAGTGTTCGTCTGCCTGTCCAGTGCGGGGGAAGGATGCCAAGTGGCTGGTGGATATCCGACAGCCACCCAACTGGACCAGCGTTGTGCTCCCAGGACGACACTCATCAGGGCCTTTCTCAGAAAGCTTTCGCCTTGCTTAGGTCCTCAACGTCCACCATGCACTGAAGACTGGACACAGGGAAACATTTCCACTAAATGCCACTAACTGTGTACTGATACACTTTGCTAAGGCGCAGACGATGTCAATCCGTGGCCGCGTTCTCCAATCTGCAGCTCGGCAACACTCAAGTTCCTTGAAACGCGCACATGTGTCTTGACCTATCATAAGTCTGAAATGACATAAGGCCCCATCTTATGACATAAGATGGGGCCGCACTTTTAGGGTAAAATAAACATGCCTCAGAGACCTGAGCAACTCTAATAGTTGTAATGAAAGCACGAACAATATTATAATAAGCGCGAACAAAGTGAACTTAAGTCACTCACACTTTTAGAATTCTTGTCTCACTTCATTCGTTCGTTTATTAGTTTTGTTCACGCATACACATTATTATTCACGCGTCTACACTTGCAATAGTAAATAATGCGTGAACTCCAAAAACTAATGAGCCAGGTGACACGACATGTGAACTTTCCTCGTCATGAAGGTGGATTCTGTGACTAGACCGTGTGAGCTGGACACATGAATTGAGGAAAGTGGTCAATGAGTGTTGGAAATCTTTCTAGTACTTGGATGTGTGGTTCAGTCGCTGGTTTTTTGTTCTCACCGCCGGATCACCAAAAGCCCATATTAATACTATATTACACGCGTAAACTTGCCATGTAATATTATAATGTGGGCTTTTAGGAGATTCCGGAAGGTTAGACAAGCGGTTGGGGTCCCGAGGGTGGGTTCCTATCTTCAGTCTCTCATAAAGGTAAATCACCGGGCAGAGAATGATTGAAAAGACCCAGAGAATAGGATGATGACAATAAGGCCCGGGAAACAAGGGTGCGAACTGTTAGACCAAGATATGAGAGTTAGGGTCTCAAGGTTCGGTCGCTAGTTCCCGATGCAGCATTAGACTCATGGTGTTCACTGCCGGGCGGGAAGCCCCTGAGAACTTGGATGTAGAACTGAAGCCTTTGGTGATCGAGGATTCATTAAACGAGGATTCCAAGGGTGTGAACGGTTAGACCAAGAACTTGGAAAGGCTGGAAGTATGAACTGGAGAAAGGTCATGAGGTTCATGCGGCTCACTACGTTCTCCATTTCCCCCCTTAATAATATTATATGAAAGAAAGTAAGCTTGCGCACGTTTCTTTCAATTAATATTATAAAGGGCCCCATTAATCATTTCATTCTGTTCACGCTTTAAACAGTAAATTCAGTCATTCTCTGTAGTTTAATAAAAGCGTGTACAAATGAACTGTATTTATGCGGGACAGTGTGTTCACCGAGCTCTCACACGGGAGTAGAGGCGTTCTTCGGGAGAACCAAGGAAACAGAGCAAAAATCCTAAGGGTTTAGGCAAAACCTCTCCTACGAAAAGTAGTATGAATCCGATGTAGTATAGAGGGAATGGAGGCTTTCCTAGCAGACAAACCAAGAAAATGAGCACCTGTAGTAGAAAGCCAGGAAAAGCACAACAACTCCCAAAGAAAAACGAACAAGATTCACAAATTAGTTTTCCGAACGGCCCAACCGCCAAACACAACCCCTAAACTACCTAAAGCGCCCCTTTAGGAATGGCCGCCACTCCCACCGCCTGTGGACTGGCGGCGCCTGCGCTACAAGGCGGCCTTGGGCGCATCGATAAGGAAACATGTTCAGGCTCGTTTGGAAGGGTCTTGCAGGTTAGGCTGAACGGTTCAAGAAGGGGGCTCCGTTGATCGTCATCATTGCATCCAGCACCACAGTTGCCCTTCAACGAGGGGCCATGAACCTTGAAACCCCAAAACAGCAGGGAAACCTGCAATCACACCCATGACAGCCAACATGTGACAGCTATGACCCTGAAAGTCAAGTTGGTCTCTCTGGAGAAGTCAAGAGCTTGCAAGGCCGACACCGATGCCTCCTCGCAGGTGTCTTATGACACAGCAAAGGCCTCAGATGCTTTCAGGACAAGGTGCTTCAGATGTGAACTTCAACACCTCTTGAAAGCAAACTGCTGCGTCTCCCACAGGGAAGAGTTCAGGCCTCCAACTAAAGACAGCAACATTTGGACTGGCCGTCTCAAATAGCATTGCATCTTTCAGCGTCAGATGGGATTTACTTCGTGCTTTTCCACTACTGTATAAGGGTTGCAACTCCTCCGGAAATGTCTCGGTGATCAGGCTTCACGTTTACATTTTTGTCGTGATGCTTCCCAGCCCAGGTTGGGACGAAGCGTTCGTGCAGCCACGCCATCCAAGCCAGGCCGGACGTGTTGCAAGCGTGCTTGATCAGATTCGTGAGGCTTGGGCTTGTTTCTCGAATGTGGAGCTTCTATGGCGCTTCTGTGTTCTGACGGACTTTGACACACTGGACGGGATCGTGTCATGCCAAGGACACAATGCAAGAGGGCTTTCGCGTGTCTGCCTTCCTCACGGAATCACATTCACACTGATGAACATCGCGCACCCGCTCCGCCAATGCTTGTAAACAGTACCAGTGCTTCGAACATCGGAATGATCAAGGGAGCCGTGGAAAAGACAACTTCCGCATAGGTCGGCAGACCCAGAGTATCAAAGAGCTCCCGAGTCACCGAAACTGAGGGACCGAAACCTCGCGGAAGGCGGCCTGGTGAGACCCCGCCGCTTCGGAAGGGCGACGACCACCCGCCACAGAACCGGAGCGACATGGGATGTGGGGTCTGGGGAGGTTGCGTAGCGCTGTTGTCTGGGCTTTCACCTTTCGCTGTTTGACATGAATTTGAGGGCTTGAAGGGTCTTGAAGGGTCTTGAAGGGTCTTGAGGGGTCTTGAAGGGTCTTGAAGGGTCTTGAAGGGTCTTGAGGGATCTTGAGGGGTCCGAAGCCCTGAACTGCCCAAGCTCTCCAGGGACCAAACCCAAACCCCGACATTCTCAATGCCAACGGCATGGACCCTTCAATTCTAGGACGGTCATCCTCACTGGCATTGGCCATCATCTTCCTGTGCCGGGAGCCCGGTGAAACTGGGCCAGTCGAGGCTTTGGAGTCCACGTTTGGGAAGGGTCGAAGACCTATGAAGACGCTCTCAACCGCATCACCTTCGTGGTTGAGTGGATCTGAGTGGTCTGTCCAGGTTGAGCTAAGTGGACTTTTCCATTTCACGGCTGAACACCTCCCCTCAAGGGGCCCCACGAACTCTTTTTCAAGCTCTCTCCGCTCTCGCAAGCCAAGGCATACGGTGCGCAGCGAGGCAAAGATAGCGATGCGCAGCCATGCTGTTCCATGCGCTTCAGCGAGCTTGGCAGGGCACATCTCAGTGCACAATTTGGAGGCACATCTGAGCACCAGGGTGCACCAGGGTGCACCGGATGCAGGTCCTTGATTTACTGCGGCGGCTTTGGAACCGAGACGGCCAGGAGCCCAGCGGCTTCGAGCAATGTCGAGCTTTTGAGCTTTCGAAATCTTTCGAATGCTTTTGGGGTTTTCAGAGAAAGGTGCCAGGTATGGGGCCCGGGCCACCCGGGGTGCTGCGAACGGGTCTCCAGCTGCGTAGTGTCAGACTGTGCAAAAAGGTCCCCTTCTCCAAGCCCCCGCTCCGCACTTTCAAAAGCCACGCAATAAACGTCGGCAGGTCTGAAGTTTGATCCAGAGACGCAGCTCCACCGCCGAGATCCCAGATTCGTGGGCAGAGCGCAGAGGATTGGAGCAAAGCTCAATGACATGGTAGACCTCGAACCATCTCTAACCGTCTTCACCTTAAACATCCTCTAACGCTCGTTGAAGGTTTCTTTGCAGACAGGTGGAGCCGAGGGTGGCCTCACCGTCCGCCACGCCCGGCGCCATGGGCAGGCCGAGATGTGGGGGGCGGGGGGAGGGGGGGGGGAGGACGGAGACACAGCTTGGTTGAGGGCTCCTTTCTTTTGTTTTGTTTTTGATTTTGGTTTTAGTTCTGGTTCTGGTTTTGTTTGGTTTTGTTTGGTTTTGTTTTGTTTTGTTTTGTTAGGTTTTGTTTTGGGAGCTGGCCTGTTGAAGGGTTGAGGGTTTTGGGGTTTGGGAGTGGGTTCTGACTGTCTCTGGTGTGTTTTCTGAGTGACTGCCAGTTTCGACATCTACTCCTGATTGGTTGGATTGGTGCCTGGAGCTTCATAAGCGGTGACACTCCTGTCGTCCGAATCAGTCGCTGAATCTTTTGGTTTGATTGGATGTGTTTTCGGATGAGGCTGGGTCAGTTCGCATTCTGAGTATCATGCGGGATTCTAAGATGGTGCTTGTAGAGACTCTTAGCCTCAGGCTTGCTTGACCTGCTGTGGCACCAAGGGTGGGGGGCTTTGGGATTCTTATTGCAGGGTTTTGAGAGGCTTGTACCAAACCAGAGCTCACCATGTGGTGTAAGCCTTGAAGCCGCCACTTAAACCAGATGGAGATTTCAGATACTTGTTTTCGGATCGGGGGCCGGGCGGGACTGGAGGGGCGCTGTGGAGCAGCTAAAGTCGAAGCATCTTCCGGACTGGGCATCCCACCTGAACCTGCCGATGATGTAGTTTGGGGCTCATAAGCTTTCGAACATTTGAGGGGAGTGGAGTCGGTTATTTTTTTTTGCAGAGAGCCGCCAGGAGAATGACGGCAGCTGCGTGGTGCGGCTCCGGAACTACTGCGACGCCAAGTGGCTGGTGGAGCAGGCGTCCCCGTATGAAGAACGTTTATACAAGAACCTCCCCATGGTTAACGCTCTTTTGGTTGTGTAGTAGAGAAAACCAAGAGGCTTCGACCGACGGCTCGCTCAACCTTGCCTCATGTGTGATTGCCGGTCCCAAACAGAATCAGAACAAACTTTCGGCGGAGCGCCGCCGACATGCCGTGAGAGGCGCGTGGCCTCAATATCGAAGGGCGACCTTTGCGGGCGATGTGGGCCCGACCCCGTGACGGGGCACGGTGAGCGCAGGAACAGTAGAGGGCATGAGCTGGTGCTTGGTTTGCTTGGTAACGTATTGTCTAAGGCACTAGCAAACGAGAAGCAACGCCTACTTGCTTCGGACACATGTTGTTTAAGCCTCTTGAAGATTTATTCCAGGAATACATAACCATGGCTGTGGTGAAAGATTGACGTTGTGCGTGTATTTGACTACATTCGCATGCCTCCAGAGCCTTTAAAGTTTGCCGGAGTTGCGTGCATTTGATTTCACGGATTCGGTGAGATCTTGGGCAACAAGCCGTCCTTGTGGAAAGCTCATGGGCAGATGCCATGGAATCCAAAGCACTAGAGCTTTGTAGGGCCTTTCCTTTCCAGCCTGTCCTATGTGGTAAGTCTTCGAGGAAGAAAGTGTTCGCGAGTCGTGACCAAGATCTTAAGACACGGCTGCTTCAGCTTGTCACAGGTTGCAGAAAAGAAGCTCAACATAACCACCGAACAACCATCCACTTGATTTAAATCCAAACGTCTGAGTCTGAACGCTGCGCAAAGCCTCAAGCCAAAGGATTTCTGTAAATAGAGTTTGCCAGACTCGCGCTGGGGGTTTCTTCTAGGCCAAGCAGTGATAGCCACTTTCTGCCAAATGGCTGCCCGAAACCTTACCCAAAAGACGTCTTTTTAGACCCCTCTCTCTGGCAGTGCTTCAGGTATGGCTGTTGGGCACGGTGTCAGACTCCACAATACAGGGTCTTCAGTCGTAGAGCTTCGAGTCAAGCCGCAAGCTGAGGGCTCGGCAGATCTGCAGTCCAAGACCTAGCCATGCCATTGTGTTTGGAACTGTGGCTTGTCACAAGTAAGTCTTAGGAGGTGCGAAGGTGGCCAACAAGGAGCACGGCTGATCCATCTCTGCACTCCGAGCCTGCTCAAAACATCTAGGCCTCCTAACCCGAGGGAATTTGCCGTCTCACCTCAAAGGAACAAAAGAAGCTGCACACCAACAAAGTGTAATGATCTCCCAACCCCAAGAGCACACGAGAGCATGCCATTCCCGGCACGACGCCTAAAGCACTACCTAAGCCTACTGCTATCCTGTAGGACTTCCAGGGCCCTTCCTTGCATGGACCTTGCCTGCAAAGCCTGCTGGGCCTTGTCCGGCTTTTCTCTTGGCCCTCGTGCGCATGTTGTGCCGGGCACACAGCTGAGAGCTGGGCTGGGGAGTCGGCTAGAGGGGCACGGTGCATCCGGTGCATCCTGGGTGGGCACTCAATGCCACATCGCAACAAATGTTGCAGATAGGGAGAGTGCAGAGAAGTGATTAGATATCGTGCTTGCGCTGCCCTAGAAAATGTTACCACTCAGGACCAAGCCAGGTGTTTGCAACCATCTGCAACCCCCAGTTCCTGAATCCCAAAACACGCGCTAACTCCAGACCCAGAGCCCTGAGCCCAAGCCCTTAATCCAGGGTAGAAGCAAGGTGTGAGGCATGGCGGCGGCAGAAGAGGATCAGTTGGAGGCTCTTCGCAGAGCTGTATTTGGGGTACGATTCGAACCTCACCTCACTACGGGCTTGTGCAGACACTGGCGACCCTGCATCCTCCTAGCCCCCATGCTCTAAACCTTTTTGGGGGCTGGAGTGTTCACCGCACGCATGCAGAACACTTCTTTCGGACTTGGGGTAGAGAAAGATGTACAGTACGATGCGAGTCTAGGGCTCAGCGCTTCCCGAGCCGAGTTGAACTCAGCAATTTTGCAATAGCGCCATGCTGCTACATTGACACAGCCTTCCCTCGCTCCGCGCATTCCTTCTGCCCCTCCCCAAGATATGTTTAGCCAGCCATGTGGCCCCAGAGCCAGGCGCTGTATCAGCCAACGTGCCTGAACGTCCAGGGCGCAAGGCACGCAAGAGCTTGGGCTTGCGTCAGGCGGCGAGGTTGTCTGGTTTCGTGTGTGGGTGTCGGCCTCAAGTTGCAACAGCCCGTCTTACACCCGAGATTCTCCGGCACCTCCCGAATGAAGAAGCTGGGTGTGTAGGTGGACGAACTTCGGATATGCCTTGATCGGCCAGGAGCCCAATGTGTAGGGGGACTTATGCTTAGGGCCCAGGGCTTCTGGTGTTGTTTCAACTCAGAAGGCCCTGAGTTGAGATTTTCTTGGCATTCATGGGGGTGATTTGGGTTGTCCTGAAGCCGGAGACTTGCACCGTGCCTACACAGCTGGAGGTGGCTCCACCATCATCATGGCTTGCCAGTCCTTGGGCATCGGCCCGAATTGGTCAGGACCCAAGCTTCAGACAGCGCAAAGCGCTTCGGACAGATTCGGCACAGAATCGCGATATGCCACATCAGATCACTGAGAGCAAGTCTGGAGTCCAGCATTCTGGAATGCTGGATGTTCCAAACCCCAAGCCCTACCCCTCCCAGCTTGTCCTTGATGTTATTCGGCAAGGCCGGTTGTGTGTGGCACTTCGGTGAGACTGCAGTGTTTGGGCTTGGCAGCTTTTGCGGACAATAAACCTCAAGTTCCCAAGCCCTTGTAGCCAAAGGATCTGGAAGAGTGCAGACGATGCCACCACCGTGCTCTTCACCTTCGAGCTATTGGCGCCTCTCCTCCCCAACATGGGGGTTGTTCGTTTGTTGGGGCATCGTTGTTAGGCCAGGCTTTGAGGTTTAAGATGATCAGGTTCGAAGACACATCGGTCAACTCGACTTATAAAAAAAGGCCCATGAAAGTCCAAGTTCAAGTCGCTCCCAAGCCGATGGATAAACGAGGTGCCTGAGCATCTTTAACCCCTTCAACTGTGCCCAACTTGAGCTGAATGAGTCTGAGCCGTGGCCAGTGGCACGATGCTTCGTTGTTTCGGGCTGCACTGCCCCAGAATTGCATTTATTCTCCTGGTTCTTGGCGGTTGAAGCCTAGATGCCGTAGCGGTTTGTTCCGGGAAAAAAATGGTGGGGTAAGTTGCGGCTTGCAGTTCCCTCTAGAAGGCGACTTTTGTTCTGTGCCCATGTGCCCTCAAAACTCCCCCCTCCCCCCCCCAATCCTGGCCCGAAGTCTCGTGATTAATCGAACCGAGCTGCCATGTTCAGGTGCGGATCTTCGAGAAAGGTGCGCCAGATTCCTGCACACGGGCGGGCAACGAGAGGTAGCTTAAAATCTTCAGATCCGCCGCAAGTGTATTCGTCGAAAGTATTCGTTGAGCATTGACATGCGGCGAGTCAGAAACTCAGGCCCTCCTAATCCAGATCCCTCCACCTCTTTTGAAGCTTTAAGCCAGAAAGGCTCTAAGCCGACAGGATACTTGTTCTTCGTCGAAGATGACAAGAACTGGAACTTCTTTGACGCCCTAGCACCTGAGATGCATCCAAGACCTAAGTCCTGAAGCCCTCACGCCCCTGAGTTTCAGAGACCCCCCACCCAACGGCCTGAGCTGACGCTGCAAACCATCAGTTGATCTTTAGAAGCCTAGGAGAGGATTTTCGAAGAACTCCTTTGGGCTGTCCATGCAGTCGATGGAATTCCCGCTTGACGCGGAAGAACAACTCCCTCATGATGCCCTTAGAACGGTGGAATCGACCCTCAAGGCCCTGGATCTTGACTGAAGGAGACTGAAGGACGCTGCACTCCTCAACATGGGTCCCCGAAGCGCAAGTAGCCGTAAGCACGAGAAGAAGTCCTTGAACATCTTACAATTCCTCAATGCCAAAGGCAGGAATAGATAAGTTTTGGCATGCGCGAGGTTGTGGCCATCTCCCTTTTCAGCATGGCTGCAGCCCGAAAGATTGTGGCACTGCGATCCGGTCCTTTTTGGGGTTCAAGGGCATGTGGGGGGGTTAACGTTCAGAGGCTCGGGATGCCAAGATCGTGCTTTGTCACACAGAATTTGTGAAACGCGCTCAGTCACACTGTCAGACTTACGAGTGCAGACAAAAGGTTCTGTAGCGACACGAGCCCGCGATCGTTTCCAATCGTTGCCCGTGGTGCGAAACTGTCAGATGCAGAGGATTGCCATGGAATACCCTGGTCTGGAAGTACGTTCAGCGAGGTCATGTCCCAACAGGCTGCGGCTTCGGCCAATGGCCAGGCGCCCAATGGCACAGCCCGGCGCGTTTGCAGAGGGCTTTGGCAGAGATCTTTTGGTGTACGGTTGCAGTTGGCATGTTGGGCCCACATCCAAAACGAGTCCTGAGGTTAGTACATGTTAGTACATGTTCGTACAGTTCTTTCAAGCCAGGAGCGGCCATGCAGAAGATGAAGGCCGGGCTGAGTTGCAGAGGCATGCGGGGGCCACACAATCTCGGCTCGAGGCTCGAAAGCACAACATTTTTCAACGCCTCCACAGGAGATTGCTGCAATGTTTGCAAGCCACCTGTCAAAACCAATACCAACTATGTCATTTGTTATACTTTACATGGGAAGCCTCATGCGCCTCATGCACGAATGGCTTCGTGCGGCTTGTCTGGGCTTCAGGACTTCAGGACTTTAGGCTTACATGGGTTATAAGTTTTGGCTCGGCTTTAGAAAGCTCCTTAGAGAGACCTTCAGCTTTGTGATGCTTTTCGGGGTGATGCGCCCGAGGTGTTGGGCTTCGTTGCCATGCTTACGGCTTCTTCGTCTGCGGTGTGCAATGTGCATATTGATCCCGATCCCCAAAGACCAAGCCCCCCCCAAGCCTCCAATCCGAAACCAGGTCTTGCGCACGCTGCGCCTGCTGCGCCTGCTGCGGCTCTTCCGCGTCTTCAAAGGCGTTGAGGAGGCGACGAACTTTGCAGAACCTCGGGTTTTATGGGAGACCAGCGCTTGGCAGCGTAATTGTTAATGACCCGAGCACTGGCTCAGGGCATGTTGATTGCAAAACGGTAGTCTTTATGCCGTCGCCCACGTCGTGCAGTGTTTGGGTGCGATCTTTGTCCAAGCCTGAGCAAGTGAAAGCAAGAAGATGCAGTAAAGCTACTTGACCAAGACTGCTAGCAAAAGTGAAAGGTTGCCAAATCAATTTGAACCAACAGGCCAACTCTGAACCCCTGAACCGCCCAAACCCTAAACAGCCCCCCCCCCCCTGCCCCCCTCGCGCCGAAAGACCCCAAGACCGAAACCAGACCCAGGTGAACCGCTTCGTCGAGCTGCTCCTGAACAGTGCTGCAAGCTCAGCTGAGCGCATAGTTCCTCTGGAGGAATCCACAAGTTCAGGGTCAGTTGGAGCCATTTGTTGAGTCTTTAGTTGGGACGTTTGGTTGTCGTAGTTCAGGCAGCCCGGCACGGTTGAAAGCTGTGGCTTCTGAGAGGCGGTGCGTAGTTTAGGAAGCCAAGAAGTCGTCGGGGTTTGAGCTGCTCCCTGTCGAATCAGAGGTGTAAGGCTGCTTCCCGCAATCTGAGTTTAATGAGCCTAAGTCCCAGGATGTGCGAGTATTGTGTGACTCCCTAAGAACTAAACTTCAACGAAAAACGTGAGGGCGGCAAGAACACGGCCAGAAATCTTCAAAGCAGCTCCTAATGGCTACAGGAGGCTTTGGGAGTTCAGTGTTTGGGCTTTGGGCTTTGGTTTCAAGGGTGCCGAAGGCAACAAGTTGCAAGTTGTGGAGTCATTTGATTTGGGGCCTTCTATTGGTGCTGTGACTCCTCCGCAGGTTCGGACCGTCTTCCTCTCCATGGTGATTGCCCGGGCGCCCGGGTCGACCCGAAACCCCAAGCCCTTGGGCACCCCAAGTTGTGCCATCAGCGCGGGCAAACCTCTAAGCTTGAACGAACCCAGAACATCCCAACAGCCGAACGCCTCCAAAAAGGCCTTTGTGTAATCTGAAGCCTGAGTGCCCCAAACCTACAAAACCCTAGGCCCACTCTGAGGTTTTGAAGTTCGATATCAGTTCATTTTCGTTGCAGGGAGAAAATCGGAGAAGATTTTTTAAGAATCCTTATGAATGGAAGTCATATCTGGTGTATATTGTGCATCTCAGGTCGCCGCCGGTGTCGCCCTGGTGGCCACGGCGATCATCGCCTGCGGTGCCACGGCGCGGGTGCCCAAACGGGGAGGAGAAGATCTGCGTAAAGGCTTAACAGGCTTAACAGGCTTAACAGGCTTAACAGGCTTAACAGGCTTAACAGGCTTAACAGGCTCCTCTTCTTTTGGAAAGGCGTTTTTTCGTTTAGAGCTTGTGGTCTATCCAAGAGTTGATTTTTTTTGTGACTCCACGATGCAAAAAGGGGTCCTTCAGAAGTCCGGGATTCCGTTGATGTTGGGGGGAGGTCTTTGAGCTCCAGCTTGAGTTTCCACTCGTACTGGTAGAGGTGTGTGGGGTTCAGCCAGTTCACGATTGAAAGATGATTCCGCCTCAGGCACTTTAGGTAATAAGGAGTTTGGGCTTCCAGAGCCTGCTTTAGAATTTCGTAGGGGCAGAGAAACGTCGATTGTTAGAGAATGAAGAGTGTGCAGGGCAAGGCGCAATGTAGTAGCATGGCAAGGCAATGCCAGCGGTTTGACTTGCGGTCCTTGGTGGCCTTGCACTTCTTGTACTCCCTTGCCGTAATGGTCAGCTGAGGCCAAAGCATGGCTACGTGACCACTCGCTGCCCAAGCTTCCAGAAATCCACTGACGCAGACAAGCTGGAAGCGCACTCGGACTCTCAAAGAGAGCCTGAGCTTCAGATGGAGCTTTCCAGCCAGTTGGCCATGTGCACCATAACACACCAAAGTGCCTTGCTTTCTCTGCAGTACTATCCCAAACTGGACTTAGCGCTTGTGAGTCGTCAAAGTTTTGGGAGCCTTGTGCGCGGGCGTGCAACCGTTCGGAGATGGGTTGTGATTTTACTTGACTTCTTCTTGTCAAGAATTTGTCATGAGTTGGCAAGCTCCGCCGATCTCTTCGACGATTTTTCGTCCAAAGATAGAGACAGCAACGCTCGGGTGTGCCCAAAATACGTGGACTGCATCATCTGCAGCAACTCAGTAGGGACAGCAGGAAGAAGCCGGTGCTCCACTTGTGGCCTGCATAACCAATGCATAGCATGCCAAGGATCAGTCGCGCAGATTTCTCGAAACTCTGTGGCTCAGCAAGGTAGCGTGACATTGACCGTAATTCGGAGCAGCCACGACAAACACACGCTATGACTTCTTTCTGAACTTCCCCTGCTTCCCACCTACCACCAGTCGTCCATAGCACTACAAGCTCACAGCACCATCGGACCCACAGCATCACCTACTTGACTTTGCAACCAACACCAGCGCGGCAGTGAGCAGCAAGACACTCCAAAACTGCGCTGGCAGGGTTGCGTTGCGGGCAGCAGGGCAGCCAGAGCGCCGGGATTCTCGATGATTCTCGATGATTCTCGGTTTTCAGGAAGTTTCTAGCTTCAGGACAAAGGGTATCAGGGTATCGGTTGCTTTTTTCCACGGAGGCGTGGGGCCGAAGCCCCCCCGAACTTTCTGGAAGAATTTCAGACAATCAAGCCGATCTTGGATTGGGAGTGCAAGCCTCAGAAAGTGCACGGGACCTGGGCGTGAGTAGAGCACGATTTCGGCTCTGTGGAAGGTGCCCCCCCCCCCCCCTCCCCCCCCTCCCCCCCCTCCCCCCCCTCCCCACACACCTCGACGCCCCCACACCCCCCCCAACACCCCCATTCCCCCACATCCCCACACCCCTCGCACCCACGCCACACCCTTTTCACGGGGTCACTTTTTGTAACGGGCTCGCATCGGATGGTGACAGTGGCGGCGGTCACAGCGGCAGTAGCCGGAAAATGCCTGCCCTGTACACAACTACAAACGCTTCACGCTACCCCGCTTCCATGTGAGTTAGCACGACGCCACACTTTTGTTGGTATTAGTCCATGTTTTTGGCAGCAAGAATCTACGTTACAGAATTGCCAAAGTGGCGCAAAACTTCGGATTTAGTTGCACGAATCTGCACGCCGCTGCTGCTGCCGCCGCCGCCGCTGCTGCTGCTCCGTGCATCCCGTGCACTGCAGTGCATGACTGTGTGCCTAGCTCATTGATGCTGCTGATGATGAACGGAGACCGGGAGATGCGAAAGTCACGAAGGTCTCGTGAAAATACTCAGCCTGCAGGTTCTTCAGCAGCACCCATGAATTCACGGTTGCTGCGTTCAGATTAGGGGTGCCCTGGTCTGATTGTTCCGAACGGCTGGCGGCCATGCAAGCGTCAATATGCATTTGTGCAACGTTCTTCTGAGGGCTCTTTTGCCTGACTCCATCATTGCACTGCACCGGCTGCACCGTGACACCATATGGCACCCATGAATGTCTCTAGAGGTCTGCCCATCTCCAACTGTTCTCGTGGCAACTAGGAAAGACAGCAATGAAATTCCAAATGCCACATGATGCCACCAAAGACTAAGTGGTTAAAACTGGAGGCCATGGGCATCCTTTTTTCCTCGATCTTCGGTTCCCTACTCGGCAGCAAAGAGGCCGGAGGGGGGGCTGAGGTGGTGTTGGGTTGGAGCCTTAGAGGCAATATGGTTGAAGTTAAGAGGTTTTTGGGATGTGTGCGAGCAAGAAGGTTGGCTCCGGGATAGCCAGGCCCAGAAGCATGTTGAGGATCCTGGCAGTCCGAAGAAGGTCTTAAGGGTTCTAGGGGTCCCAGGGGGCTTGAGGGGGTTAGGGTTCAGGACAGTCTGCCAAACCCCAAATTCAAGACTTTCCGCTCTAGGATGCCCACCCAGCTCCCATGGTCCTCGAAGTCACACGGTGCGGGTTGCGGGGGCCTCCACGGAAAAGCTGCCGGGTACCCCCCCCCCCCCAACCACGGCCCTTCTGGGTTGGGAGTTGGGTTTTTTTTGGGCTTCGCCTTGTGCCTCCAGTACATCAGAATCGTCTCGCTGCTTTCAGTTGCTGACATTCATGCCAATGGCCTTGATAGTCTTGACGCGGCTGCAAAGGATCCATGTTTTTCAAAGTGTCACGTCTAAGGTTGTGGAGCTCTTTTATTTTCTGGTTTTCTCGATTTCGCGAGCCTGCAGGTAAGAATCCTGATCTTGGGCTTGGTCGAAACCTCAGGGCCCGCAATTGGGATGTGTTGAGGCGAAGCATGAAGTAACTGAGGGTCCAGGCCAATCACCCTGATTGTGAGCCGCTAAGGGGCAGACTGCCACCGTATGCCGAATCCCCTCTCACCGATGCTGTTGAACCCCCTGATCTGAGTCATGGGTTTTCTGAGGACAATGCAGGGAAGACGACCATCCTCTACAGGCTGCAGGTGGACGAGGCCCCGGCCTCCACTACTACCTCTCTCGAGTTTTGGAGGGTGTCAAGGGTAGTGCAGGGAGTGCAAGGGAGTGCAGGGCTCGATGATTCCCATGCCTTTGTAAGATTTTGCAGTCCGCACCTTTTGGTTTCCTTTCTTCCAAGCTTGAGCTACCCTTGACCATCACCATCCTTAAGTTCATCAAAGCCGCACATTCTTTCACACTCTCCAAAGAAGAGATTGGGCCTGGTTGAAGAGGTTGTGCAGACTATCCCCACGATTGGCTTCAACGTTGAGACTGCTCCCTGATGCAATTTGTGATGGTCCATGGGTGTTGCAATGGTGTTGCTTTTCTGAGCTTTCATGACTCATTTGAAGCTCGGTGTGTGTTGCTGGGGGAAGCTCAGAGGTGTTTTCTTCATCGATCGAATCTCTGCTGAGTAGCCAAGGTGCAATACAAGAATATCAAGTTCCAGGCCGCTGAAAGGGACAGGGCTCAATCAGATCGCCTTCGGGTGCTTCGTGACTTCCAGACATGGAATACTGCTTCAGAGCTGCCCCGTTGGCACTTCCCGAATCATCGAAGTGGGTGGAGACTGCTCGGATTGCTGGAGCTGCTAGAGCGTGTGCAGGGCCTTTCAACTTCCATGTTCGTACCCGAACTTTGAGAAACAATTCTTGGGCAAGTCCTAAGGTCCTAAGGCAGGAAGTTGTAAGAGGGCTCGAGGACCTGCCCTCGCAATGCAACCCATTGGCGCCAGCCTCCGGGCGCAGAAGGGACATCAAGCTAAACTGACAGCAGCAGCTGGCGCGCCACAAGCCGAGGTGTGGGACTTGGGAGGACAGACAAGCATTCGGCCGTATTGGAGGTGCCAGCTGGTCGCTTCGACTTGGAATGTACAAGTGCCTAAAGGCCTGAAGCACCCCATACCTCCACTTTTTTTGTAGCATTGTCGTCTGTGCTGTACATGTTTCTGACCCGGCGTAATCAGACCTGGTCAAGTCTTTGTGAGAATCATTCAGAATGGTGTCCGTATTGAATGGAGCTTCATTCAGATATCAAGGTAGAATCAGAGTCCTTCTGAGACTTGGCCAACCTGTGTTGAGGAATAAGGATTCTTCGATGCGCCGTGCAAGGTTAGGATTCTTGCTGTTTGCGGCCCAGATGCTTCAGATCCTCTTGCTAGACTGAAGGTGTGTGTGTGTGCGTGTGTGCCTTGGCCAGGTGCTACTACCCCAACACAAATGCCATTATTTATGCTGCAGACTCAGCATTCCACCCACATATTCCCGTATTGCAACCCTTGGCCCCTAAGCTTTCAACACGCAGGCACGACACTTCACCAAGGCACCAAGATAGTTTTGCAACACCCCGCCCGAAGCAGAACCCCCGCACAGCTTGCACCAAGATCCAAAAGTGTTTGCCACTTTGGGCTTGGAGTCTCGGCGGTTTCGTTTTAGCCTCTTCCGAACACTTACACTCAAGCAGTACCTCTTCGGTTTCATTTGGATGTACCAGCTGCCACTAGCAGAGGATTTCATTCAGGCTTTGACTGCCATTCCCTGAAGAGGAAGTATTGGCCTTCTTGTATGTCAGAAATTTCAGATCTTCGCACTTTTCGGATGCCAAATTGCAGCAGTGCTCTGCGCTGCCCAACGTCCCTCATTGCCACATAGTCCGCGCAGTTTTCGCGCTTCTTCCTGCCCAAAGCCACTTTTTGTGCGCCTGTGAGATTCTATGGGTCCTTCAAGAGCCCCAACCAAGAACCTCCGGCAAGTGCCCCCCTTTTGGTCGAGGGGGATGCCTTCAGCGTCAGGCATCTCCCCACACGCCAAGGGGACACTGTTCGAGCATTTGCAGCCACACGGGCATCAGCTGAATGTGCTTTTGCCCTTAGATTCGCTGCCGGTGCTGTGCGTGTGTGCGTGTTTGTTCGACCACCTTTCCCAACCATGCCCCGTCTCTGAGCCAGTGTCCCCAGCTTAGTACTTCGGTGAGGGATCATCGTGGGAAGAGCTTTGTTCCTGCGAAGTGGGCTGTCTTGCCAAGTGTCCAATTCCAACTCAAGCCGCCCGGCTTGGGGGGGCGGGCCCATGGAGGTTCGGGTGGCACACCCCTCCCAAATCCCAGGCTCGGATTGCGGGGCCCGGAGCGTTGAACTCTGCACCGGAGCCCCGATGACGCATGCGGAGGGGCAAAGAAGGCGAGAGGGACCGTTTCCGTAGGCCGGAGAGCACCCCAGGTCGACACTCACTCACTCACTCACTCACTCACTCCGGCAAGTGCCATGTGCCCAACTCCGGTGCTTAGCTGGTAGAACGCCTGCTTTCAAGGCAGCACTCCCCAAAAAGGAACGGGGTCACTTGGAAGGCGGAAAGGTGTCATTGTGGGGAACGCTGAAAGGTGTGATTTTGGAACGTGGCTGACGTGGAAACCTGCAGCTTTGCAGTGATTCTGCTGGAGTGCTAGGTCTCATGTCGATGTTTTTTTCTGAGTTTTTTTTTTGTCAGGTGGTTTTCTGAAGTTTGTACAGTGTTTTTTCTAAGGTGCTTTTTCTATCGCCGCTGGACTAAATTTGTTTTCAAAGGCGGCGGCTAGAACGACCACTGATTTTCTGAGGCGGCGGCTAGAAAATTGTATGGTTTCTCAATGGTGGTTTCTCTAACGCTGCTGGAAAAACCGGCGGTTTTTCTAAATTGGTTTTTGTACCGGGCAGAACAACTGCCGTGGCTTTTCTACGGGGCGGCTAGAACAACCGCCTGGGCGTTTTTTTTGTTAAGGCGGCGGCTAGAACAACCGCTGTGGTTTAACCAACAACCGCGGTGGGTTTAGGAAGGCGGCGGCTGGAACAATCGCTGCGGGTTTCGAAGGGCTTGTCGTCTGGGCGTAGGGCAGGGCTCAAAGGGTTTGCCCATTGATTCTTGCGGGGAGCGGGGACACTGCCCTGCATCCCAAAAGCGTCAACACCCCGAAGCCTAAAATCTAGAAGAGTGTTGTGACTGTTGCTTTTAAGGGAATCGAAGATTCGGATTCTGGCTTCGCGTTGTTTGGGGATTCAGAAACCTACATTGAATGGGCCGTGGGGTTCTCCAGCAGTTGCTGCTCGGATCGCGCTGTTTCCGTGTGTGGGGACGCTGTTTCCGTGTGTGGGGAACAGGAGGGGCAGACGCCCACCCCGCCCCACCCCTCCTTCCCGCCTCCCGACCCGCCCGGCACACGTGGTTGTATTAAACCTCGCGCGAACTCAGTTCCTCGGCGGGGTTGCAACCCGAAACCCCACGCGAACAAAGTGCCCCCCACTCGCAAACACACTCTGTGTGTTTTCTTTGCACCAACATACCCACGGTGAAGGCAGCGGCTGCTTGCCTTTCACCGTGTGTTTTCTGGCGTCTGGCCTCGCAGAGCAACGCTCCTAGGTCGTGGACTCTGCCGATCCTGATCGCATTGGCGACTCGAAGGAGGAGCTGCGCCTGATGCTCGAGGAGCCGTTGCCGAAGTCCTGAGAGCAAGACTTCCAAAGCTTTGGTAGTTCTAGAGACGGGCCCTGAACATGCTCTCAACATCGAGGCTTGGCCCCGCCAAGTGCTTCAAGAAGCCTGCAATTACTGCAATCCTGGGAATCTTGAAGGCTTCTTTACAATAATACGGGCCATCGGGCAATTAACAACCTCCCAAGTCCCAAGCCGGCCGAAATCATGTGCATCCCCGTACACAGGAAGAGGAGCTCAAGGGCGTGACTTTGCTGGTCCTCGCAAATAAGCAGGAGCCTAGCCTCGCTGGGGTTGAATTCAGGGTTTTGATTTCGAGATTCGCTCTAAGCAGGAGTCTATAGGAGTCTCGCTGTCGGCATGCTGTAGATGTGGGGGTTTGAGCATTCGGGGTCAGCAGGGTCAGGACAGAGTTGAGATGTTCAATCATGGTTGATTCAATGGGTTGGGGGTGAGGTGGACGAAGGGAAGCATCACTCGCCCGGTCTCTTGTGAGCGGGTTGTTATTTGGAAAGCTATGGAATGGAAGCCTTGTGAGATTTCCAGGAAGGGGCAGGGCAAGTGCGAATGCTTTTTGGAGGGTCCTCCAGGCTTCTTTTGAGACGCTTTAAGCTGGCATCTCATTCCGTTTCTGCGTCGCTACGCGGCTCTAGACAGCTCTTTCCCAAATTGCTCACCCCAACTAGCTCTCTGTTCTCTCTCTCTCTCTCTCCCGCTCTCGCTCTCGCTCTCGCTCTCGCTCTCGCTCTCGCTCTCGCTCTCGCTCTCGCTCTCTCTCTCTCTATCTTTCTCTCTCTCTCTCTGTCTCCTGTCTCTCTCTGCCGACGGAGCCATTTCCGGATCTTGTAAGTGCGTTATATTCAACGTCGAGCAGCAACGCGAACAGCGGGGCGAGGACCTGCCTGGGGCCCTCAGCGCCGCCGAGGCCGCTTCGCCGCTTCACGGTGGTTTCTCCTTGCTCTCTTTTTGCTCTCTTTGTTCTCTCTTTGCTCTCTATGCTCTCTTTGCTTCTGGTCCCTTTTGGTTGCTTTTGGTTGCTTGGTGTTGGCTTTAATTTTTGCGTGGAGGGGATGCTTTGTAGAAAGGGGTTTTGCGGGTTTCAAAGTTTTAAGAAAGATTGAGGGCTTCAGGCCGCCTTCAGGGGCTGGCTTGGAGTATTCGAGATCCAGGTCTTGAGGATTCACTTGTGACTTCAATGGCTTCACAAAGAATGGGCCCGGCCCTTGCCGTGACCATCTGGGGCATGGTATGCTGCGTATTTTGGATTGGGTGTGATCTGCATGCATCTCAGTGTTGTTCAGTTCGCTGTCTCAAGTCTCGAGTGCGGCCTAACGTGGCTAGCAAGAGGGCAGATTCCAAGGATTCGAACGCCGATCCAAACCCTTTGAACCCCAACATCTATTGAGTACTGATGCAACTCCACCGTAGAGCCACCGGCCTACTGAAAAGGGGGGGGGGACTGCAGCCGTGTGCCCCTCAAGGAAGGAAACAAACCACCAAAACACCACCAAAACTTCGAAGCAGGTCTCGGAGTCCCTGGGTCTCACGGCAGCTTGGCACATGCTTATGCTATCTTATGCTCTTGTTGGGCTGGGGACCGGCCCGCCTTTCGGTTTTCGCGGTTGAGTCCGGGATTGGAGGCCAGTTTGCATCAGTTTGCCCGTGAACTTCGTTGTTCGTTGTGTTGGGCTCCAATTGACTTTAGTCGGGGGGGGGGGGGGGGGGAGCGGGGGGCATTTTTGGGCCCGGTTGCAACATGTTGCGCAAGAATCATATTCGCGTTGATGTCACGAGCCGGGCCCGTGTGCCTTCTCCGAAATTCGATGCTTATGTAAAGCTAAGCTGTCGCTGCCCGTACAGTAGTTACTCAGTAGTTCGAAGTGCTCAGCGGCGACAGATGGACGCCTGACGCGGAACTCTCAGGCCATTCGCAACCGGCAGTGGGCCATCTTCCAGACGCTGGGTTCCCAGCTGTTCGGATCTGCTCTTGCCAGCAGCCCTCTCACCAACGGCCTCCACATCCGTCAATATGGCACCGACTGTCTTGTCTGATGTCTGACTCAGACAACGCTCGACACCTCAAACCACTCAAACTTTTCCACTCCGTACCAAAAGCCTCTACTTGTTTGACTAGCCCTTTTGCATTCCATCTTGCCTGGAGAAAGCCTCACAAAAGCCAAACAAACCTTGGAAGCCAAACGCAGCTGAAGATGCCTGAGGTCTGCGTTGAAGGGCTCCGGCATCAACGAAGGTGTCGTGAATGTGGCGCAGTTGGTGCAGTTTGGGGCATTCTTTGCAGTTTTCTTTGCAGTTGTGGATTTGGACACGGGAGCTTTCGGTGAAGTGGACCTTGCATAGCAAGTCTGAAGTCTTAGAGCAGAGGCACAGCTTCACGCATCTTGTCCGAAGCTGCGTGGCAGAGGTGCTGCATTAGTCTCGCAGCAGCATTTGGATCGCTTCTTACTTTCCACACCGATCCGAAGCGAAGTCGCTGGCGATGTCGCTGTCGACCATTGTGAAGCAGACCTTTCGTGAGCTGGAGGATCTGCATGCAAAAGAGGCCGGCGCACGTTTCGGGTGTTTGCCCATGCTTGCCCAAAAGCTCGACAGCGCCACTTCTTCTTTTGCATTTTTCCCCACCCTCAGTGTGGGGTTCTTAGATTTTAGACTCAACTCTTCTCCTCGCCCGGAACTCTTCTCCTCGCCCGGTCTAGTCCTCGCTCATCCCTAGAGTGCCCAACGCCAGAGTGTGTCTGGAGTGCCCAACCCCAGAGTGTCCCCGGAGTGCCCAACCCCAGAGTATCTCTACCCAGAGAGGGTGGGGATGTTCGAAGTAAAATGGTTTTGTGTTTGAAGGTCCGGGAGAAGCTGATCAGCCTTCGCAATTTGCCGTGCGAAGCTCAGTTTTGCCAAGCAGCTTGCAGAGCTTGCAGCACAGTACACAGAGCTGTCTGGGAACGAACTCTGTCACCTAGTCCTTGTACGAATCGAGTGGAATGTAAATCAACACTACCTAAGGACGGTCGTACCTGGCACGACTCTGTGCGTTTTTGGCTGGCCCGCCGAATGGTTTGCAGAGGATGTGCTGAAGACTGTCGAGGCATGGGGCTGTCGGGGCCAGATTGATTTCCTCTACATGCCGCGCGACTTTCGATTGGGTCGATCCTTCGGCGAGTGCTTCTTCAACGCAATCTCAGTTGACGAGGTCCTGAGCCTTTGGGCGAAGATGGATGGCAAGTGGCTACGCGGTCAGCAGTTGAGGGTCCACTGGGCCACCAAAGTGCAGGGCCTTGACGCGCTCATCGAGAAGTATCGCAACTTCTCGATCATGCATTCGTCGGTCCCATGGGATGCAAAGCCCCTTCTGCTGACAGATGGTCTGCACACGCCCTTTCCACCCCCAACGCGGAAGCTTACCAAGCCACGGCTGCGACCACCGGGCAAGTAGCAGTAGCTAAGTAGCCATCACGTGGCATCATGCCGTTCCCCAGATGGGGGTTCCCCAGATGAGGGTTTAACAGAAGGGACAAAGTCTTTCTCGGTCAGCCATTGATAGCAAACGGATGGCAATAATTCGCGGAGCACCATTGCAAACCCAAAGGCTGCGCTGCAAAGACGAAGGCGTGCGCGTGCGACAGTGTGGCAAATACACTGGGGTCACTGGCCGCTGCGAGAGTCGAGCCCGAGTGAAGAGCCTTGAGGAACTTCCTGAATCCCCCCCCGAAGAGTAAAGCCAGAAGGATGACAACCCAAAACCCAAAACCCACAGCCCACTTTTCCCTAGCTAGCGCATGCACCGGGCAAGACGATGCCCTGTGCAGGCCTCGACTGGCTGGTCAGCGTCCTCTCCAGCACCTGAAGTCACCGGTAGCTGCTGAGGGCGTCAGTTCTCAGCTGCACCGGACTTTGGGGTTCTTGGATCTTGCGGAGTGACTCCATCGGAAGTATTCTTGTGGAGTTGCTGTTCAGCACAAGCTTAGAACTCTGTTGCCCGTGCAGTGGTCTAGATCCGTCTAATCCAAATATGACAGTCCGACAGACCAAGCCGGAAACATCGTTGATGGTAATGTGAAGACTTGTGATCTACGGAAGAAAATGTTAGAGCAGCTTTTTTCCCCTCTGTGAGGGCAATTCGACAGTGCATGCATCCGCTCCACTTCCCGTCCTGGCTTTGTCCGAACGTGGAAAAGACTGCACGAGAACCAAACTACCAGGTCAACTACTAGGTGGAGCCGTCGGACCATGCAGCATGCGTAATTGCGTCGCCGTGCTGTTGTCGCGTGCATGCTTCTGGCTACAGTACGCGGGCTATTGGGGAGCTCCTCTGGATGAAGCCTTCAGCAAGCCCGGGCCAAGAGCAAACGAAGCCTGCAAAAATCCTTTCACGAGCTTGGTTTCAGGAGCAGTCTAGCGTTTCAGCATGTGCGAGGCTTTCAGCGCTCAATTGCACAGTCAAAGCTTCTATAGCTGGCCAACTTTTCATGCAGCACATAATATTGCCTGGCATGGCCGCAGCACGCATCTAGAGGTTTCGCGTGCGTGTGAAGGTCCAAATCTTCCAGGCCTTTGGAGTGAAGTGTCTTTCTCTTTTTTTTCTTTATCTCTCTCTTTTTTTTTTTAATCTCTCTCTCTCTCTCTTCAGTAGCTCAACAGCGGCTGTAGAGGCTGTAGGCCGGGGAGCAATCCTACTTTGTTGATTTTGTGGGTGTCGGTGTCACGCCTATCGAGTTTTTGCGAGAATTTGGGCTGGTACACAACCATTCGTGCAAGGAAGCTGGCTAATCGTCAGCGACTTCTGCGATGACTAATGATCCAGGGCAGCTCTCGTGGTTTAGTCGAGGCAGTTCAAGTGTTCAGCCCCTCCCCCAAATCCTGCGAATCCACGCCAGGCATGATGGCGAGTGGAGCTGCAGGGGGAAATTACTACGAGCGGATCAACAGGCAACAGACTGGCATAGCACCGCAGAGGGAGTCTTCTGCATGAGGTTGGAGCTCTTTGAATTTGTTGAGAAGGTTTAGGTTTCGAGCTGCTTGGAGGGTGATTGGTCCTAGGACTTCGAGGCGGCAGTGACAATTTTCACGCGCAGCTGCGATCCCAATCCATTTTATGCTGCTGTCAGCGAATCGGCACATGGGGCACGCTGTCGGTGTCTGTCGGTAGCCGTGGAGTCTGCAAACCCGAATCGACGAGCGGTGTCAGAAACCACGTTCTCTGGCAGGCTGTCCGAGCGGTTATCTGGCTTGCAGCAAGGCTGTGAGCTAAGGTTCACAGGAAGTGCATCGCCAGTTGTGGGTTCTGGAGTTGCGCGCTGCGTCTATGGCTACGGGACATGCACGGAACACTACCTTTCTAATCTCGTGTCTTTCGAGATGTGCCCCAATTCTGGGTTAAGCCATTGGCATTGGTGTATTGGTGTCTTGGTGTGACGTCTCAGGGTACCCAAATGCTGAATGCCATTCTGTTTTTTTTGGCTTGCTATGGCAGCTTGCTCGTACATTCGATCAGCAAGGCAGCAATCGTAGCGCCTGAGCCCTTTCAAGTCCAAACCTAAAAAGCCCTCCTCCAGGCCCTCTTCAGGCCCTCTTCAGGGGCCCTCTTCAGGCCCTCTTCAGGCCCTAGGCCCTCCAGCTCCAGGCCTTGAGCACGAGCGCAACTCGCGCTTCGACCAGCTCAGCCAGCGCATGCCCGGCACAAAGTCGAGAAGTCCAGAAGTCGAGAAGTCGAAACCGAAGCCTCCGCTAAACTTTACCCCGTTACACTCGACACCCAAGTTGCCTGCCAAAAGTTGCGAACATCTATCTCATAAGCGCGGGTGTTGGAGATCCTCTTGAAGTTCAGGGTTTCAAGGTCTGAACGTTTGAGGGTTGAAGTAGGACCGTTTAGGGGGTGTTGTGTGTTAGAGTGTGTTGTGGGGCTTTGTTTTGGGGTCTGGAAGGGTCAGGGGTTCGTCGTTTTGGTTTACGGGCTCAAGCTGTTGAGGATTTCCGAATTTAGGAGGCTCAGCCCCGAAAGCCCTTAAACCTCGTTCACCCCTCAAGACCCTTGAGCGCTCTTCATCGGGCATGACACAGTTACAAGTTCTGAGTAGGGAATGAAGTGGGAACTTTGAGTTCAAGGGACTTTCTCTAGGGCCCTAGGGTGCCCCATGTGCCCCCCTTATTCTCAAGAGTGTATTCCCAGACGACGGAAGGTATGACGTCGACCTGAAGCTTCAACAAAGCCAGGCTCCGGGTACCCTCCCACATCCAGCTACAGCTTCTTCTTATCCCTTTACTTTATCTGACCCCTATCAGTTTTTAAAGTTTCATTACTTGGGAGACTTGGGGGTTTGAAAAGGACTGCCTAACTGGGTGGGGGTGATTGGATTGTTGTTTCGGGACTGGGTGTACAGTGTAGAGGCCGCCGAGGGCCCTTTCACGAAGCCGCCGCATCTGCAAACCAGGAGTCCCTCCATTCGGACCTTGCGCTCCTCAAGGCATCGATGCTGGAGAGTGCGATGGTGCGGGTTTAGGCTTAGAGTGAAGGGGTGGGGATCGCACTCTCTGAGCCTTCAACTGAATCGACTGAGAACCCGAAAGAAGGAGGACCCCGATTTGGCTTCAAGGCCGAAAAGGCCTCGCGCCTATCAGGAAAAGGCCCCTCTCGAACGGAGCTGAAGTCCTCAAAGCCGAAACCCTCAACCCTCAGACGGACGATAGAATCCCCTTGCCAGAAACTGGGAACTTGAAGCGAAAGCTGTAGGCACTCTAGGCCTCAGGACGTCTGGACCGTTGAGGTTTTGGAGGGGTCTCAGGGCTCTTGGGCTTCAAAGGATCCACGGTGGTTCACTGTGGTTCAGGGAGGGTTTTTCTTGTCCCCCTGAACCACGAAGCCCAACTGTTTTTCCTAAAATCTGCAGGATCAGCTCTTGAAGTTCCAGCGCGACTTCGACGAGGAGCGTCTGGGCCGTGAGGCCTGCTCGGTTGACTCCGTTCAGGATCTCAGGTTGGAAGGCTCAGGCTTTGGTCCTTGGCGGTGGCCTGATGAACTTAGCCTAACCCAGGCTGCCTAAACCCTACAAGACGAAAGTTTACTATGACATGATTCCCGTTGAGGCCATGACGGAGGCGCGCTCCAAGGAGCTTGGCGTCACCCGGCAGAGCAAGGAGGGTTTTGAGATTTATGCCCTGCACAGGCCAAGGTCGGAAAGACGTTGGATCCCTTGCCGTAGCATCCCGAAGGTGACTGCGCCCTGAACCTTCCCTAAGGTGGTCCTGGGCCCAACACCTGTTGTTGCACGCCCGTCTTCTTTGCAACAAAGTCAACGCTTTCGAAGGAATTCGAGATCTGTGTGTCTCTGTGTGTGTGTGTGTGTGCAACCGCTGTTCCCAAGCGGCTTCTTGGATCTAGCTTGAAGACTTCGTTTTTGTCCTTTTTCGAGAGCAGGGGGGCTCAGCATCAGATTCCAGACCGTGCCTAACAAAGCTACGGAATCTGGTGGGAAGCAAGGGCTGATCACCCTTGTGTACCTGCACATCCTGCTTGTGACGTCACATACCCTGAAGCCCGAAGTTTTCTCTCGGGTTCGCCTTCGAAACTCGACGGCTGCAGTGCCAGCGCCTTGGATTTTCCGCAATCTGTGACTTGGTCTGCATTCACTAACGTGCTGTGGGGTGGACGTAGGTCCTGGGAACCACAGATTGGGCAGCTCATGACCTTCATGGTCCTGAGTCCTAAGAACAACACTCCATGCCTCAGTGTGTGCCCTTTGGGGGGACATCGGCGCCTTGGATAACACAACTACGGTGGGAGCATCTTAACAGCCACAGAGCCTTGGTTTCCTTCGCCCCCATGAATGGTTTTGTTTCAGTCCATGTAGTAAACATGTCCCCTCAGTGCAGCGATTGACGTACTGTGGGTGTGGGCTGGTGCCCTGGATACCACAGAATGGGCAGCTCATGACCCTCGTGGTCCAAAACAAAACCATGCCATCGTCACAGTGTGTGTGTGTGTGTGTGAGTGACTGTGAGACTGTTAAATGGGCAGTCGGGCCTACAAGAACATACTGGCATTCTTCTATGTGCAGCATTTGCTTGCGTGTCCGCCATCAGGCTTCGAGCACCCATGTTCTAGAGCTGACAAGCAGCTGATGCGGACCCCAAGCAAATTCCCTGTTTACTTCTTCCGCCCACTGATTGAGCTTACTCGTGCAGCCATCATCTCCAAAGGAAACAAAAAAACGAAGCTAAAGCCAAAACCAACGGCCAAGGCAGCAGTGTAGCGAACAGGATACCTTGAAGGGCCTGACTGAATGCAGCATGAGGGAAAACTTGTGAGGGGAGGGGGGATCTTGATCTAAATTTTTAGTTTACATTGTCGGAAACATGGTTGGCAGGGGTATGCGGACCTCTCCCGTTGAGCTCAGCAAAGTCTGCTGAGAAGATATTCCTTACGTTTTTCTATTGAACCCCATGCAGTTGCACTTACACTTGCACACTGTACCTGCCTGCAAACCTCGCAATCTGTTGTCTTGGACGTGCCGCGAGTCCTCAGCCCCACGGATGTCACACCTCTCCAGCCCGGCCACATGCACAAGGCTGCAGACATGCGGCTGCAGCAAGCGCTGGAGTCGGAGCAGCAGGCTGGCGGGGGGGGGGGGGGGGGGGGGGGGGGGGAATGGTGAGTTTAAGTGACAGTGTGGGGTTATGATTCTGGGTTCAGGGCTGATGACGAGGCCTCAAAGAGACACACTGTCGGAAGCATCAATTCCCTGCAGCCCGTCTCTTTAGGATTGGAACGTGCTCACTCCTGTTCTGGCTGGTCCATGTTCGCTTGTTCTCCGACGCCAAACGCTGGAGCATGTGTTTAAAACTTTAGGATTTGTGGAATCGGCGTGTTTGGGGCAATCTTCGTGCGAACTTCCCCACACCTGAAACACCTCAAAGCCTTAAGGAAGCTGCTTTGAATCAGAACGCCTGGCAACAGGCGCGGCGCGATGCTGAAGCGAAGGTCTTGAAGACCTTCGACGAGCGGACAGCCCTGCTGCGCGAGGCGCGCCTTCTTTTGCGGATTGAAGTTAATGGTCAGAGGTCAGAGTGCTGGGAGCTGGGGCTTTGGGAAGAGGTTTCGCCAGTAATGCCGTTTAATTTTCTTTCGGAACTTGTCTTTTGGTAGTTTTGGGGGGAAACGGGCTGGTCGAAGCGTTCCGCAGCCGTGCAACAGGAGATCGCTCGCGAAGGACGCTCGCGGGCCAGATCCTCAGAGAGAAGTGCCCGCATACTGAGACCATCTTAAGGCCCCCCCCCCCCCCCCCATGTGAGAAGTGTCCAACTAAAACCCCAGGCAGAAGCCGAAGCTGCACTTCGCCGATACGTCCGAATCCCGGTTACGAGCTTCTCCCGATGAGAGGATGTGATGAACGATGATGCACGAGAGCGGTGCCAGCATGAGGCCTAGAACGGCTGCTCATCTCTATTTCGGATGTATTTGCCGTCTCAACCCCTAAAGAAAGAACCATGGCAAGAGCCTTGGCCCTACCAGCTGCCACCCAAAAGGAATGTGTCCTTCGCAGATTGAAGACCTTGAAATCTGATGGCAAAACACTTTTGAATATCAGAACAACCTAAACGCCCTTAGAGCCCCAAGCCCCTCTCTCCGTCAACGCCGAGCAGCTGCAAGAGGTCGACGTGGACATCCCCAAGCTCTATGAGAGCTTACGAGAAGCCTGCCACCTATTCCGGGCCCTTGCTTGCTTTCTCTCTCTCTGTCTCTCTCTCTCCCCCTCTCTCTCTTTCTTCCTCCCTCCCTCTCTTTCTCTGTTCGTGCCTTTTTATTTTAAGCTTTTTGGCCCCTTCGGGTTTGGGGACTGCAGTTTCAATGGGATTCAGGTGTGATTGAGGGCTTGGCAGGGCCAAGCCTTTGATGGGCACACCGGGTCCAGCATGAAGCCGGCATTTTGCTTGAAAAGCCTGGAAGGCTTGAGTTTATTTGCCACATAAGGCACATAAGAGCAGAGGCGTTCGGCACGTTCTCTTTCTGCGCCCTCCCAAGTGCCTGTCATGCCGAAACATGCCGGTGACCGGGAACTCAGCTGCTTCTGCCCGACACCGAACGTGAAAATGGTTAAAAATGGGTCACCGGCATGCGCTGCAAGAGCCAGCGCAGCCGCTTCGGAGTCACCGCCGTCAGTGACCCAACTGTAAGCTGCAAGCCCAGTGCGCTAAACGTCGGCCTGGGTATGCCGGGTTGCAGGAGGCGCAGTCCCGCGAGACCATGGAAGACCGGATCGTCAGGTGTGCTTCAGCTGTCGCATGTGCAGCTTACATGATCCAATTTGGGCTTTCAGGTTCACGCTTCAGGGTTAGTTGGGACTCGGAGCCCATTCTGACATTGTCGGATTCGGTCCCACGTTCTGCATCTGCACTTCTGTAGTCGTTCTAGTCATAAAGTTGCCTCATCCTTGAAGGCTTGATAGAGGCCTCTTGCACGTTCCAGGGGCTGCCGAGCGGAAGCCCTCGAGTCTACCGTAAATACTATATGCCATCCATAAGCCCCTGCAGAAACCCATGTCTGCAATTTCATGCAATTAGTTATTACGGTGAAGAGACTATCTCCCTCCCAACCTCCACCTTTCGTCTCCGAACGCTGGTAACTACTACCTCTGGAAATCACGAGAAGATAGCGGATACCAACTCGCCTTGCCGTGAAGAGCCCAGAGCCTAACATCAAACTCCCGGGCTTGTCTTGCTGCGAAAGCAGAGCAGCAAAAGGCGGGCCTCCGAGGAGATCGCGCGACTCCAGGAGGTGCGGGGTTTACGCTTCTTTGAGGTTGAGGCATCTACGAGTGTAGGACCACATCGGAGGTTTGGGTATGGGGCTTCTTGGGTTTAGGTATGGGTGTTCGGCCGTGCAGGTATTTAATAGGGGTTTCCATTCCGACTGCTGGAGCGACGACGAAGTTCAAGCCCCCAAGCTAAATCTGCGCGTCGAATCGGAAACCCTGGGTTGGCCCTCTATGCGAATCCCTCCGGCAAGCACGCAGTGCTCCTGAACCGATCCTCCGAAACCATGTCGTCTTTGCCGGTGTAGGGGGATCGCAGCCCGATGATGCCCGATGCATCGCAGCTCGATGACTCGCAGCGAAGGCCATCCTCACGGAAAAGAAAGCCCGAGAGGACACCGAGGAGGCCCTGCTGCGGATGATGGAGGACTCGATGTCTGGCGAAGAGTGTTTGGGAGAAGCTTGGGCTTTGGGGGGGCGATGCATTCAGTGGCTCTTTGGGCATTTTTTGCCCGAGAGCGGGGGGACCACAGTCTTAGTCATGCCTTCGATCAAGGTTCTTTCGTTCATTTCGTTCAACGTCTTGGGGTTGGCGGAGTCTTGGTTTGTCGGCCAGCAATTATAGCAAAGGATCCAGGATCGAAGGAAGGACAGCTCCTTTTTTTCTTTTGTTCCGTGCTTGCCGCGGTTGGGCAGGACACGGTGGCGAAGATGAGAGCAGAGATCGCCCAGGTGAGCTGTGACTGTGTGATTGGGTTCGGCTTGCAACCCATTCCTGTCCAACGAGAACGCTGTTCAGGGGTTTGGCTCTGCATGGTCTTCGACACTATTTTGACCATCACTTTTTGCCTTTTTCTGCAGCTCAAGGTTTCTTTCGGCCAGGGCAAGTAGAGTATGGTAAACTTCAAGAGCAGAATCACCGCCTCGTGACGAACGAAACGAGGCCTTGGTCACAGGGCCGCGCTCCTTACAACTGGCTAGCAGCACTTACTTCCAGACAAAAGGACAACACTCGGCATCCTGCAAAGTGCACATTGAACCACTGAGCCGCAGGTCGTGTTTGTCCGACCCTGCTCGAGTTCTACACTCAAAAGTGTCAAACCCAAAGCCACCGCTCCCCAACTCATCTGCGTCAAAGTCACACCCTTAAACTCAAGTCCCAGAGCTCGTTTGTGATGCACAATTCTGCCAGGAAGGACAACTCATGTCCATCAGGACCTGCCAACACAGCCTTGCTTCACCACTTCCTCAGAAAGTAATCCGAACCGTCGCAACCTCTAATAACACCTCTAAGCCCGGATGACTTCGTAGAACTCCCGAAAGCCAGGAGCGGGCGGACCGGGAAACAACCGAGGAGACGCTCCTCAAGCTGCTGGAGGCAGGGATATTCAATCTTGTTTCATACCATGCTTGTGTTTTTAAAGGGAATGTCTGTCTTTGCACAGTTTTGAGACTCTGAGACTGAAGCCTCCCCAAGTCATGGAGGCGGTTCCTTGAGCCCCCACAAAGCCCGCAGGAGACGTGCAACAAGCTGAACGCAGCCTCGCAGGTGCTGTGACAACGCCTCCAGGGAGTGCAGGAGGGATCCACACATGATATGGGTATGGGTACCCAATGGGATCGGGGCAGAGTCATTGGGTTCAGATGTTGTTCGACACACAGTGTCTCGACTTGGGTCGAACGGATTTCTATCTTCCAAGCCACGAACCGCGATTGCCCGATCCGGGTCGAAAGGCAGTGCAGGATTAGGTTAAGGGCTACCAGGCTAAGGTACAGTGCTTCATGCCACCTGCGCGGGATGTGGATGCTCATGGAGTCCCACGAAGGGTACCGCAACAGCTGACACATGATAAGCTCTAAATCTGCCACAGCATTGCGGGTTTCATGCCCAAGTGCTTCGCATGGCCCGAAGACAGGTTGGAACAGCTCGAAGGTGCCGGAAGTATTGCTAGAGAAGATGATAAGATGCACTGTATCTGTGCTGGGACTCCATGACCGGGACGCTTTGAGCCCGTTGACGGGGCTGTGGTGCTCAAGCAAGTTCCCTTGAGAGTGCATCAAAGGTTTGGATGAGTTTTTAGAGCAACGCCAGCTAACCCTTCGGTGGTACTACCTGACATTGTTTGGATATGAGGGATGGGAAGAGACTCCCAAGGGAGGAAGAGACTTGGGGCGAGTGTCGAAAAGCCGAGGAGCTGGGACCTTTGTCTTTCAAGTGATGCAAGTGTGTTAGAGGGAGGAAGAACCGCTTAGACACAGAATCCGTTCCCCACGACTTCTGCACACATGGCTCTATTTGCCTGGAAGATCGACTGCGTTCTTGCTAGGAATGTGGTAGTATGGGTCGCGTTAGTGCCATGTATGTGCCCGTCTACGCACTTTCGACGCCATGACGACTGCAACCGCCCCCACGACTATATACGACAACTGCTCATGTACTGTGCTTACTCCACTTTTCAAAGATTTTTCGCCGCAGCAAAAGAAGGTGTTCTGCAAAAGAAGGTGTTCAATTCATGACCTTAGACAGTTGGCTACGCTGAGAAGCATGGGATCGCCATGAAAGTCCCCTCCTCATTCCAAAACCTTAACTGTTTAACCCAGTGCTGAAAGCTGCTGAAAGCTGCTGAAAGCTGCTGAAAGCTGCTGAAAGCTTACCATATCTCCCTATAACCAGCTGAACCAAAAGCCCTGCACTTGCCATGATCGACTCGAAGAAGCCGACCCTGGATTACGGCCTGTTTGGGGGTTTAAGGGATCTCGCAATGAGCTTGGTTCACACAGATAAGGAAGCGCTTTGGTTTTGTTTAGGGTTTTATGGGATTGGACGCCTGGAGGTTCCAGAAAAGTACGGGAAAAATCTGTGTGGGGGATAGGAGCTTGGAGATTTTGTTTTTTTTTTTGCGTTGAACGTCCAGGACTTTGGAGGTGAATGCCCCACCTTGAGCAAGTTAGGCGTTCCAGAGCGCATTGATCATTGCAGGAACATCTGAAGTCGCTTCAGCCTCAAGCATCGTATGGACATCTGATTCACCAGAGCTTGCAAGCAAAGCGAATTCGGTTGTCGTAGCCCAAAACTTTCTGGTCCTTTGCGTACGGTGTCCTATGTCACTGTCCAAGACAGGCCGCGGGGTCCTCAACTTCGGGGACGAGAGCCTCTATCTGGCCCTTGGCCCGCATTCCCCAGCTTGACCTGTGAGAGAATTCTCTTCGCCGTACATTGTTGGTATAGTGTCTCCGCATACAAATCGGACGCACAGCGGTGACAACGAGCTGTGGAAGCTTCAGGAAGCAGCATAAGCAGCAGCCTGCACTTTCCCAGGCAGTCTTGAGCGACTATTCCTCACAGCTGCTTGAGTCAGTGGCGTGGCCAACAGGGGTTCAGTTCGCACTGAGAAGGTGTTGGCAGTGGACTTTCAGGATTTCTGGCCGCTTGTACTTTGGGAAACGACGCCTGTTGCTAATGTCAGGGCAGACGATTTGGGGCCATCGGAAAATGATGAAACCACTTCTGAAGCCGCCTTTGTAGCTCATTGCTGACAGTCTGCAACTTGCGGAAAATACGGGAAGACGGGCAAGCCATGGCTGATGAACCTTTTGCGGACCGGAGTGCAGCATGGTGTAGCAATTCGTAGACATCTTCATTCGGTCGGGATTCAGCAGGAGAATGTTTCCCCGTGAGATCAGAAAGGTAGATCCCCAGACATGTAATTATGTGTAGAAACTTTCCGGATGGCACCTGCTCCGTCTTCGCTGACACCATGATTTATTCTCTGTGTCGACGCGAAGTCAACACGAGGTCAAACAAGTTGAGTCCAGCTCGACCAACTCGACCAACAGTGGGCGATCGATGCAAGGGCCTTGGTGGACTTGCGACGAGTTGTCATAATGAGTTGACGGGGTGCGCCTACACCGACCACAGGATCAGAATTGCGGGCACGGGATCGAAAGTACCTTCAAGCATGCCTGCTTGAACCGTCCTTGAAAGGAACGAAGGAAAGCATGGAAAGCATGGAAAGCATGGAAAAGTATGTTATATTCGCGTGTGGCTTTTGCCATGAGGCTGTGGGATGAAGTGGCGCTGCTGCAAAACTCGGCGTCGTGCGCTGAAGAGCCCACTTGTTGAATCTGTTGAATGTCCGTTGAAATAGCTTTGTGAAATTTTGTGAACATTGCAGCAGGCCTGGGTTGCAAAGGTTCATCGGTGGATCGTGGCAGATTTCAGCCGCACCGAGGTCATGCTTGCTAATGTCAAGGGCAGGACGCTTCTAGTACTGATCTTTTTTGGGGCCGCCAAGCAAAAATGTCGACGTTTCCAAGGCTTGGCATTCTCAAAACTGTTGGGCTGTTGATGTTGTTGATGTCTACATGCGATTATTCGCATGCCCAAGCACGGCGCCACCAACGCCACAACCTCTCCTTCTCTTCTGCCCATGTTCCAAGAATGCCGCGCGAAAGCTGAAGATGCAGATGTGCCAAGAAGTTGGGACCACTTTGGCTGGGCACCACCTTGTGCTCAAGCAACGGTGGGGCCTAGATCTGGCGGGGGGAGGTGCCATCTTCAATGCCGAAATTGTTCACGCGACGCCGCGACGCCGCGACGCCGCGGGCGGCGACGCGGCCCGCCGGCGCAGCCGTTTGGTTCGAGCTAGGGTTACAGATGAGGTTTCAGGGTTTAGGCCCTGGCTGGGCTGGGCGGGATGCGCTGTTGGGCTTGGCTGTGATAAGCAGGCGAAAGAGGGTTGAAATGGGTTGAGGGTGGATGGAGAACTGGGTCATTGTTGAACATGATGTTGAAATGAGTTGACATCTTTCAGTCAAGAGCTTTGGGATGCTCAGTGCCAAGCCCTCAGCCAGACTCAGCAGACTGGGTACTTGGGTTGCCGTTGTGCGTCGGCTCAGGTTGAGTTTTTGAAGCGCATAAAATTGCGTGCTGATTCCTGTACTCGACATCATGAAGGTTCTCCTGGCCCTGGTAACTGCGGTGAGGCAGCTTGGTCCGGGCCTTGCAGACGTCTGTGAGGTGCCCGACGCAACCAGCTTGCTGCACTTGATGCGACAGGGGGGCCCAGAAGTCGGAGACCCAGAGAAGTACGAGGAACCCAGGGTAGGGCAACTCGATCTCAAGAACATCCTCAACATCATGGAGCACGACCTTGTGAAAGCCAAGGAGCGCTTGGAGGAGCTTTGCTCCAGGGCCGAAGGTGAATCCATGAAGAGTGCTGAGGCAGATGATGATGATGATGACCATGATGACGCCAAGGATGCCAAAGACCACCAGCTCATTCGGCCCAAGACGAAGAAAGAAGGTAAGATGACCAAAGACGAGTGCGCTGATTTCCAAAAGCAGGTCCTGCGCACATCGGTAGACGAGGTGGTTGAGATGGCAAAGAAATCGGCGGCTGCGAGAGAAGTTGACTTTGATGACTCCAAGTACCGCAAGAAGCTCAAAAACATGATGAAGTCTTGGACCAATGAAGGCTTGTCATCCGAGAAGCTTCTGCCGATCCCAGACGGACACTCCTCAGCGCAGTTGGATGCGTCTTCTCAGCCGGGCCACATCCCAAGCGCACTGGCAGAGGCATCTTCTCACTCCAACTCCTCTGACTGGTCAGGCTGGTCCCTAAACCCTGATCCCTAAACACCCTAAACCTTCACCCTCAACCCTACTCGTATATAGTATAATTAGTATATAACCCTAAACCCTCAGCCCTAAACCCTAAACCCGAATCCAACTCCTCTGGCTGGTCAGGCTCTCAATCCAACTCCTCTGGCTGGTCAGGCTGGTGGAGGAACCTTGCCCCGTTGGAGTGCGCGGCAAACGATGGAACTTGCAAGAAGTTGGTTCAAATCGCAAACCAGTATGCGTGGTCAGGGAACATAGGACTCATGCAAGCTTGGATGAGGTCTGATTTCTGTTGGAAGCACACCTACAGCAGGGGTGCGGGGAGAGGGTACTGGTGCAAACCAGGCTACACGCAGTGGGGTCTCATGTGCTACCCAGATTGCCCGGCTGGCTATGGCCGATCCGCGGACACTTGTTACGAGTATTGTGCAGAATGGTACAATGATGCTGGACTCTCCTGCGTAAAAGGATGGCCACCCCACTGGTACTTCAAAAAGACGATCTGGCTACCGGGCAGGATGTTGTGGGAGGAAAGCGTGCGCATGTGTCCACCAGATCATCCAGTGGAGTTGTCTGGTCTTTGCTACAAGGCTCCCAAACCAGGTTACACATGTCACGTGACAGAGTGCTGGCAAGATTGCCCAGACACTCATCCCAGCGCATGTGGAGCAGGTTGCTCAGCTTCGGATGCAGCCTGTGGGGTGAAAATTGCCGAGCAGATCATCGGTGTCATTGGAGCTGCCATCGATACGGCAGTTCTGGTCATGTCCTTCGGCTCGAGCGCATCGTTAAAAGTCATCACAGAAGTCACAGTTAAGCAGGAGCTGAAAAAGGCTGCTGTGAAGGCTGCGAGGCGTTTTGCCATCAGGGTTTCCCAGCAGAAGTTCAAAAGAGCCTACCAGAAGGTCTTGGTTCAGCACATCATGGCGAGCATGAAGGATGCAATCGTGTCCAAGTTCAAGGGGCACTTGAAAGGACTCACCATCGGCCAAATCAACCAGGCAGTTGCTTTCGCAGCCCGGTCCCTGGGTCATTTCTTGAAAGCCATTTGACACCTTTGTGAATACTTAATAATACTTAAGCCCCATAAGGAATAAAGATGATCATCTTCGTTTTTATATCAACTGTGGTACAGGTCTGGCTTAGGGTTGTCGGATGTGATGCTGGAGAAGTTGCAGAAAAGCAGTGACGAGGTCTATGAGCAAGGGCTAGCAGCAGCGCGGTTAGACCTTGAGTGGAAATGCGCGCATTCTTCGGGGGGCCTTCTGTCCATGGCTAACTGTGGCCACTCACTCATCGACTACTTTCACTATGTCGACGCCATCACGGTCGGTTCATTCCAGTTCGCCGATCTGGACTTTGTAGGCGTCAGTCAGTTGATTGACGCGCACAAGGGCGGCGATGGGGTCGAGATTGCTCAAGGTTGGCTAGATGTGCTATCGACCTTTGATCCAACAGGTTGGCTTGCAGCAGCTTCGGCTTTCGTTGAGCCCATTTGCACAGATCTGCAAGGGTTCAAGTATATCTCGGACGAGACATATGAGGTGGAGATTCCGTCTTCGGCGTGGGATACCGTAACGCGGCCCTATTGCCTTGGCGGTGTGACGTTTTCATGGGTCATTTGGTCGGACGAGCCAGGCCTTTGCTTGCCACCAGGACAGCTCGGGCGAGTCGAGTACGAAGGCAGACACTGCGGAAACAATAAGATTCAGTGGACAAGGGCAAAGACAATTGACCGAGTACACCATCTTCCTGAGTGGCAATGTCAATGGGATTGGATGGTGCATCCTGACAAAGTCAAATTTGCCGGCGAGTGCGGCACAGCCCCCAGCATTTCTGGTGGATTAAGCTTGCCAACAACGTGTATAGACAATGCTTATTTGCCGCCCGCTAGTTTTAGCATCCCGACATGGGACGGCACTCAGTGGATCAGCGATTTTTAAGGCGTTTTCCAGTAATGCACAGGTAACCCCTGTGCGTCACAATCACAATTAGTCATGATTAGGTCATGATGTTTAACTTTGTTTTGGGCTAGCCCTTCGGGCACCGACGGGGAAGCACGTGCAGACGACTGGGTGCTGTACAGAGGTTGTACTGGTTGTACTTGGTTCGTGTGCAAAGGTTTTGACGTACAAGTGCAGCCAGTTGTTTGCAGACGACATGGAGTGTTCAGCCAAAAGTTGGCAGACCTGTGAGTCCGCTCGGCGTGAGATCTCACTGGCCCTTCTTGTGAGTTCTCGGAACCCTAAACCGAACCCTAGGCCCTAGGTTTAGTTCTAGCAGGGGAGTAGGGAACTTGGATCTCAGCTGTAATCCCGTAAAGGGCTAATGTCGAGGTATGAGTGTATAGGGGTTTAGAGCCCCGCCCCACTTGGTCCTAAACATTCTTAGATGAGCCTGCAAAGCTCAGACCCTGAAGCCTCCTCGATCCCTAAACCCTTAAACTCACGCAAAATCCGGACCAAACCCGAGCTAAGACGTACACGGGCACACAGTTACTGACGGCAGTCTGGCGATCCAAATCCAGGTACCTTGCCGCCGACCGGCTGAGCTACGCTGCCGCAGCATTGCTTCGAGCCTTGGAATCGAGACAAGGTGGGAGATGCAGATGACAAGGAATATCAAGGAATCTCAGGCCACATTTGCCAAAGGCAGTGACTCAGAGACCTGCTGTGATTGACGGAAGGTTCTTATTGTTCTTGCAAGAAGCCTTGCTATGTGCAGAGAGAAGGCTTTGGGAGCTTCTTGGTTTGTGTAGATGGTTGTTCTCTTGAGCCTGTGCAGGCAACGAAACAGCATTGGTAGCCTCCATGTGCGAGCAGGTGGGGGGAAATGACATGACATGACATGACATGACATTGAGTGCAAATTCTTGGAAGTTTTCCGCTCGCGTCGTGGTGGCAGATGTCAGTTGCAGCATCAGCGGCTGCATTGCAAAGCGCCAACTGCAATTTGTCCACACTTTGATCCAGCTGCGAAGCTGCAACTTTCCACCGAGCCTGCACGCTATGCAAGCAAGCGGAGGCCCGCGCAACGTGCGTGGAGGCACGGAGCAGGGCTTTCGAGGATTAGCGAGCAAAGGGCAGTCATTGGAATCAGTGGAGTGCGGAAACCTCACCACCTCCTGCACGAAGATTCCGCGCTCCTCAAGTTGCCTCGGAACCAAACCGCGAAAACAGCAGGTTCGCAGCATCGTGGCTGCCGGCGGCGTGAAGGGTGCGGCACTGGATGCCACTGGGGCCGAGGCGAGGCGAGTCCATGGCTTGGATTCAGTCGGAGTTCTCAGGGTGTTTACTCAGAGCCCTTGCTAACACATGGGGAAGGCATTGGAAACCTTAAATGTCCTTTATTGTTTTTAGGTTCTTTTACATTCTCAGTCCCCTGAAGGTTCTCAAGCTTAGGGCGTAGGTGACTGTGTTGCCACAGAGGATGCCAATCTGGATTTGCAAGGAAACTTAAAACCCTCAAGCCCGCCCGACCTATATAAACAGCTCTTAGCCCCTGCGCCCCCTGAATGTGAGGCTGTAGAGCTAGCTCCGGCGCTGTCTGCCGAAGAGCCGCCGCCCAGGTCGTCCCATCTCGGACTTTCGGAATAAGGGAACTTACTGTAGGGGGTTTTAGTGTTTGGGGTCTTTTGTCTATGCGTTTCTTCCAGTTCCAGAGCATTTTGGGGTTCAGCAGCTCTTGTGCCTTTGCGAATTTTTGGTCTCGGATTCGGGATGGCTAAATTTGGTGTTCTCAAGCCTGTGTTCTTCTTGTGCTTCAGCCCTGATCTTTCGTGGTTTCGGGAAGAACTCAGATGGGGGGCGGGGGGTAGTGCAGGATTGAGCCCTTGAAGAAGAGACACCTTTCGGCCCAGAGAGCTCTTGTGTTTCAATTTCTCCCAGTGCTGGCAAATTCGTGACATTGGGCTCTTAGCTGCGAGAGTCTCGCGTCATCTCGTGTCGTTCATCCAATCTTTCCTTAGGCAGTGACGTTCCCCAAAGGTCCCCGCTTAATCCATCCTGTGCTGTGGCTTTGATGTGCCGTCTTGCTCTTTGACTCTTTTTCTTCAACGGTCTCCTCATGTGATATCAGGTTAACGGGTTCACAGCATGCGGAATGACTTGTTATGAGTTCCTGTTCGTGACTCTCACAGGCTTGCATGACCGCTATGCCGCTATGGAATGACATGTGCAGTGATCAAGTATACGCCCGAACCTTGACATGCTTGCAGTGTGGTCTCAAACAAGCTAAACCCTTCAGTTTGGGGTTGGTGTGCTGAATCTGCTTTTCGAGATATCTTGTAATCTTTGATCTGTCTTCGATGATTGAAGGCTGTACTTTTAGTCTGAGTTGTCCCTTTCTGGCCCAATCCTTTGCACGTAAACCCAAGTCATCGAGCAAAGCCGGTGCTGCTGCGCAGGAAATGCACCGGCTGCAACCTCCAGTGATTCTTTGGGCGCCGGTTTGGAAAGGCAAGCTTTAGGCCCTGAAATCTCCTGAAACCCACACCGCCCGCAGCTATCCCTAAACCCCCTGAAATCCTGGAACCCTGAACCCGAAACCGGGTTCGGGCCCTAGGCCCAGTTCGTCCAGACCTCGGTCGGATGCGGGGGGAAAATGTGTGTGGGCACAGTGTCGCACACTCAGCCACGGTCCAAACTCGCAGTAGAATCCGTTAGAGAGCCTGGATCGGGGTTGTATAGGGTTCCTTCTTACGACAGGGAGATTTCATTGTGGCCTGCAAGGCTCGCAAGCGCCATTCAACGTTGAGGCATCCAGAAACGAGGAGCATGTATTTGTTCGCTCAGACCCCCTGAAAGAGGGTGCTGTCGGAAGGGTTGCGCACCAATTTGATTTTCAAAGGTGGAGAGTCATATGCCTCTCGATGCCTAGATGCTTGCGCCAGTAAGTGTGTCCAGTGTCCTTTCTTGTCCCGTCTGTACCAAAGATGGTGGGGTCAGCTGGGTGATCAGTGAGTGAATGCATCATGGTGGATCTGATTCATGTGAGCAGCCTTCAGTAGATGTCCTGGGTACGGGTTTCCTTCCGAGCTTCCAGCCATACGAACGGCGTCTGCAAAGCAACTTCATCACTTGACTTAGTCCCACTGAAACTTGCTAGCAGATGCTCAGCAAAAAGCATCCATGACCGGAGAGACCTTTGCCGTGCCTGACCACAAGCAGCTCAGTCTTGAATATTCGATTTCGGACTCCGGGGTTCCGTGTAGTAGCAATTTGCAGCACTAGGAGATAGTAGTAGATACTAGCAGTCTGTGCATACAAGATCTTTCGAGTCTTAACCACTGGGCGGCAGCTTCAACTCAATCTCTCCCCCAGCATGTAATCTTCCGTGTTCCCTCGCCAGCGACAGTTCCCAAACCGGAGCATCCCCAAATATGCCCAGTGAAGTGAATTCCTCAGGTTCAGAAGCGGTTGAACATGAACGGAAATAGAGGAAAGAGATCAGCGTGTATAGGGTTAGTAAGTTGTTAGGGTGCTCCTATGCTTCCAGAAGGATGGTGAAGGTCTGTGAGATCTGTGAGCGCCTCCCTAAGTCAGCAGGTTCCTGGCCAAGCAGCCAGATGCGACATTTCGCAGCGGTGGCTCCCCGCAATTTTGTGGGCTCTCGCCTTCTGACAAGGGCTTCCACTCTCATTGATTTTGTGATTTTTTGTGTCAAAGCACTATGCATGCTGCCGGCAGTCTATCGAAAGACGAGATGTTCATCAAGGGTAGATCTTCCCCAGGCAGGCGGCCAACCGGTAGCTTCACTGCTCCCAGATCGTCTCGGCGAGCCTCCTTGCCCCTGCCTCGGTGCCTCGGCGGAGACTCAAAGCACCACTCTCTGTCATTGTGCACACTAGTCACTACTCTATGGTCTATGGCTTACTGACCATGCTGTGAACTAGCAGCGGCACTTGGGTCCACAGCACTTGTGTCTGCCTGAGAAGAAGTAGTGCAAGCCTTGTTGCAGGTGGAAGCTGCGGTGCATCTGCCGCGAGTGGGCCCGATTGGCAGCCGCTGAAGTGCGGTTGCAGCGAGTGGCTCGAACTTGAAAGCTTTGGGCCTATGGCATCAGCATCATGACCGCACAAAACAATACGTGTCGGTTACATCCGCTTTGGAAGGCTGCTGCATGGCACTGCATGGGTCTAGGGCCTCTGCACTTGGTTGTGTGGTGACATGTGGTGACATGTGGTGACATGTGGTGACACGTGGTGACACGTGGTGACATGTGGTGACATGTGGTCGCAAAAGCTGGCGTTCCACTCAGTGGCCGGGCCAAAAGCCACTGCAAAGCATCGTGCACAGCAATGAAGTTGAAGTGGGTCTATTGAATTGAAGTCTCTCTTGGGGCAATCTCTGAAACGCATTAGGTGGGGGGGGGGGGAGGGTTGGACTGTTCCGGACTATGTGACAACAGCTTTTGTTGTAATTAACTTGTACTTTCTGACAACATTTGTTCAAACTGTTTTAGAATTTGTACTTTTCCGGTGTCTTTTTTGGCAGCTGGGGGGGGGGGGGGGGGGGGATTGGATTTCAGCTCCTGATCCCAGGTTGACAGCGTATTGCTCTGCGCTGAGAAAAGCCTGTGGCGATGGCTTCGTGGCTCTGTGAGAATGCATGTGCTGGCCAACTTCATGACACAATTTCTTGTTGTGTCAGACAGGGGAAGTCTGGGAAGTCTGGGAAGTCTGCCACTAGTTGGATGATTTTGTATCTTTGTGGCCATTTGAAACAAAGGCCGATGTCGTATGTAGGGAATTCAACAAAGTTCTATCTCGATTCCTTGCGCAGTTGAGCTCACTGACGACTAGTGCCATCGTGGTCATTTTGTCTGTTCCTGGCTTCGTGGGTGTAGGCATGCCAACTTTGTTTAGGTGTCGGGAATGCCTTGTTCGCTGCCATGGAGGCATTCGGAGATGTTGGCTGCGGGGGCGGTATGTCGGGGCTGGGCG